GCTGAAATTCTATTGAACGCAACAATCATGCACGGCTCCCTCCGTCTGCAAACGATATATTGATTTGGTGCGTAAAATATAGAAAGAAGTTGTATTTGATCTTTCTGCAGCACCGGAATTCATAAGAAACTTATTAGTTTGCAGATTTACAATGTACCTCAATCTTATTTTCAAAATGATTAAAGGGAATAAAATTCCTCTATAAATTCCAATAGCAATCAAACTTCTCATGTTTTGTTATAAATTAAAGAATATTTAATATAATTGTGACTTAATTCATTGTTCAGATTTTCATAATTCAATTTTTAGGGTCAAAAGTCAATCCTACGAAAATTTTAGAATTTAGTTGAATTTTTCAGATATTCTGAGCAAAAATGTCTATAAAAAGTTTTTTCTTCAAATTTTGAAAGAAGGAGAATAAGAGTAAAGATATTAAATCACAATTATTTGTTCCAAAATTTAAAACAGCGCTGATTTTCAAGAAGTCAATGGCTCTCATTCAAATTCACGCTTTATTTTCTTTCATAAGATATTTCCTTCAAATCTATAACAATTTGTTCTAACTCTTATTGTTAAACAACATAAAATTAAAAAATTTTAATTCCTTGATCGTTTGGCAACTTTTGGAGCAAATAGAAATAATTAATAATCAAAATGCCAGGGCTATTATCATAATTTAACTTTTTTCTTGATATAGATATGTTTTTTAATTTTTTTTATTTTTTATTATTATTTAAAAGAACGTCTATTTGAATAAATTATTAAATTAATTTTCCACAGTGACTTTCTGCATAAGTGAAATGTTTCACTCTAGAAGAACTGAAATTTTGAGGGTAAATTATGTGGAAATGTATCAAGAACAGGCCGTGCTCACTTGTACAAAGTCCTTTCCAAGCGGCTTCACGGCCCACTCTCAAGATATCTTTCTGCTTGTGTACAGAATAAACGGCCGTCAAGAGTCGCGAACATTCAAAGAATTAGTACAGAGCGTTATTTTATTCCATCCTAGTCAGACACTTATGCAATCTCTCAAGCTGAGTCGGCGGACACCCGCCGCGCCAGTTTTGCTGCGCCAGGCATAACTTTCCTTCTTTTCCTCTCTCTTTGTAAAACGGAATTATACACTGGGTAAGAGCTATAGAGGAATAAAGCAGGGTGGAAGAAAAAGGTTCCAGAAGTGTTTACACAAAAATCACGGTGTAGCGGAAGAAACCTTTTTGTGCCATTGTTAGAATACTCAGAATTTTCTAACAATTCGGGTCTCTTTTTTATTTTTATTTATAGAAATTTAGTAAAAAGTGCCTTCCTTTATGCTGTAACAAATAATTATGCAGCAACTCGCATTCAGCACAATTACAAATCCATTAAGATAATTAGTAGCTCAGCTAGCATTTTAACATTAAAATTGCATAATCTTATTATTAGAGAACAATGGTTGTATTTGTATTACAAAATTTAATTGACATATAATGAAGCTATTATAAAATTCCCTTGATTATTTGCGCCGTTGACTGAAGCGCGCTTTGCAAACAAGTTAAATCGATTTTATTCCAGTAAATATAAAATGAGTCGATATATTTTTTGTCCATAGGCAGCACTTAGGATGAGAATAGCCTTCATGTGTCTAATTTTATTAATTAATTAATTAATTATAACTTCAAAAAGGATAAAAAGGTTGTCCAATTGTAAAATGTAAAATAATATAGGGAAAGTCAATATTATAGTTATTATATTAGTTTTGAATCAATTGATGCTTATTTATTTTTCTCTCTCTTCATCATGCACCTTTTCAAGAATTTCATCTCCGCTATATTCGCTTCTCCCTCGTAGACCTTTCTAGGGAAACAAATAATTACACAACCATTCACTGCGCATATCCATTAAATCTCGGCAGAGAGCAACTTGAATTTCGTCTTGTGTGCGGTCGACGACGATTCTCGCAGCTCAAGTCGAGAGTTTCCTGCATCCCATTACACCGGGGAAGGTGTTATTATTATATTTGTTTTAAGCACTCCTCTGCTCTTAATTGCCACCAGACGCGCTCGCGAGCGAAACACGAGACAACCCCTTTAATCCGACAGGAACTAACGAAGACGGCATTGTCTCCCGGCCGCCGCCTTTGCTGCTAATTATCCGACTACTCTAGACAATTTCTTGCTAGTGTAGCGCAATTTTAATTATCTTCTTCTACCCCCCTCCCGCTTTAAGTGAAATTCATGCTTTTTGTCGGCAGAAAATGAATTTTGCCATCCAGTATTTTCTCTTTGTTGGGCTCACGTCAAGCTCTTTTGCGCAATGAACAACGAAATTTTAAATCTCTCGTCGCAAATGAGCATTTCACAATTCTATTATTTCCGTGAAACTGCTGTTTATTGAATCTGCTAATTTATTTCAACATTTAATTCAATGATAATATGTTATGGTTTGAAACAATAGTTTGAATTTTGAATATTCATTTGCTTGACAAACAGACGAAATATTAATTTATGATTAATTTTTTTTTAATTTCTGTGTGATTTTAATTAAGCTAAACGCAACGGAAAATAATTTAAATTAGTCGTACATATTTTGGTTCCTTGTCGAGTACTCGGTTGGAAAACAGTCACGTCAATTAATTATAAATATTTTTTCTGTACAATCCAGAACAGTAAAATATATTATACTAAATCAATTAAACAAATAAGTTTTAGTTATTAGTTTTAATTAACAGCTACTTTTCATACTGTCCGAATGTGTAAGATTAAATAATAAATTTTTTTTAAATAAGATTTAAAAATCAGTTACGTCCTAAATTTTTAGAACAGTTAAAAATATTCTTAATTTCATTTTACATTAAAATATCGAGAATCGCTTGCAAAATAGTTTTGCTATTTAAAATTTATATAAGTTAAAGTCTTCTTCAATACAATTTAAGTCTACAGGCCTTACAGTTAAAACAGACACAATTTTTTTTTATCACACTGCAAAAAGTCAGTTTGACTGGCGCACATTTTGTTATCCTCCTTTTTCCTACAAATTTAGGCAGAATAATTAATAACTCTGCGTTAAACAATAATTTCACGCATGTGCTCGTATTTCTACATCTTCCGTTGGGAAATTTGCCAAGAGCAAATTCATTTCTTGCAAAACTCATCAGAGCGGCACGTTTGTCTCAATCCTTGGCGCTTATTGCTATGCAGAGCAATGTATGAACTATTATTTGTCTCAAAGTTTCATTTCAATGTAGCTTTGAGTATAATTGTCTCTCACAATCAGTATGTTCGACAACGGATATTTGTTGCTTCAATTCAAAGATAATATCGCTTTTATATTAATTGTATTTAACATTTGTTATTCTCAATGTATCTGAATGAAGAGTAGATAAATAAATGCATATATATGATTATTTTAACTCTAATAATATCTTGAAAAGCGTTTATTGAATTGATTCATTTTGTGTGACTTGCGTCAAAGGTGATTCAGTAGAAATATCATTTTACTACACAATGATAAGAAATTTGATTGGAATGATTTTTTTTAAATTAGTATAGCATCTTATGGGAATTTTGAGAAGGATTTTTTTTACTTCAAATAGCTATGCCCCTTGCCTGAATAAAAAATTTATAAAAATTTTCGTATTTTAGGGAGGTTCGTATTACCATAATTCAGTTGAAAAAATGAAATGAAAATAATGTTAGCTAGAATTGAATATTGGCATTGGGCTTATGGGAAACATTTTATTAACTTTTATCGCCGTGTATAAACTCCGCAATCACCTCTCTCAGATTTTTTTAAACAAATTTTTGAATGATGGATTAAATATGTCTTAAAGTTAGGATGCTTGATCAGATATTGCCTTTTCGCACTCAAAATATGCTTGAATACATTGAGAGTGTCAAAAGTTGAAAAGCAAGTTTTTTCATTTAAGTTTGTAGGCCATGTTGCTTGGAATATTGATCGACCGCTCTGTGTAGCTTTATCGCAAAGACTTGTCGGCTCCAAGTCCGACCGCACCTTTGCCGGTACAAGATCGTGGTTGAAAGTTGCGGACAATCGAACGAGCTATCCGCAGACTGTACCAGGCTTAGGCTTACACATGCAAAACAGGGCTTATAATTTGCCCTTAGGGACATGTTAATGTACACCACACGCATGTATACCCTAATTTTGATTTCCTTTGAAGGTTCCCTGGATCTACGACAAATCCCCCTGGAGAGCATCTTTGTGAAAAGGGCCCACTGAGTTCTGGGAAAAAAGAAACATTTTTCTAAGTCTGTTACAATAAGTTTCATCACTACCTTTGTTATGGAATAAAAAGTTTCATAAGTGCCTTCCAGGATTAAATAATTTTACAGTACAATCTTTCCTGTTTAGGGGAAGTTTGAAAGCTCATTAAATTTGACCTTTTAATTTCACGTATATAAAAAGTTCACTTTATTATCTTCCAAACATGTTGTTCTTCTTGATTGGAGGTACTTAAAGTTGTGAAACATTTTTCGGCGAATTTTCAGTTTATTATTATTTAAACAAAGTCACGCTCGTTCCCGTTTGAGAAAACTCTTAATATTCAAAAATCGCTGGAACCTTTTGTCTTTTATAATTTGCAAGAAATTTGCACTATTGACTAATTTAATTATTATCCTAAAGCAGAGAAAACATTAAAAATACTCGGAATCAGAAATAGTTAAGGAAAAGTCTTGGCATAGGCAAGGAATAAATGAATCAAATGAATGAAAGAAAAAAAAATGAATAAATCGGCTCGGAATGAAAATTTTTTTATTTGAAATGTCTCATAATGTATTCAAAATCTCTAAACGGCCTTTTTTCAATAAAAATTTAGAAAATAATAAACACATTTTGAACCAGAAATACACAATTTTTAAAGATCCATGATCAAAATGCACATTAAATGAATAAAACAAAAATCTATGACTCTTTTCCACCAATATAATGACGATTATTACAAAAAACGGTGAATTTCCCAAATTAATTATTAAATAGGATTGTTGATGGTGTTGCAGGTGTGCGTGGTGGTGTGGCTGTACTGCCTATTAATGTCGGTGCCGCCGCTGTTCGGCTGGTCGAGCTACGTGACCGAAGGTTTCCAGACGTCCTGCTCGTGGGACTACCTGACTCGGACGCCGTCCAACCGCGCCTACTACGTCTACCTGTTGACGCTGGGCTTCGTGTTGCCGGTCGGGGTGATCGCCTATTGCTACACCTTCATCCTGGCGGCCATTTACCAGCACGGCAAGGAGATGGACGCGGTGAAAAGGGTGCACGAGAGCAGCGGCTATTATCGCGGCGGCAAAACAAAGGCGAGCTTCACGGCCAGCAACTCGCAGCACGCGACCAGCACTTCGAGCAGACACGCCAGCGCCGCGCACAACAGGTGAGTCTGTGTTTCTTTGCACGCCTCCCACAGCAGGTGCGAATCTACCCGGCTGTGACACATAATTGAGCCGACACAGAGAAACTTTTGCTTCAAAGGCGCGACCCACGCACAACTTCATTTGCCAGGGTGTTCGACTGCGAAATTACTCGCGCTTAATTATTCCGCGAGCACCATTGACAAAGGCTAAACAGGAGCAGGAAAAGTTTTCAACTTCAAACTTTTTCCGAATTCAAGCTTACTGGCTCAATGTCATTTGTATGCTTCGAAACACCTTCGAAACAAGGGGATTTATATTTTCATGTAATTCTATTAAATTAAAATTTGTTTATATTTTAGAGGAAATTTCTTTTATTCCTCAGTTGCATATTTTTTTTTATTTTTTTTTTTTTTAATATTGTCACTTTTTGATGAGAAAAAATCTTGGCCTTTTTTGCTAAACATTTTAACGTGTTGGTATGTTGCATTCTTATAAATAAATAATTATTTTTAACTTATATTTCTAAACAAACTAAATATTTTTGTATTAAGCTCGGCGCTGAAAAAAATTCTTTCATCCCTTCTCAAAATTGTGGCTGAAAATTTTCACTCATTAAATAATTCCCCAATTCTAATAAAGTCTTTGTAATATTTAAAAAAACTAAGAAGATATTAATTCGTCTGCCGTCAATGCTACTTTGAAAACGATTGTATTAAACTTTTCAATAGTGACCCTGACCCCCGACCATACATGTAGAAGCACGTTCTGCATTATAATACTATGAGACTGAATGATTGATTTTATTATTTCCCTTTTTTAATTGAATTGTATGAAAATTTCCGAAAATCCGATTTTTTACTAATCTTTTATTTATTTATAAATATTTAATAAAGCATGTCCATTTTTGCATGAAATCGTTAAATTTAACGTTATTTAAATAAAATTTCAACAAATCAACTGCCTCCAAGCAAAATTCATCATATAGAAAGGATCTGAAAAAATCTATGTTTGTATTTTATACCAGTTTTTACCAAACATTCATATCCAGACAGCTCCACATTATTTCAGTTGCTTTGCACACATCATCAATTATTCGCTTGTCGGCGTTTTTGTTTATTTCAGAAACATTCACATCCCGCGCCTTTCAGCAATATTTCCGTTTTGCCTTTTGATTGGTGACGCAAAAATTGTCGCCTGCTCCAAACTATGTGCAAACGCGCTACTGAATGCACAGAAAAAAAATTTGTCACAGTGGCCAACTGACAATTATTTTGTGCCGACTAGCGAGCAACGCTATTGTGTGTTTTTACAAGAGGAAAAAAATGACCTCTCACGTCATTATTTACAGTACAAATTATTAACTGTATTTCTGATGAAATAGGGGGCATTGTAAACATTTTCTTTTCATTATGATGGTTAATTAAATAGTAGTAAATTGAGAGATATTAATTATTTCATAAAATATTGAATTTCTAGCAATCATTAAATGTCAACAGAGAGCAGGAAGTAGTTTTTAGGGCTTGAATTGTCCAATTAAGGTAAACAATAAAACAAATTACAATGCAATTAGATTAGCTTTCATCATAAGCAAATGTTTTTATGCAAAATTGCAATTTATTAAATTGAATAAATAAATTTTTACAGTTCCTCTGCCTTTCCTGATATATTTTCTTATTTTTAATCTGTAATTTTTCTTTAGTTTTTATTAAATGTATTTTTGATTCATTTTTATTTAGAAAAATGATAAGGAATGCGTTTAATGGAATTTTCCCCAAAATATTCCATAATTAATAAAATTTACTACATATTTATTATTAAAATAACGAAATGAGTCAGGTCTTTATTTTATTTTTCCCAGTCGCGAAAAACTTCAATCTAAATTTGATTTATTATTTTTTCAGCACTTTCAAAACGGCCGAGATAATTTTGCGGCTGGTGGTGTGTTTCCTGATCTCGTGGACGCCATACTCGATCGTCAGCTGCATCGGCCAGTTTGGCAACTTGTCGCTCGTCACCCCGTGGTCGGTCACCATGTCCGCCCTGTTCGCCAAGGCGTCAGTCGTCTACAACCCCATCATCTACGGCCTCTCGCACCCGCACTTCCGCTCCTCCATCAAGACGTACCTGAGCTCGTTCAACGCGGCGCCTTCCAACAACACGGCCATGCTGCGGCCAAACTCGCCCACCGCAGCGCCGACGGCCGCCGTCACTCTCAGGGTGGGCAACGTGGCCACCTCCGCGGTGGCCCATCGGAGCCAGGTAAGAATTTTTCACTCTTCTAAACCGCGTATGCTTTTAGTTTTAGAATGTCTTTTCATAGAAAGTTAAATCGAGGATCACAATTAGATTAATTATTTTTTCAAATCAAATTCCTTTAACCTCAAAATGCTACTTTTTGAGCTTAAATTTGAGTTGAAAGAAAGCAGTGTTTATGCTAAATGTCTCAAAAAAGTCATTATTTGTTAGTTTGCAAGTGATTTTTTTTTAATTTTATAAAAGAAAGTTTAAGATGCTTTTATTTTATTTTTAATATAAAATTTTTTAGCTCTAGGGACTACAATTTTTAATTTTGTTTCTTTGTTTTTAGAAAGAAATATTGGCTTTTCTTCGGACGAAATTTCTTGAAATTTCTGAAGTACTTTTTATATAGAAGCAGAAATTTAAATTTCATTGCGATGTGACTCCTTATTGTTTTTTTTTTCGATAAACTAAAATTCACTCTAAAGTTTTCTATCAAATCAAATACTGATCAGACTTTCAAGCTAGATTTGTAAACATTAACTTTTAATTTTGAATTTTGTGCCACAAATATAAAACCATCATTTAAAATCTGCACAGAATTGCAAAATCCACTTCTGCGTCAGCAAACTGCGCGAATTCATTAAATGCAACAAGCATGTTATATTTATATTGCATTTTTTTTAGTATGCGGTGCAGTTTTTTATTCACCCATTCTTATGCAAAGTGAGGAGAATCTGCCATTCGAGCTCTATCGATCGAGATAATCCACACCTGACGGCAAAGCTGCTGACAATGAGCGCTGAAACGCACTGATCTTTTACAAAGAAGAGAATCGCTCATCATTGCTGGCAGCAAATGTAACACTTCTTGTGATAATGCCCTGATTTGCCAGGACGAGCGGCGGCGCGAGTCTCTGAGCTCAAGCTTTTCACTTTTCTCGCTCCGACGTTAATCGCCTCGCAGCGCGGAATCTGCTTTGACCCGTTTTCAGAGCGTGAAAATCGAAATTCGCGCACCTGGTTGCAATTAGCACCGTCGAGGACCATCCCTTGGCCAATTAATTTCGGAGCGTGTGCGTTTCACCCCGCGTCAAAAGCTGCCGTTTTTCAAGTGCAGCTGGAGGGAAAAACACGCGACTAGGCCCCGCCTCTTTTGCACCTCCTTACAAAACAATTTCATCAGGGCTATCCATTTCATAAAAAATGAAGTTCATCCAGAAAATTGAAATCGAGCTTTACGGATTATAAAAAATATTATTTTATTAAAGATGCAATCAATTTGGTTTATGAGGCATAAAAATTTCTGCGCCTAAGTAAGAAAAGAGCGAAAGACTCTGAACATTATTAATCAGTTACCTTACTTAATCCATCCCTTATGCGCAAGGTTCTTTTTATGACTCTCATAATTAAAGACAGATTTATTTTTATTAATTGTCAAAATTAATTGAGCAATCAGTGGTGATGACAATGAAAAATTGGTAGGAGAAAAAAAACAGTATCAAATTAAAATAAGAAAATCTACCGCTGAAATAAGCAATGACAAATTTATTGATTCCTCATAATTTCATACACTTTTGAAACGGGGCAACATTGGCTCTCAAATTTTTGTTCTAAAAGATAAAGTTTCATAAAAAAAAATCAAATAGTTTAAGCGAGCCTTTGCATCTAATTTATTACACTTAAAACCAAAGTATTTAAATTTATAATATAGAATGCAATCCTTTTTTCACAAAGCCCAGCCCAAAAATTGCTTATAATCTGAAATTTTTACTAGAAAAACAAAAGACAAACTTATGAATTCATGGAACTTTTGACGAATTTCAAATTGTGAAGAGCCCTCCTTGTTTCGCCTCCAGGCTTGGCACGGTAATGAACGCAATTTGCGAAAAGAGACCCGCGCGTCCTGCTTTTCATCTCTCAGGCGTCGCGGCTTTGCTAGACGCACGCTTCTTAAGGTGCTTTCCTTGCCGTTGAGTGTGTTTGTTTATTTGTCCCCTTGGTCGAGGAAAAAACTTTTGTCTTTCTCCGTCAAGAAAATGCGCACATACAAGGTATGGTCGCCTCCAGTGCGAAAAAATGCCGCTTCGTCGCACTCGGAGGGTCGTCACCGGTGTGAATAATTCAGAGAACCAAAAATGAGAAAAACGCGGCTATGCACGCGCGCCTAAAAGGAAAATGAATTTATTCATTAGAGCGAACAAATCGGATGAGAGAATCTTTCATAGAGATTCAGAGGTCACGGCCAGATATCCAATTTCGTAGAGGCTTGTAAACGTCAGGAAAAGACAGAGAGGTGAAAGCTCAACACTGGTCAAGAGCCCAATCTAGACAAGTGGTGCTCAAAGTAACCGCTCTTAACATTTCTTTGTAGTGCCCGTGCAGATAAACTTCTGAACCTTTTCACCAAATAACTGCAAAGAGAGATAAACAGAAGTTGAAAAAAATTTCAAAGTAAAGTAAGCTTAATTTTTGCAGGTAAATTAAATTCATATTTCATATTGAGTTTACCAACAATTTTAATTTTTGCAGAATAACCTATTCATTGAAGGCTTTGGATAAAATAAAACTAATTGTAAGCGGTGGGCTGGGCAAATGTTCCTTATTCAATTCATCACTGACATTTATGGTTAAACTTTTATGACATACACGCGTGATGATATCTTATAAAATTTTAATCTATGGATCACTATGGATATTTTTTGTATGCCACAATTTTATAATGAGAAATGATATTAATTAGAAGAATTAAAATTTTTGAAAATTAAAATTGGAAACTATTTTAAAAGAATATTTTTTTTGCTCACAATATTTCACGTGAAAATGAGTTCAAATATCAACAAATCAACTTTTAAATGTCCACAATTAAATTGTGAAAATAAATTTCAGCGGAATTTTTAGCTCAAAATTTACATTGAGCTTACGATAAACGCGTTCCATACTAATCCTCTTCATAAACTGCCGCAACTCTTGAAAGGGTGTGTGTGTTTGTTTCATCCAAAATGTTGAAAGCACACAATTATAGTTGCAAATTTTGTGTTTATTGATCCATCACAAAGTCAACTGCTTGCATCATTATTACATTCAAAATTACATGCTTATCCTGGTATCTAAAGCAGAACAAAATAATTAATTTATCTGTTTGCTACTAATTATTTCAGCTTTAACAAAATCTGTTTCTGTAAGCTCCTGCAACTTTTCTAAATAGGCAACCTGCTTGTCAGATATGTACGTATAGGTTGCATACTTCACTCAATGATAGGCGCTTTGCTTTTGTGAACATTATGATTTTTAAATTGTTGGAAATCCACACTTCTGATAAAATCCTCATATTAAAAATTCAGTGTCACTGCCTATTAATAATGTAAAAGTATAAGAAAATATTAATTTCTTTCAGCAAAACACATAAGATAATTATTATTTTATTATTATTATTTCCAATACATAATTGGAACCAAGATAAAAAAAAATGAAAGGGAGATAAAAATTTCCAAAGCTTGTATCTTTGATTTAAACATAAAAGCAAACAACCGCATACAACTAAAAACGGACGGATTTTATTAGTCTAATATTTTGCATATTATTTTACATAATTTCATTTTTCAATTACACTTTATTGCTTTCTGTAACACAATAACTATGCATTTATTTTCAACAGAGAACCCAATTAAATAATGATTTCTTTAATATTACAAAATGTAAAATTTAAATTTTAGCTAAAAACGATTAAAGGATGAAAATTTTGAAATTTTGAAAATCGGCATAAACGCTAAATTATTGACTCTTTTTTATATTTTTTCTTTTTTCCAACATTTCCAGCTGATCAGCACCAAATCTAGGACATGCAAAATATTCACTTTAAAGCTTATTTTCACTAGCAGCTGTCGTTGCAGTAATTACACTGGATGTGGCAAAAAGCACGGCACACAAGAGTGAGATGCAGATTTTGCGGAAGATTTAGATTACATGCAAGCTGTTGACAGAAACACGTACATTGCTGCTAATGGAAGTAGAGCCTGTGCGGTGAAAAGAGCCGCAGACAGACTGACTGATGAGCGAACGGCTCTCAAACTACGCGTTGATGTTGATTTCTCGGTAGAGCTTCGTCCCTCTTTCCTTTTCACTTCACTGCGGGTATGCATTATAGTGTTTCTAAACATACCCCTTGCAGAGCTCCATTTATTTAATGCGGCGTTCTGCGCAGGGAAATTATTATGGCTCGATTCGGCGAAACCGACTCCGATGGAAAATCTGAAAGCGGGAACATCGCAATTATTTTATCGAGCCGCACCAAACGAACAGAGGCCGATTATTTTTCCCGCACAACCCAAAATTATTGTTTGTGCTTGTGTAGAATCGCTTCAATTTTCTGCTGCTCAAAAACAAGCACTGTTTCGTGTACCAGCAAAGCCATTGTTGGTTGAGCCGGCTGAAATAACGCAGATAATAAAATAAATTTACATGAACTGCTTGGCATTTAATGCCTGGTTAATACCCTTGCGGGGGAATTTCAACAGCAACGCTATCACATGTATTAAATAAGAATAAACTGAATAATGAAGGTTGAAAATTTTACTCATCGAAGATTTTAATACCAAGTTCATAATCTTTACCTAAAGTTTGAACGGTTCTTAGATAATAATTTTATAACATATCAGAGAATTAAATTGAGTAATATATTATTTATTTTTAAATATACTAAAAAAAAGTTATTATAATGCAAACTACTGTAAAGTAAAGTTCTAATGGTCCAAAATTATGGTTCTTTTATATTAATAATTAATAATTACATGAAAAAAAATAATATTGGTAAAATTATTATGATATTAAAATAATTTGAATTTCATTTTTATCGTTTGGAATTTTGTTACACAAAAATAGTGAAAAAATGTTCTTTAAATGTTTTACATGTAAAAAATATTATGCAGAGACGAAATGGAACGGTTCGAATCTTGTCAGTTCTTTTTTTTTAAATATTCGAGACTAAAAATCTTTTCTTTAAATTCATTAGAGCTGAACAAGGTAACTATTTCAATCATTTTTGAGATTATTAAATTCCATTTATAATTTGATTAAGATATTAATTTTTCTTTTTTACTACAATAGTATTGCAAAATTCATTACAAATTTTAAGAAAATGGCTATGATGAAAACTGGTGCCTTAATAAATTTAGGGGAAAAATAAAATTAAAGCAATTATTCTCTATTTCATTTTACTTGTAAAGTGAATTGAAAAAGTCGCTAGCTAAAAAGACTCAAATAGAGAGACCTGCATGTCTCATACATAAAGTTTTTTATTTCCTTTTTTATTCTTCTCCCAATAAAAATTTCTACCATCTGCGTTCTTCTATTTGGAAACCCTTTATCATAGAGGCTCTATGTATGACTTTGCTTGAACTCATAAAGCTGTTTCATATCATCTGCATTTGGATCTAGATTCAATTCGTGGTAACTTTCCCAATGTCTCTTTTCTCTCCCAAGCGAGTTTTTATATGTCAAGTTTTTCTTTTTACATTCTGATTCTGATTAAATAAATATAAATAGTAAAATATTCTAGACACGCAATTCCATTTCGTTTTTGAGTGCCGATAAAATTGTATATTTGTCAATAAAAATTTAATATCGCGAACGAAATTGGTGGTAAAAAGAAAACACAATAGCTTCTCTGTCTGTTGAAGCACAATCGTTATTTTTTTTATAGCGTTGTATATATTTTTTCGATTCTCAGTCAAATTCTTTTTTTTCTATCTCATTAAAAACGAGCCCTTTCAATAATAATATTAGTAGCGAGTTTTGTTTCAACGTGTCATGTTTCCTCCCCACGGACTCGAGATCTGTCTCCCAAAATGATAAATTTCCAACGTCCACAAATAGCACGGCTGGCGGCGATTGTTTGTCAGCGCTGAGCAAACGGAAATAAACTACATTAACCTTAACAGACCATCAACAGTTGTTGATTGTTGTTCCTCGTTCTCCGAATTGTTTTCCCTGATGATATTTTTGCAGGAAATGCTTTTATTTACCAATTTGATCAATTTTGTGGATATTTTTTTTTAAATTCATTCAATAAAACGTTGATTTTTTTATAGATTTTATAATAATTTTTGTCTGATTGCAATGTTTACAAATTTTCAAAAGAAAAGCTAATTTTGTATTAAATCAACGTGAAACAACAATTGATAATGAATAAATTTCTTCTTATAAGAAGAAAATAAATTTAAAATGGCAAGGTAGCATGGATGAAATTCCATATCCATCAGTTTTTTTTTAATTAGAAAAGCGAGAAAAGCAATAAAAATTAAAAATCAGAGATTAGTATATTTTGTTTATTAGAAATATTTGAGCTTAGTCAGAGATTTTGATGTAATTTCTTCACATGCTGCTTATTATTTAAAAAATTCTCATTTTGCGAATTGCAGATTTCCGTGACGAGATTTTCAAACCACCAAAGTAGACACATGCAGCTTCGGTACAGCGGCAGCAGCGTCTCAGGGACCAGAGATTTTGTCAGCGACCCCGGCGACCCTCTTGAGCTGCAAAATTACCGCTTTGTCAACAACCGGATCCAACAGCAGCAGGTGCACAACCAGCCACACCTCACCCTCCACCATGTCACCCTTCATTGGCAGAACAACGATGCAGGTTCGCAGACTTTAATTTAATTTATTAAATAAGAAATAAATAGAAGAAAAATTTAATATTTTATTGCAATATTTCAAATTTGTTATATTATTATCAATTTTTTTCATTTGATAAATATTATTGTTTCTGCATAAAATTGGTTGATTGAAAAAGTATTCATGATAATTATCTAGTGACAATCTGATAGATGTTAAACAAAAAAATCTTTTTACAATACACTCTAACAAAAATCGCATGTTTTTCAGTTTCAATTTTAAGCATCAATTTAAAATTAAAATTTATCCTTTAATTTCTTGACTGGAAATAACCTTCATATGCATTTCTCGTCCTATTTATTTAAAATATTGTTTTTTTTTACTATAAATTAAAACATAATATAGCTTTTTCCATAAATTGTAATTGTTTAATCTTGGTCACGTAGATGCCGTGTCATCCGAGTCGGACGAAAACGAGCAGAGTTCAGGGGTTGTTTGCAGCTCGGGTCCGTCTTCTCGATATCCACCCCCAAGAGCCATCTGCGTGGTTTACGAGGGTGGTAGCGTCTGCTGCCATGTGACCAAGGCGAGTTGCTCGTCGTCGTTGGGACAGTTGCCGAAATCGGGCAGAAAAGGTATGTTTCATTAAATATACACGGCGCCTCACTATTTTACCATTTGTTGGGCAAACAAACTCAGTAGCACGTTCAAACGACAAAGTTATAGGCCCAGCATTAGCACCACAAATACAAACACCAAACGCGTTAATGCACGGTCCCTTTGCTAACAAAACACACTTTGCTTTCACTAGATAAATCGGATAAATCTTCATCCTTGAATGGTGAAATTGAATTTACTGAAATCTAGTATCAAAGACACAGTACTTTTTTTTACAATTTTACTCAAACTCTTGATTTTTTTTTAACGTAAATATTGATATTTCAAATATGAAAGATAGAAACCACTCTTTTTAATTTTGTGGGAAGGAAACTCTTTCTTTGACCTTCAAAGTTTTTTTTTTCAGATTTATTATTTTTCTTTGCTACTATATTGGACAGTTTTTGGTATAAATTTCAATAAATCTAGCTTCAAGGAAATTTTGTATGAAGAAGGAAAATAGCTTAGAATTTATGAACGTAGCATGTCCTCTTTGAAAATCAGATCCGCCTGAGGTGGATCGCGGCCGCCGGAGGTGGATCGCGGCCGCCCGAGGTGGATCGCGGCCGCCAGAGGTGGTCTCGACCGCCCGAGGTGGATCGCGGCCGCCGGAGGTGGATCGCGGCCGCCGGAGGTGGATCGCGGCCGCCGGAGGTGGATCGCGGCCGCCGGAGGTGGATCGCGGCCGCCGGAGGTGGATCGCGGCCGCCCGAGGTGGATCGCGGCCGCCCGAGGTGGATCGCGGCCGCCGGAGGTGGATCGCGGCCGCCGGAGGTGGATCGCGGCCGCCGGAGGTGGATCGCGGCCGCCCGAGGTGGATCGCGGCCGCCCGAGGTGTTCTCGACCGCCCGAGGTGGATCGCGGCCGCCAGAGGTGGTCTCGACCGCCCGAGGTGGATCGCGGCCGCCAGAGGTGGTCTCGACCGCCCGAGGTGGATCGCGGCCGCCCGAGGTGGATCGCGGCCGCCGGAGGTGGATCGCGGCCGCCGGAGGTGGATCGCGGCCGCCGGAGGTGGATCGCGGCCGCCGGAGGTGGATCGCGGCCGCCGGAGGTGGATCGCGGCCGCCGGAGGTGGATCGCGGCCGCCCGAGGTGGATCGCGGCCGCCGGAGGTGGATCGCGGCCGCCGGAGGTGGATCGCGGCCGCCGGAGGTGGATCGCGGCCGCCGGAGGTGGATCGCGGCCGCCGGAGGTGGATCGCGGCCGCCGGAGGTGGATCGCGGCCGCCCGAGGTGTTCTCGACCGCCCGAGGTGGTCTCGGCCGCCGGAGGTGGATCGCGGCCGCCGGAGGTGGATCGCGGCCGCCCGAGGTGGATCGCGGCCGCCCGAGGTGTTCTCGACCGCCCGAGGTGGTCTCGACCGCCCGAGGCGGATCGCGGCCGCCGGAGGTGGATCGCGGCCGTCCGAGGTGGATCGCGGCCGCCGGAGGTGGATCGCGGCCGCCGGAGGTGGATCGCGGCCGCCGGAGGTGGATCGCGGCCGCCCGAGGTGGATCGCGGCCGCCCGAGGTGGATCGCGGCCGCCCGAGGTGGATCGCGGCCGCCCGAGGTGGATCGCGGCCGCCGGAGGTGGATCGCGGCCGCCGGAGGTGGATCGCGGCCGCCCGAGTTGGATCGCGGCCGCCCGAGGTGGTCTCGACCGACCTCGAGTACGACCTGCATCGGTCTCGTTTTTGACAAGGCCGGGTAGTTCAAAATACTCAGGGGTGCGAACTACCTGACTATGCCTGTTTTTTTTTGTTTTTTTTTTTACCGTCTGATGGCAAAGGATGCAAAGTGCAAACTTTCATTATTAACTCTTTGCCCCTGCGAACCCTATTTGCAAATATCAAAGCTGACAATGAGTGTTCTCTGACGCTCTTTGGCAAGTTTGCCAAGTGAGACCCGCAGTAAGTTGTGCGAATATTGACACACCGCGTTCTCTGCTCACTGAAATTCCCGGGAGTGGCAGAATAGACGATAGTAGTTGGGATTCAAGATTCAAAACGTCGCAGGTCAATATGGACATGCTCAAAATAATGAGAGAGTCTGCTCGGTTGTTAATCAAATAAAGTTGATGAGCGCCCAGCGTACTCATTGGTAATAATGTATCATTTGATTTTTGGATTGAATTCAATCCGAAGGGACGTTTGTACGCGCAATGAGAAATAAATTAATAATTCATTCCTCATTTTAAATTAGCTCTACATGGTGTTTTTGCTAGCTGGAGATATTTGGTATTCATAAATTCCCTTTTGATTTCAGGGAAAACCTGCGAGAGAGGTGTTTTTGACGAGGGCATCGAAGAACCCACTTGAGCTCGGAGAGGATCGGAGCGACAGGAATCTGAATCTCAATGTTGATCTCGTAGCTTTAGCTCCGAAATGATAACATAGAAGTAATGAAAACAATTACGTTTGATGTTTGATATAAATTTCGAGGAAAGAAAGAATTCTAAATTGAGCATTTCAACCATCTGAGACGACATTTTTGAAAGTTAAAAAGTTTATTCTGTGTACAAATGGATGATATTCGTACAATGAAAGATTTTACCAGGCTAAATTATACGTATAAGACTGATTTGAGAAATAATAAATATTTAATTTTTTTTTTTAATTTTTACAGCGACCGCAGTAATCCATATTTTGATTCCAAATTTATTCTGAAAATCTTTGAAGCTTTTTCAAAATATAAATTAACTATCCTATCATATAATAATTTTTACAAATAATGAAGTTTTTTGTATTTGTTTCAAGTGAAAATCCAATTGCAATTTCAAATTTGTTTAATTAGACTTCAATTAATTTTAAAGATAAAAAAAACGCACAAAAAGAAGATAGAAAGGTGTTTGTCGAACCTAAAGCGACTGAAATAATTTAAAACGCACAACATTCAATGGTGATGTGTGCAGACAGGCTTTAAATAAATTACTGAATCATAGGTTTCAACATCATTATTCATTTTCATATAAAAGTTGTATCAAACTTTTCCCATAATGTCTGTGTAAGCTCAGTCATGTGTAGATGTGTGTTTCATCTTCCTTTTGCCGATGTTGCAGTTGCAATTTTTACATTTTTTGTTTTATAGGAGAGACTCTAGTCTGTTAAGCAGAGATAACATTTAATTTAATGAAAATCGTCAGTTCCCATGTTCAAATTAAGCAAATTGACTTGAAGAAATAAATTGGCTTTAATTGTAATAAAGAAAAGATGAGACCTGGTCTTCACTCAAAGGTTGTGCAGCCGATTCAGCCGAGATTGTGAGTTTAGTGCATATTTTATTGTACTTTTGTGGTGATTATTTAAAACAACGCTTCTATGCAGTTCTATATTATGTACCACAATAACTGACAATTTTTCAATGTTAAAATAATGATGTGTTATATTCGATTACACAAGTAAATTTGTGGAAAAATATAAATGTATTTTTGGCATTTGTGGTTAGAGAATTCAAAGATGTGCCTAAAAAATAACACACGTTTTGGACAGAGTGTATAAATAATTGTGAAAGAGTTGTTGAAATTCAGTATATTTGAAATTTTAATAGAAAATAAAAGCTGATTTTTTTAAACGCTATAGTAAATGTGCTGGAACTAAGAAAGTTCAAAATCCAAGGAAAACGCAGGGTATATTCAAAATTATCTGTCCTAAATATAAATGGACAAACAAATTTAATTGGACAAAAAAATGTACCACAAAAGTATTTTTATTGGTAATTAACATGGATAGATATGAGAGGTGTGTAAACTTCAATCAATTTAATAAAATGGGTTGATTGTAATTATGCTCATTTCATTTAATTTTTTAACTTGTATCTTAGTTATCAATTATGATGATCTAAAAAATAATGAGTTACTGTGAAAACAAATCCTCTGCCTGCTCTATTTTGAACCAGATTTTTGTCTATAAAATTTTAACAAATGCATGAAGTTTAAAAAAAGAAATCACCTTCTCTAAGACTAAATAAATGTTATGAGAAAAGTAGATAAATTTTTATGGTTCATGAGGGGTTACAATAGATTTTGCTATTATTTATTATGAAAATAAATAAAAATTCTCGAAGATGTGAAATTCAATCTTTTAATTACGTAATCCCAAAAGGGGGGGGGGGAAACAATGTGTCAGAAAATGTCAATATTTCATCAAGTCATTAATAACTTAATATTATATTTTTAAGCACATTAAATTATTTTATTACCATGTGATAGAATGAAAAGAATTATTTTACCTTCTTTTTAGGCGGAAGGCTTTTGCAGCGTTTATTATAAACATTAATACATTAAATATTTTGGCCAAAAATTGGCCACAAATTTAATCAGTCATTGAGCCTTTTCTAACTATATTTGGCTTGCCTAACAAAACAAAAAGATAAAATATCATAGTGTAATATCATAATATGACAATTGCTCTCAGTTATCAGTGTAAAATATTGAAAGTGTAAATATCCCTAAGGGAAGCTTTGTGACTTTCGGAGCTTCCGCTCGAAATTATACTGTGAAGAAGAAATTCCTGCAAAACCAGATGTATGAGATGATTACCCAAAGAGAGACTGCCCAGGCGTCCATGAACAAGACCTCTGCGTGAGTATTTCCCAGAGGTTGCCATCGCCACGGCAGCATGTTACGGGTGAAGTCGTGCAAAGTGTAGATGAGCAGCGAATTCATCCCTGGAATGGTTTAAAATTATAAGTGCTTTGATAATTACATTGGCTCGTACCTGTAAAGTAAAATGGACTTGCAGACCAAAGGTGCTTGACATCGATAATTAAGTAAAGCAGGGAGAGAAAGAAGAAATCCAGACTGGAGCTGACGAGGACGAAGCTCAGTGAGAACAAATTCTTGTTAACTGGAATTAATCCAGATTCCTTTGAGAAATTGCACAGAAAGGCTCCTCCAAGACCCTGCAAGTTAATTTAAGTTCATTCTAAAAAAAAAAAAATATAAAATTTTCTTTTCTTACAACAATGGATCCCCAAACCATCCAACGAACAATTCTAGACCATGGGTTGGTGTAAGTCAGCATAATCCTGCCCGCTTGAACTCCCAATGATACAAGAAGGATTGCATTAAAGTGTCCAAGTAAACCTTAAAAAAAAAATATCAATGATCAAGAAAAATAAACAATTTCGAGAAACAGACCTTCAGGGTCATAAGGGATATCAGTGTAGTAAATTTTTTTTACAGTGGGGTGTTGGTAGATGTGGTTTGATCCAAAAATAATCCGATCAATGTATCCTGCTGCTCCGCCAGTACAGTTCTTGTAAATTCCGTGTTCTTGAATCCCGCCTGGCCCGAGGTAGCCTCTGTAAAATAGAATTTTAATCAAATTTTGTAGATCAAAATAAATTATACTTCAATTTAAAGAAAAGAAATATTATTGATTCTTACTACACAAATTTAAAAAGAAAAATTACACATAAAATTCAATTATTATAAGTTCCAAAAAAACTATCATCTTATCTTTTGTGTGCTGCAACAACAAGTAAGAACACACGGCACTTAAATTATCACACCTTTGTGATAGAATGTAGCTTTAATTATAATTAAATTGAATTTTATTTGTCATTTTTGCTTTTTTTATTATTATTATTGTTGTTTATTCTACTCAAGTCATACATGAAAAAAATTGATTTGGAAAAAATGAGCAGAAAGGGTATCACAACTAGCAGAGGTCTGCTAAAACGCCCGACATCAAAAAGAAATCGGCCACCGCGTGAACCCACACTATTTAAAAAAAAAGAACAATCACGACACTTTAAAATTGCTGCCACAAGTGTTGCTTGCAAAGGGAGGGAAAATTGCTGGTTGGACAGTCTTTGAGGGTCGGTGGCAGGTCATTCCAGGGCTTCACAACCCTGAAGGAAAAAGCGCGCTGGCCTTACAATTTTTCTGTAATGGAACAAATTTATGTGGCAAATTTTTAACCGGTAATCAAATGAAACTTTTTTTGGACAGAAAAATTTTGTCATTATGTCTTACGTCGGACAGCCAGGAACAGGAAGGGCAAAAGTGAGAGCTGTGTGGATTCCGACCAGAACCAAAACCACGACCCACTGAAGCCAAGAATCAGCCACATCCTGCAACCAAGCAAGTCTATGCGGCTGCTGGCAACTCTGCAGCTTCATTCGAAAAGCCTCAATCACAGACACAACAATGTAAGCCACACCGAGACGTTGCAAAACTCCTGCAAATACATTTTACATTTATTTCCTTAATTTTTTTTTATAATGAGCTTGATCTATACCTGGAATGCGGAAAGTGTTCAAGCTATTGTTGCCTTGGCTCGAGTTGAGTATCAGGCCTATCAGGATAAGTTTCAGTCCTCGGGTGACACTGGTGAGCGCCAGCTGCCTTCTGGTGACGCCACTCCGCAGCTGGGAGCGCATCGAAAGAGCCATGCTGAGGCCCATGATCCACATGAACGAGGGGAACAAAATATCAGCCACCGTCAGGCCGTTCCAAGTTGCATGCTCGAAGATTGGGTATTTGCCTCCTCCGTAGTTTACGAAAATCATAAGGGTTATGCAGATTCTAGAATAACATTTTAAAAGGTCAAATAAACAATAAATTTGAACATTATTTTGTAAATTATAGAAAACAATTTGATACATTTGCATACAAAGTTGTTATTTGTAAAAAAGATGATGAATTCTTACAAGATCAATTTTCACTCACCCCCGAAATGTGTCGAGTGACTTGACCCGAGATTTATGCTTCTGCACAGCATGCTGCAATTCCGTCCTGGCTGTTGTTTCGATGAATGCGCTTGGGCTTCCCAAATCCTTAAGAGATAAAAAAAATGCAATTAATTTTTGAAAACTTAATAAAAAATGTTAAAAAATTACATTTTCAAGTTCATTTGAGGAGTCGGCCTTTGCAACCAGCATCTGGTACCAATTTGTCTGAGAGAATTTTTGAAAGGCAAACCAAAAAATTTGCAAACCCAAGAGAACGACAAGAAGAATCAAAATTGCTGCAAATACAAAAATCCTAAAATTAATAAGGCTTGAAGGATTAAATTTTTTCAGTTTTAAAATCTATAAAAAGATTTAATTTTTCTGACCGAAAAGGGCATCGTCCGGCTCTTGGACTGTCACCAGTGAGTCACATTTGTCATCAGAACATTTAGTAGCAAAAACTCCCCTTTCTCCAAATGTCCCGGCATGCCTATCAATTCATTCTGGTTAGAAATATTTTCAGGGAAAAAATTCAACTGTGACAAACTTGTAAACCATCGACAATTCCGCGTTTCGAATTTCAAATATCACCGGCGAGGCAGATTTGACGAGGATAGGAACTGTTGTGTTGGGTGCAATGGTTGCCCACTCGATGAGATCGCACTGAAATTTAAATTAAATTATATAAGAATTGAATCTTAATATTTTTGGATCATTTACATTGACGCATTGCAAGGACTGGCCCAAAAAGTGAAGCGCATCTTGCGCCGTCGAACTAATGAAGAGGCACGCCTCACTGAAGTTGAGGTTTGCAATTGAGCTCAGGTTGCAGCGCTGCTCATTGACCTCGAAAATCCTCGGTGTTCGCTGCGTTAGAACTGCTGCATCCATTCTTAGCCCTGAGCAAAAAAGAGAAATTGAATTAATTTTAGCTAGGATTAGAATAAAAAGATTATAAGTGGAGAGCAAATGTTTACTTTTGGAGATAAGAGGAAATTGTATAAATGTGTCAAGTAGTTTGTTTTGATTGCAATCTCAGCCTACAAATTTTGATTGCTCTCAATAAAAAATTATGGAGATGCGTTCACAGACAGAAAGTAGACTTTTGCAACAAGGACTTTTGTCCAGGTCTTACTTTTTCATGTTCAATAGCATTTAAAAAAACTTTTGCTCACTTTTGCTTATACAAGACTTTTTGGGACTTTAAAATAAAATATAAAAAATTTAATGGTTAGTAAATTGGGTGGTGCCTTCTGTACCACCAATAAAGGGCACAGGCCGACAAGACTTTGTCTTGGCCTGACCCTAAAAAAAAAATAAATAAAATAAAAATAAAAATAAATAAATTGGGGGGAAGATAATCAATTTTGTCTGTTAAATAATAAAACCTCCAGTTTTTTCTTCTTTTAAATAACAATAATTATATCTCCCACTCAAGTGTAAATAAAGACTGTAACAATATATCAGCTCATGTAGTTTTACGCAATTTTTCTGTACATAAAAACTTAATAACATCAACACACAATACCGGACTCAAGGCCGAGGCAAAAATTTATTGAAAACGCGGCAAAACGCCATTTCAATCTTTTATCAATTTGAACATTTTTCTTTTGATCGCATCAAATCTCCGAAATTTAAGAAAAAAATGGAACACACATTTTAATTATTTCATGTATGAAATTAAAAAAAAAAATGAAATCGAACAAATTTCATGCAAATGCAACGAAGCACAAAATGTGTATTGCATGGTATTAAAAATTTATATTCATCGGTAGTTGTTGAACCAAATAATATTAACAAAACACTTTTTGGTATTCAAAGTGAATGATGAGGAAAAATGAAAAAAATATTTTGAAAAATGGCTTCGTCTCTGTGATTTATAAATTTTGTTTTATTCTCTCACCATTTACAGGACAAGCTTTGACGAATGTTTGCAGCAAAAGCCTGAAAAGAGGCGGAAGACTTCCAAAATCGCCTTCCAACTCGAATTCCAAAACTCCCTCGCGAAATTTGCTGCGAATCTTTCACGCTTTCCGCCTCCGAGCCACTTTGTCTATGAAATTATTTTGTTTTGATTGAAAAATTCTCTAACGATGATTCATCGTCTCATTTGCATAAATAATCGGTACTCAACAACTATTCAAAAACGCATTTTACTCAAAATTTCACTTTTTAAATTAAAAATAATCACTTGAATTGAAAATTTATAGCATATTTAGTAAGATTATTAAATTTAAATGGTAAAAAAGGAGATAAATTAAAAACAAGTATCAAAATGAATTTGAAAAACCGGTTTTGCAGACGATCGCAGCGCCATAACTGGCACGTTGTGACCGACGGAACTACAGAACCGTACGTCGGAGGTCAGGGTGGGGAGTGGAGCAAAGAGAAAAAATTCAGATTCACATCTGGCCAAAGGAAAGGAGGGCGACGTGCATTTCAGTCAGACGATCTAGGAAAAGCACCGAAAAATCTATTTTTTCGGACACGGGTGGACGGAAAATGAGGAAGTCGTGATCGGCAGCGCGTGCCGACAACTCGTAGGCGCCGAAAGAAGCATTCCAGGACCCACGTAAGGCCGATTTCAGTCAAAAGTGATTCATTTTTGTGTCCTGCAACTTTCTACTTTTGCGTGAGAGAGATCAGAAGAGAACGGAGAGTTTATTCAAAACATAATTAGGCGCACTCGACCTACTTGCTCTTTATTGTGCACTTTAAAATACCGTTCGTACCAAATTATTTAACCATTTTCAACGAAATTTCGCAACCCACCGCTAATTACGTAATTTTCCTCTTCGCCGAGTAATATTTAAAATTTAAAATTAAAGTATTCCTTTTTTGTTTGTTGAGTGAATGGTATATTATGTAATTTTCGTTTGAGTTTAATGATTACCTTTTATAGAATGATGCAATAAAATTCAGGGATCAATTCAAATTACTCCGGACATAGTAATTACAAATCGATAATTCGACATTCAATACACTTAATGGCATTACGAAACCCTGCGTGACTGTTTTACATAATAGTTTGGTGTTCCCAAAAATGTTTTTATTTTCATCACGTGAAAAAAAGAGAAGCGGAAATTTGATACCCCAAGGCAGGGAAAACAAGACAATCTTTGACCGCATGAGGAGGTGAAAGGAAATGCGGACAGATTAAAAAAAAAATGTATTTATCACTTCGGGTTGAAAACAGTCATTTTATTGGCCTTGATCTTTTCAATCTTCATTCCGGTCAAGCAGATCTTTTGCATTAGGTCACGGTTTATTATAATTATTCCCATGTTTGTTTTCACTTTTTTTCTTGTTTGTCCAGCCAGCGGTCGATCAAGGTGAATTTATTCAAGATATCGTTTTTCATTTTTCCGAAGAGAGATAGCAAGAAAAATTGATGAGGCAAAAAAGAAACGCGAAAGTTGCAAACAAAATAAATTTTGTAATCATTTGTGCTTATTGACGTCATGCATAAATTTTAGAGTTACATATTTTTTGGTAGAAAAGAAAAAATTTTAAGTTGCCACAAGATGGATTTTATTAGGTTTCATCTACTATTTTTTTTTTATTACAAAATTTTTTGTTCAAACTACGATATTTTATTTCATTTTTGACTATACATTTATTTCTTATTTGGTTAAAAAAAATTGAAAATCAATTTAGAAATTAAATTTTAAAATCGTACCTGAGTGTCCAGCGAACAAAACAATTTAATAGCTTTGTTTCATAAATTAGAAAAATACAAACAGATCATTATTATTATTTATTTATTTTTGTTATTTATTTACGTAAAAATTCTAGTTGTTTCTTTTTATTAGGTTACACTCCAATCCAAATGTTATTTTAATTATTATTGTAAACAAACACAAATATTGATGATCTAATCAGGCCAAACAAATCTAGATTTCGAGTTGTTTCTATTTCGTAACAATCTGTTTCTATATCACCTGCTAATGTACACATTTTCTCTACAGGACGAGGATGGCAGCGAGGGTGTCCGCTGTGGTTTTGGCGTTGCTGGCCTTGTGCAGCGCTGCGGCCTCGATGGAGGTCACCTTTAACCCGAGCAGCGTGAAGCAGCTGAAGGAACTTTCCAGCGCCATCATCACCGTCTGGGCAAACGAGTCGTTCTCCAATTTTTCCATTTACGCCAACTCGACCAACCCTGTAGTGGCTCAAGTTTCAACAGAGTGAGATTTAAAATAATTATAAAATTTAGCTCGTTGACCAATTTTTTGCAAGTTGCTTTTCCTTTTTGGGTTCTAAATAATTTTTAAAATATATGCTACTTTTTTTAATAAAGTATAAAAATTATATATATATAATATTAAAATATTGTTAAAAATACTTTAAATTTTTCTAAAGAATTAAATGGCAAGATACCCGAATTTCTTGAGTCCCTTTTTTTAATTTTGAACTTTTAATTAGATTACATAAAAACCAAATTTTCAAAAGATATTTAAATACCGTAGATAAAGCACAACTGAAAAAATAATTTCGTAAGTTATTGAATTTTAAATCTCTTTCAATATTTCATCCAAATTTATATTTTTAACAAAATTTTAAGTTCAGAGGAAATTGTTTGATAAAAATTTAATGTTAGTTCTCTTTTTCAGACCAATTGAGTTTTTGCCAACTTCAGAGAACTTCTCCAAGTTCAAGACCAACTTCAGCGTGTATGGCAATTTCCTAGGCTACAGCAAAGTCTTCCTTCAGGCCTACCCAATCGGTGTGAATTCCTCAAATGGAAATCCGATCGACGAAAGTGCCGAACTGCCTGTGTCAGTGATTCGGGTGAAAAGACTCGCAGACCAAATTTTCATCATCACGGTGCCCATCCTGGTTTCATTGATTTACATCAACTTTGGATGCGCCCTGAACTGGACCGTAGTAAAAAACACGCTCAAGAGACCTATCGGACCCGCCATCGGTTTCGTCTCTCAGTTTGTTTTCATGCCTTTGGTAAATATTCAACAAAAACGTCTTATTTTGTACTGACTTTTAAAAAAATTGCAGATTAGTTTTGGCTTAGCTCGGTATTTGTTCCCCAACCAGCCAGCTTTGCAACTTGGCCTCTTCTTTACCGGCTGCTCTCCTGGTGGGGGCGCCAGCAACATTTGGACGGTGGCTCTCAACGGCAACCTTGACCTCTCTATCACCATGACGGCTATAAGCACTTTTGCTAGTTTTGGTATTTAACTCTCAGCTTGGTTGAAAATATCCCAATTATCATTTTATTTCTCTTAGCTATGATTCCATTTTGGGTTTTCACCCTTGGGCATGTGATTTTTGAAGAGGCCAATCTTGGTGTTCCTTACAACAAAATCGCCACAATAGCGGTCGGCCTGCTGGTGCCCCTTATCATCGGAACTTTAATTCAGTTCCATCTGCCTAGGGTGTCGAAATTCCTGGTCAAAATTTTAAAACCGTTTGCCGTTTTCCTCATCATTTTTATTGTCGGCTTTGCCACAATTACCAACTTGCATCTTTTTTCCTTCATGGACTGGAGGGTGAGAAAAATTATAAATCTATAATCAAAACAGCAAGAATTTAATCTACAAAAATTCTTTAACTCAAATCATCTTTTGCCTTGCCTACCAATATAATTTTTTTTAAATTTGATTTTATTTATTCCAGGTATTTGTTGGAGGAATTTGCGTTCCTTGGCTTGGATACATTTTTGGTGCTTTGCTTGCTCGAATTTTGAGGCAGAGTGGCTACGACATAATCGCAATCTCGGTGGAGACTGGCGTCCAAAACACAGGCATTTCGATATACCTCCTCAAGTTTGCATTAGAGGCGCCGGAATCTGACATAGCACAAGGTGAGGATTTTAACCTTTAACAAGTCAAATTTAATCACTAAATTGCAAATTTTCAGTCTGTCCAGTGGCTGTTGCCCTGATGACGCCAATTCCACTGGCCATCCTGTCCTTAATCTTCAGAATATGGGACTGTAAGTCCGACAAACATCTCAAAGGCGCTGAAAAACTCTCAGATAACGAAGTGGAAACCCCTCCTGACAACAACAGCCGAAACACAGATCCGTCGTCGATATACTAACTGTTTTCAGAGAAGACCAATTTTTTTTACCACCTGAATGAAGTCGCAACTGAAGTATTAAATGTATCCTTAAAGTTGAATTCCGAGCTGCGCAATCTGATTGTTATTGCATCAAGGAATGCGCCTCGGAAATTGAAAATTTTGATGAGCTTTTTAAGAATTCTCTATTTTGTAACCAATGGAAAAGATTTTCACTAAGAGACTGATCCACTACAATTTTTAAGTTAAATATGAATTGCAAGGATGATTGCAGATTATACTCTTTTGTGGTACTTATGTGCGTGTCATACTGAGAATTCGTGAAATTCAGGTGCAAAACCGAAGCTGAATCTAGTGTCTATTTATTCGGTGTGGGGCTAAAGGGTCTGAAGAACAAGTTGCGGAGAATTAATTTTAAAAGCTAAAAAGTTGCCTCCGATTTTGACCCGCAAGTGCAACGAAAGCAAAATGTGACCAAGCAACTAACAGCAGCGTTTTGTTTAATGTTGTAATTCTTTATTAGAGAAAAATATAGTTTTAATAAATGTTTACTGTTGAACCGATCAGTGCCTTTTTTCTAATTATTTCTCAATCTTGCTGGCAAGTGCGTGAGAGGGTTAAATAATTGCACATGCAAAGCGTGCGCGCATAGTGGGAGAGAGCGCGTGTGATTCACCCCGCGTCGGAACAAAGGGAGTCTCACCCCCCGGCAGTGGACCACGGCAGACAGAGGGACGTCTTGGAAGCATTGCGAATAAAATTGAGTCAATAAAAGGGGCGCGTGCGCAGAGCAGCGGGCACGGCGCAAAGTGTCCGTCCGCGCTACCGGACGGGAGGGTCCTCCGCACTCTGCACTTCGTTCCGTCGCCATGCCGAGCGGCGTCCGGCCGCTGCCCTCGGCACCCCGGGGGCCCAACGGCCCCAGCGAGTGAACGTCGCTTTTTGATCGATTTTTGATCGCGCCCCGCGCCGAGTTTTTCTCCCGAGGAACCGCTCTGTTGTTTTCCAGGCCTGTCAGTGTGAGGGAGCAGAGAACGCGGGCGTTTCATCGATTTTGGAAATTGGTGAGTCGAGTTTTGCTCGTTCCAACTGCAATTCGTTCCGATCAAATTGAAACTGATTTTTGACTCAAATGCGGCTCCACATTATTACTCTGTGACTCTCAATTGTATTATATTTAGAGAAATTTGCAATTTGCATAAATCTGCAATTATTAAAATGATTCAGACGTGATTTTCAAACAATTAATTTAGCTAAAATTTTGCAATTTTAGACTTGAAATTAATTTAAACGGAATGTTGTATTGTTAAATCTGAACGTCAAATTTATTTGATCTAACATTTGAAAAATTAAATTGAGCAAATCTTTGATCATTTTTTTACAGAAATAAAAAAAGAATATAAATATTTCCGGCTTGCCAATCTTGCTAATTCTGATAAAGTTGTGAGCGAAAGTTCCGGCTTATTCATGGGTAATCCCTTAGGCCAGGAAAACTAATTTTTTTATCTATTATATTTAATTTTTTCGTGAAAGAATAATTTTGGTCACGGTTTAAAAACCACAATTTCCGCTTAAATTTTAGTCAAGTCCAAATTAAAAAATATGATAATACCACAAACAAAATGAGAGTAACTAGAATAAAAACACATAATGAAGAAATTTAAATTTTACTGAAAAAAAGAATGATTTCTGAAAAAGGAAGATAATTTTGTTCTTTTTTAGTTTTATAATATTTAACTCAATATCTCTCCAGAATTTCAACTAATTTTATCATTTTAAAATAAACCTTGATATTTTTTTTAGCACTAAATTTACATTTAAAGGTAAAAAATCATATACTTCAATATATTTTAATCATTGAAATATCATGACAATTTGCTTCATTACAAAATTAAGAATTCTGAAAATTCCAATTTTTCCTGTTTCTCTATTTTCTTGCACAATGGCAAATTTTTCAGCAAGCTTAGCACATAACAGACAGCCTCTCTCCTCCTGGTTTAAGATTACACAGAATAATATTTCAGACGCATATTGAAACTCAAAGCGAAAATGTATCGCATTCAGCAACAATCTCCTCATATTTGCGATATTGGCGAAATTCCGTGTGAGCTCAAATTTTAAACCAATTTGATGACGCAAACGAACTAATCTTTTACCTCCGTTGACACCAAATTCGCCAAATCCTACTGTAAACACCACATAATTACATTTTATCTCACCTGCACATTTTTTAAGTGGGCACCCATTCATATTTTGGTAGTGACATGCAAAGAGCAGGGCTCAAGCTGGAGCAATGCGGGTTCATTAAGGAAAGAATTAAACCTTTGTTTCCTGCAGCGAGAGTGAAATAATTGTATGAAAATATGGAGGCGCGCTTTAGTAATATGGATTATGGTAATTTGTAAATGTGCGTGGTTTTATTTGGCCACGGCTGCAGTTCTGTAGCGGGGGCCGCGCGTCCTTAATTACAAAATCAATCCGCGTGCCATAAATCACGCGCGCATTCTATCGCTCGTGAATCTTAGCCGCGACCGGAACACCGCAATATTATAGGAATGAGAATGAGATTGTTAAAGTGCGCGGCCATAAAGAGAAGAAATGAAAGGAACATTATGTCGGGAAAATCACTAATCAATGCTAGTTCAAAATTAACGTAAATTCAAGATTCATAGAAAAAAACTAATAAAGTACTAAATTGTAAAAAAAAGTAGTAAATTAACATTAACCAGGGGAATTTGAAAATTGGAGAAAGATTTTATTTAAATATAAAAATTTTAAATTTCTCAGATCAATGAAAATATGTTTAAAAATTATTCAATAAACTTAATTGATAACAAAAATTGCTTCTTAAATTTGAACATACATTATTATGCTACAATTATCTTAAATTTTCTCTTAATTTTGTGACCCAAAAATCCAAGCGCCAACGCATGATTTTAATTTGCTTTTCTTTTTATTAAAACATGTTACGCCTCTATGAATCCTGTTAATTAAGCCATGATTTTTTTTGTTTAATAAAATTTTCATTCTCTTTTTGTTCAATGTCAAATGAAAAATGAAATCGAATCTAGCTATTTACACCCCTCGCAACGCAGGCAAACACATAATAATATATTCGGTCACAATGGGCGTTGCGTTTTTGATCGGTATCGGTTTGGGAGTGCTTATTCACGCAAAGTGCGACACAGAACGATTTTTTTTATTATGTGTATTATTATTTTTCCCACTGTGTTGTGTGTCCGTGGGCACTTCCGTGCGCGCGTTGATGCGACCCTGTGTCTGCAATGCTTTTATATACGAAAAGCGGCGTTCCTATCAGTCAGCTGGTGACTCGCTGGTTGGATTTTTTTTTCTGAAACGTGTGTGCGTTCTGTGTGGTGGATTTCAGTCCACGCGGCGCTACAGGAATAATATTAACTTTTCTGTCAACATAATAAGAGGAAATTTTTTTGTTCACTTTATCTCATCAAAAAACGTGAGTCCACTACAAACATTTGCACGCTTTTTTAAACATACAAATGACATTTCATGCGTGTGCAAAGGTATGCTAAGTAAAATTTAAAACATCAAATATTATTTATTGCACAGAGTTTCATAAAAAGTGAAATAAATTTATCTCCGTTTTTAGTTATTAATTTTATTGTGATTGAGTCCCACACATTTTAAATATAGATATTTAATTTATAATAAAATACTATAATATTAAATAAAAATGCAAATTCTAATTTAATATTTTAAAAATTGATTTTTTTTTAATTAAAGTAACTTTTAAAATTATTATAAAAATAAAATTATTAGAAATGCTTAATAATTTTATTTAAAAAAATTATTTTTGTAATTATTTTATTCTGTCTTCAATAATTTTATGTAAAGACAGAAATTCCCCAAAACTCGTGGAAATGCCAAAAACGTGTACGTGGGTGTTGCCAGCAAAAGAGCGGTATCACATAATTATTGTGCTATTTGACAATGTGGGTGGAATATTCCCTGACGCAGTTACAGGATACACACTTGTGACCAGACAAAATAATAATATATAAATACATACAAAAATGTAACACCAAAGTACATAACAGTCCGTGGGCGTTATTATGACTCTCAGCGACGCGCTTGCAATTTCTGTTTAACATCACCAGAGACCAGAATGGTTATAAATGATACTGCAGACTGGTTACAAAAGCCAGTACAGTACAATAACTCATCTATTAATGTGGATGTAATTTTTTATTGACATTCTTGTCTGGTAAAAATATTAATGATTTTCTTATATTTTTCATTACAAAATCTGAATGCGAGTTTTTTTTGGCAGAGAATTTGCTTATTATTTTACAGTTATTAGTTCAAATTTCATTAGAAACTTCAAGAGAACTTTTTTCAGAGCACAAACTTTTATTTTTAAAATTCAAGATAGTAAATTTAAAAAATTGAGATTTTTTTAATTTCTAGCTGTTTTTCAAGCTGAGAAATCGTTTGTAAAACTAGAAATTTTGCAGGCTTCTCGGTCCTATTTTCCATTTTTTTTTATTTGCAGGGATTAAGTTCAAAGAGCGACGACACTTTGCTTCGCCGCCGATCTGGAATTCAAATGAGAGACGGAAAGTTTGCCGGTCGATCGCTTTTGCATGAGGATCTATTACGAAAGCGGCGATAACGAGTGGGGAAAAAATTCGGCTTGGTCAAAACGACAAACGTTGACCTTCCACTCGAAGCGCCTTTGCAGACACAAAAACACCGCGAAAGCACGTAGCAGAGATAGCACTTATACATACACACAGAAAACTCTCTTCGAAAGATCAATACGCCGCCGAACCCGCTGAGACTTCAATACATACATTTGGCGCTGGCTTTGCACAACCGCGAGCCATAGGAAGATTGAAAGAAAGAATCACGTTTTGTTCACCATACTTTGATAATACGGCGCGCACAGTGATAAAAGTAATGAGGAAAAAAGAAGCTCTCAAAGTATATGAATAGAGGGAGAAGCGGTTGTCAACAACAAAGAAATTGATTTTTTAGAGTTTTATTTTTAGACTCTCACCAGAAGTGAATAACCTTGAATCAGTTTTTGGGTCGAAATTAACTGTATTTTAGTTTAGTGAAATTTATTTCTTTTATTCAATAAGTTTAGAGTCGCATTGATAAATTGAATTTTATAAACTTGAACACTGCGAAATTGTATTATTTTTCATTTCATTTTAATAATAATTACTTGATCCTATTAAGACTAACATAACAATTATTGCTTTTAAATAATTTACTGCCACTTGTATTTATGTTTATAGTAAAAATTTTCCAAACTTGTTGTTAGACGAACTATTAAAAAATGAATAAATTTATTTTTATTTTATGTATTTTGGTTTTCAGATGCTTTTGCAGAGTGGAATGACTCATCGGTGGTGAAAGATGGCCCCTCGCCTGTCCCTGCGACGCTGCTTCCTCGCCCTCTTGGGTGTCACCTGCTTCCTCTTCTTGGTGCTCAACATCCACCAGAGGGAAATCTGGGCGCGTTCGCTGGCCGCCATCCAGCAACAGGTATTCACCAGTCTCCAATTCAACCTGGGCGATTCTGCCAAAACCTCCAACGGGACGCAGAACGCCAGTGTTGGTGTTGCTGAAACCAAAAGTCTAAACCGACCAAATGTAAAATTTACACAATTTCTCAGTGAAATAATTTTTTTAAGTGAATCAATTTTTATCCGCGATTTTAAGGTTTCCTTGAAGGTTTGTCCTCACTTAAAAAAAAACATAGATATTAAAATCCACTGAAAAAGATTACTGCACACATTTTTTCCTAAACAAATGTTTTCCAGGTCACTCCAAGCAGCGGCTCAGACCAGTCAAAAGACTCATCCTTTAAGACTTCTAATTCTGACAGTAATAAACTTCAGGTAGAAGTCTTCAACATTTTTTTTAGTCTCTTCCTTCTGCTTGCCATTTCCTTAATTAGAATATAAAAAAATATAAATAATTATTAAATAAAAACGTGTTAAGCATGAAAGATAATTTTTCTATTACTTTATTATTTTTTTAAATGTATTTTTTCCTACATCAGGGTCATCTGAAGCCGCACAGCCCCAACCAAATTTCTTGGCAAGACATGCGGTTGCGGCCGTGGTTCATGGCCGGTGGTGAAAGGCGGCCAGTGCCCGCACGCCGAGGCAAAGCTGGCCGCCGACTAGCGCATCTCTGGCCTGCCGAGGACCCTCAGTCAGACCGAATCGCCGACCAGCTCATGTTTGTTCCTCCTTTAGGTGAGAAAATTATTCACGTTCTATTATATTATAAAATATACTAAATATTTAGAAAAATAAATTGAATTTAAATATTAGAGTTTTGTAATATTGCAACTAACATAATATTTAAAAATTATATCAGGGAATTAAAAATTTTGTTATCTTACAAAGAAAATGATATTGCCATAGTTGTTTGTATGCAGAAAATTTTAAATATACAGAACATAATAAGTAATTGTAAAGAGACTCTAAGCTTTTTGAAGAGATCTGCACAAATGATGATTAATTGGTTTTAATTTGATACTAACTGTTGTAATTGGTTCAACGAGAATTGAGGACAAAAGCCAGAAAAATTTAATTTCTTCACTTGTTATACTTGCTTAAGTATAAACTGGAAAATAAAGAACCAATTGTAAATAATTTATATCTTTAAATTGGTAAATTATAATCAAGAGGTTTTTTTTTTAAATAATTACATATTTATTGTTTCTGCAAAAATTAAAAATTATAACAATGGTTCAGAATTTTTAAATGATATAATTGATTATTTAGCAGAAGCTTATTAAAAATTGTGCGAACTTTAAACTTAAATGATAAAATTATTCATTTTTTCTCTCCAGCGTTAGCCAACGAGAGTAGCACGCGGCGCAACCAGCTGGACTTGGTTCGCTCATCGCAGACGCTGAAGAGGATCGTCCTTTACAACGGACTGAGTTCGTGGAACGTGAAGCCTGGCAGGGACACCTTCCTGGCCAACAAGTGCCCGGTCGACACGTGCACCATCACCACCAATAAGGCGGAGGTCAACGAGGCCGAAGCCGTCCTCTTCAAAGACCACTTTCCGTCGACGGCCACCCCTTGGCGCCGACCTTCATACCAGGCAAGATTTTCCGTAAATTTTACAAAAATATGCATAGTTTAAAAAAATTTTATATTCTATAATAAGAATTTGAATACTCAAAACATTTGATTTAATTTCATCTATAAATTTTTTATTTAATTGTTATTACTTGCTTTTTTTCTCAAATATCATCTAAATTTTCTCAAAACTTTTTATATTTTTTAGGAAATTAGATTAGTTTGTTGGAATTGTTCTGTGATAAGAAATTAAATGTTATTAAAACCAAGTTTTGTTCTGTAGGCGTGGATTTTGTACTTCCTCGAGTGTCCTTATCACACGCAGCACATAAAGTTTGGCGACCTGTTCAACTGGACGGCCACTTACCGGCGGGACAGCGACCTCGTGGCGCCCTACGAACGCTGGACCTATTTTGATGACAAAGTCAAGCGGCAGCCGCTTGGCTCACCGGCTTCTTCGATAAACTACGCGGCCAACAAAACAAAACAGGTTCGAAAAAAATTATAAATCTGAGATAATTTTAGAACACAATGAGGCTCCGAAAGCCAACGGAAGTGGATGGTGAAATGAGTTTTCTGCAAGTCACATATGCACCTGCTTTGAATTAATGCAGAGAGGTGTATTGATTGATATAAAAAAAAAGAATGAGAGAGACGACACGACCATACAAAGGAAGCGGCAGCTTCCATTTCAATAAATCGACAAGTACCATCATCAGCCCCGCGACTTTTCTTTCTTCCGTCGATGGGGGAGAATTTGAGTGACGCTTGAGCGACGGCATGTTTTATGCAGAATTTTCTGGCGCGGCACGCACCAAGCGTGCAAATTAATCGATCAGACTTGCAAAATGCCGACCTTCTGGTGTTGTGAAATCCCTTTTAGTGTTGATTACCATTGCACAGATAAATATTGACAACTTCTTTATTTAAAAAATTATTCCTTGTCAAATGATTATTCTTCCAGCAATCAGGTCATTGAAATAATTCAAAATATTTTAAATGAAAATCTCTGAATTCAAAACCATCATTAGATTTTAAGATGTTTTTATTTAATATGTAGATAAAAATTTATGAAATTTTTTATTAATTCCTTGAAATTTGTATCAAATTAAAAAAATTTTGAATTAAGCATTGATCATCAATTTAGTCTCATTATATGCTAATAAATGTTTTAACCTTGGAGCACCAAACAATTGTAATTTTATCAATCCAATATTTTTATGCCGTGCAGGTTGCGTGGTTTGTTTCCAACTGCGGTGCTCGCAACAATCGCCTTCAGTACGCCCGAGAGCTGTCCAAATACATTTCCGTCGACGTGTACGGCGCGTGTGGCACCAAAAAGTGTCCTCGCACTACGGCTAACAAGTGCTTCGACATGCTCGACAAGGACTACAAGTTCTACTTGGCCTTTGAGAACTCAAACTGCAAGGACTACATCACTGAGAAGTTCTTTGTCAATGGACTTGGGTGAGATATTTATTGATTAATTTTTTTATTCTTCGATTCATAAAAGATAAATTCGATTAATTGTTCTTTATTGTGTACAAAGTAAAAATAAAAAAATTTAATTCTTGAAAGGCTTTTATAAATATAAATTCTGCAAACAAAAACGTATTCTAAAATATTAATAGCTTCAAAATTTAACTAATTCTAGCATTATTTAATAAAGTTCCATAATACTTAATTATCTTTTAAAAATAATTTTTGTATTTTTTAACTTTTTCTTTTCAGACACCAAGTGATTCCAATCGTGATGGGCGCCCGTCCCGAGGACTACGAGAAAAGCGCGCCGCTGAAATCGTACATTCACGTGGACGAGTTTGCGACTCCGCGCGAGCTGGCCGCCTATCTGCATCGGTTGGACGCGGACGACGACCTGTACAACGAGTACTTCCGGTGGAAGGGCACCGGCGAGTTTGTCAACACGTACTTCTTCTGCCGACTGTGCGCGCTGCTCAACGATCCGGAAATGCCGCGCAAGAATTACCGCGACGTCAACGAGTGGTGGCGCGGCCCTGGCACCTGCATCACTGGCTCGTGGCGCCAGCACCGACCGGCGCCCTCCGTCGCGCCCCAAATTCACACCCCAGTCTCCAACGACACCCTTTGAATCTCGCCGTAAAAACAAAATCTTTGAGCTCTTTAATTTTTTTTATTTACAAAAGAAAAATACGCAATTTTGTGTCTCCTGAAAGATTAATTTTTTTTAATTAGCAATTTTTTGTCTTTGAAGTTTTCGTTCATCCGTTTTTTTTTAATATTGCTACTTGTTTTTTTTTTTTTTTTATTATTATCAAAAAGAGCAAATTCCCCAAGCATTTACTTCATAACTTCAAGAAGTCCCATGCTTCTTACTACTAAAGGGTTAAAGGAGGGGCAGACACTTTTACGGCTTATTGACTCGGACTGAAATTAAGAGTTTCCGTGCGTGTGCTGAACGTTTTTCCAGAGCACACATCTTAAATTGTCTGCCTGTTGTTGTTGCTGCTGTCGATGCTGCCCAGAAAGCTCAAAATCCACATTCGATGAAATTTAAGGAGTCTGAGATGCGAATTTTTATCGTTAACTAGTTTTTAGGCAGTGAGAAAGAGTGCAAGAGTGAAATTCGCATTATAGTGGCGTAAAAACTAAACTAAATGTATAAATATTAAAAAAAAAAAAACTTTCTGAATCTGCCTCAATAGCTGTACGGTGCGCGCTTGATTTTTTTGTATAACATCGCCGAGTGATTTTATACTTTCTCTAGTCTTTGATTTTTACGCCCACTGTTCTGTGTTGCTTTGACTGCGTTTTTAGCACAAATATTTTGTGATTTTGTAACCAAAAAAGAAAACCGTATTCTGTGTGATAATTTCAACAAACGCACAACTTGAGCGCACCACTTATTAGCTGCTCGAGTTTTGCTGGCATTAAAAACTTACCAAAGTTTATGTATTTTTTTTTTATTTTTATTCAAATAACATTTTCAATTTTGCCAATTTTGGTTCGGAAAGAATTTCATTCCTGTTTAATATAAGCGATTTGCCGCCATTTCGGCTCACGTAGCTACGTCCTAGATTTCCATTTGCGATTTTCAGACTAAAGTATAGAAAATGAAAAGTGTATAAATAAACAAGGAAAAATATAGTTGAAAAAGGAACAGTTGCTTTTGGAAAAAAGAAACATTGTTGATTTTCCTGTAAAATTTATCAAGTCTTGTACTAAAATCAGGAAATTAATTATATAGCTTAAAAAAGAAAAAATCTGCATTCCATACACACATTCCTTATGTTAAAATACCTAGAAAAAAATGGCAGAGCAAAACAGCACAATGTCCTCTACTGCTGGTCAGTTTCCTAGATTTGAGAAGCAAAAAGTGTCCCCGATCGTTCCACAAAAGCTCCGATGGTTGTGATGTTATTTGTTTCCAATCAGTCTGTCAAAATGAACGAGATAATTCTCAATACACTTTCCAACCGCAGCAGTTTATTTATTTAAACTCAAGATACTCAAAAACGATCATCTTTTAATTGATGACAAATTCCCGTGTATTTTTTTTTTTATTTGCTTGATTCCACGTGATTATTGTTGAAATATGTGATATAATCCAGAAAACTAAGGAATGAGAGAAACACTGTCAGCAGCGATACGATTTGTGGCGAGTGGTGCGAATTGATGCTCCGTTTTTAAAGATATGGCCGCTCGCTTGAGAGTCTCTTCAGTGGAACTAAACTGTAAATTATGATTGGGACAATAAAAACTTTAATTATGAAATAGACACATCAGCAATAATTTTCTTTAAAAAATCCCTTTTTACACCTTTGATGATATGATAGCATTATACATTATTTCAAAAATAAACTAGCGCCTGCAAAGTTGGCTGTTCGCAACTTGCAATACAGGTCCATACGACCAGTTGCATAGCATTTGATGATTTTAGTAAATTCAAAGACTTCAGCTTTATCACCTATTTTTTACAGCAGAAATAAATAACAACGAAATTTTTTGGATAAAAAAGATTGACACAAATGGATATGCAATATGGAAAATGTTTGTTAAATAAACACAAATAATTTGTATCATTTTAAGGCAATATAATAAATTTATTTTCAAGTTTGTAAAATTATAAAAAATATGGCAAACCACAAACAATCTAAATTCTGCAAACACAACTGAATTTACTTTCACCTCACATACAACAATTCAGTTTTTAACATAAGGAAAATATTTTTTTTTAGATTTTCAAATCAACACGTTGTGTTCTTGACAATGCAGTTTTAAAAGTGGGAAAATCCTCTGATATGTTTAAATTTTAACCAAGTCAGGTAAAATACTATTGGACACTAAAAATAAAGGTAAAAATACTACGTCCTTTCTTTAAACTGAAGAGAAAATTGGCCAGTTGGGGCCAACAGGAACTTAAACTCGAGCTCCAGGTCTCGTTCGCACCTCAACTCGTAACGACGTATTACCTGTAAAAAAAGGAAAAAATTAAATACAATTTAAGTCACAAATTGATGGAAACTCACAGACGCCAAAACAATCTGCATCACCTGCTCGGCGAATTTCTTCCCCGGACACATTCTCCTCTGGAAGCCAAAGGGGCTGACCAGGAAGGGGTACTTTACATGGAGAGATGGATTTCTTTCGACCTCTGAGGCAATCCATCTCTCTGGAATGAACTCGTCAGGACGGACAAAGTTGGCTTCACTTCTGCAAGCCTCACTTGTGTGACTCAAAACGACAGACTATACACGAGTATAAATTATTATAATATCAGCAACAAGGTATGCAACCTGAAATATTTTCCTGCATTGACGGTTGCATACTTTCCAATTTGTAAAAACGAATAAATTTTTCAACATTTTTTATTTCAATTAAATACATACCCCTGCAGGAACGTGGTATCCACTCAGATTCAAGTCGATTTCAGTAATCCGAGCGACGCATGTGGCAGTAGGTAGGATCCTTAAATTCATTAAAAAATTCCACTTTTTCTTCAAATGTATTAAATTGACCAACCTGAAAGATTCTTGAATGCACGCTTTGAGATATTTTGCCGAGTGCAGAAACTTGGCAGTGATTTCCTCGTCAGGCTCAAGCTGGCTTTGTATCTCCTCGTAGATTTTGCTCTGCGCCTCGGGATTTTTGGCCATCAAGTACAACATCATTGTGATGCTGTTGCCAATCTGCGTATGAGGGGGTTTGAGTTACGAAATGAATTGAAATTTAAGGTCAACGGACAGTGTTCATTCCAGAGGCGATGAAGTCTATTATACCCGACTTCTTGTCTTTGTCATCGAGGTCGCTTCGTTTGAGGATTCCGAGAAGAATGTTTTGCACGTCGTCAAACTGGCAGCTTTCGCCCGCAGCCTCAATCACCGGCTCCAAATACTCGCAAATGAGCCTAAAATAAATTTTAATGTTAACAAGTAAAGCTTTTTATTCATAAACTCCACCTACTCATATAAATCGTGTTCCGCCTCTGAGAATTTCTTCCAGGTGCTTGTTGGGAAAAATTTCCACAAAGCAAGGCCATAGTAAGACTCGTTGACCATTTCAAAATGTACGTTTGTCAAGTCGGATAGTCGCTGGGCCCGCTGATTAACTTCCTCCTCAAGAAAACCAACTCGACACCCCAGGTTCATCAAACACGTACCTGTATTTTAAATTAATTAGTTATTTTACTCTCAAATTTATTAATATTCATTAACTGGTCGAAACAAGACATTTGATTCTAAAATAATACAAATTAAGTGACGGGACTTTATAATTATATAATAGGTTTTGCAATAATTTTGCTACAAAAAGCAGTTTGATTTTTTTATACTAAACAAAAGCGCAATGAATGCAAATAGGGGTCCTCGAACTTAACCTCTGCACCGCCCACTTGTCATGCAAATTTATGCAGCCGGTTGGTGCGTAACGGTGCCCACATTGGCCAGGTCATGTGTGGCAGCCGCTTATTGTTACGTAATTCAATGCGCACCCGGCTGCTGCTCGCCGTTTCAATTCATTAAACGGGGAGTCGTCGATCCATATCGTAACTACACTCGACATACAATACGCCGTTTCGAAATCGACGCTCTCAAACCTTACTTGCTTTGCTGAAATAATTAAATATTGCTCCATAAATATATAATTTCTAGACTGGTTAACAAAAATAGGTACTATTTACGCTTCAAATTAAAAATTTCCCCTGTAAACATTTTTTTAAATAAATTTTAAATTTTTAAAACTGAATATTGAAATAATGATAACCTAAAATAATAAGAATATTTTTATTTGAAAAATTTACGACACGCTGAAAATGATTTAAAAAAATTACAAGTAACTTGTTGAACAAATTAAAAAACTAATATATTTGTTGACTAGTCTAGTAATAGTAATTTCAATATCTTCTGATAATTATTAGAATTATTAAAACGTATTTTTAAGAGTTAAATTATGTTTTAGATGAATGAAAATTACACATTTGAACCGATTTTGCAAGTTTAAAGCCAAAACGGAAGTTAACAGCAACATTCAAAACAAAACTCACTTTCGAAACCCAGTTTCCTGTCCAGCTCGATGACATTTTCCACAAAACCGTTGTTTGGATTCCGCAACTTGGCTATGCACGCCAAAAAGTCCCGGGCCATGTTGTTCACTTCAGGAACAAAGCCTTGGACGACGCGGGTGTTGGTCAAGTCGTGGGTCAGCGCCGTGCGCAGGCGGTGCCATTTCTCACCTTGTCTTTGTAATAAATTAATAAAATCAGCGAATTTCTTCAAGAAAAAATAAACTAACTCGTTGATTAATCCTCCGTCGTTGTATCTTTCGGGAAAGCCGGTCCGGTAGAAAGCGGTTATGGATGTTGGTGGGCGAATGGGACTTTTCGTGGGTATTTTTATAATTTTTTCAATGTCCTGAGCTGTGCTGATGCTCAATACAGGGTAGTTCCACAAAGCTTCCTCTTTAATTATTGGGCCGTACTCTCTGAACATTGCTATGGACAGAGTTTTTGATGAAATAATATGAACGGCTTCACAACAATAAAACAACTTCAAGAGCCTCTATAGAAAATTAAAAGTTCTAATAAAAGTTTACAATTTGAAGAGGAAAGAATTTATAACAAGCACCGAAAATTTAAGTCTGGGATGAATAATAATTTTTTTAACTCACTTTTGTAAGCGTCATGAACCTTTGTTAGTGGGAATCGACCAAAAAATCGGTTGAAGATCCATCCAGTACCAAAGAAGGGCAGTGGAGTGGGGCCAGGTATGTCCTTCAATGAAGGGACTACTGGCCTTGGAGCCACTTCGGTGGCAAATAACGCTTCTTTTTGTTGCAGGGCAAACTTAATCTCAGCAGCTAAACAAGAGAGAGACAAAAATAAAATTTACACCTTATACAACATTCAGTCAAGATTTAATTAAATTTATTTTACTGTTTTATAAGTCACGATTATTAGATATTAGTCTAATTTTTTTTCACTATTATGTTTTGCCATAGAGAAAATATTCACAACAAAAATAAAAAGCAGCAGGTGTGCTCCGTATCTATTAGGCGAACTTTATTTTTGTATATGGCCTGGGGAACTTTAGTAATTCTCATAATAAACATATTTGCGAGGGTCAGATTGGCAGTTTCAAATCAGCATGCAGGACGAGGAGAGAATTAAGGCACCTGTTATAAGGCCCTGCAGCCAGACGAGAAGGTGTCGCCAGGTGAATTTGACTGGTTCCAACAGCGCTGCCAGCAGACCCGACATAAAAGCCACCACGAGACGCATTCTCGTCACTTCTGCAACATACATAACATTTTTTTTTTCGTAAATCCCTCTGCCAAAAGAAAAAAAAATACGCGGAAAAAAGATAAGCCCACGCGACAACCAACACACAAGAAGTGTCTTTTGCATAATTCGAGCAAGGTGGTGTCAAGGTGAAAGAAAATAATGATGCCGAAATCTTATCTGCAAATAGAAAGAGGACGCGCTTTGGTTATCTTGCGTATACGAGACGCGAGACAGTCTGGCTGATTTCAATTACACGCATTTTTGTGTACAAGCATATCCTTTTCGTGTGAAATTGCAAACTGTAAAATTAAGCGGAAAAATTTTCAAGGATGAACCGTAATTGCGTTTAAAAGCAAACGTCTGCTGCTAATTGTACTTGATATACTCACACTAAATTCTTCGACCCATTGAATTTTTAGCCGGAGAATCAATCAAAGTAGTGCATTGAGAGAAAAAACTCTCACGTCAGCCGTGCTGAATCGGCGCATCAAAAATAATATCGGCAGCGATTTGAAATGAAAAAATCCGACCTCAGATAAATTAAATTTGCACCCGATGGCGTTTGCTTGATAATGTGTATATAGCTGCTGAGAGGAACGTGGCGATTTTTTGATTGGCGAAATTTCCTCTCACAGAGAGCCGCGCAGCGAGCGCGAAAAAAAAACGCTAACGAAAGAGATCGAGGCCGCGCGGTGCTCCTGTTTTTCTTCGCTGTATAGAATACGAGAAGAGAACTCACTCACGTGCGCGCCGCAGAACCGCAAGGAGAAAATGATTATAAAAAATGAACGCGCCGCAAAGTCTAGCGAGTGATTTAACACTGAACGCTTATTAAAATATGAATCCACCGAGCCACAGCTGCGGCTCAACTGTAGATTCGGAAAGAAAATACGCACGGGCCAAACCACAACGCAAGTTTTATATAAAAAGTTTCTTAGATATTTAATAATAAATCTGCAATTTCATAATGCTTACTCTGAAATAAAAATATTTTCTTTTCTCTGTTTTGTTCTCGGAAGTTTTGGCAAATTCCTGCTAGTGGTGGTGCCGGTTTGTCCAACAATTCCTTTCTTTTCAAATAAATTGTTTTATAACGATTGAATGTAAACAATGTGATGTAACAATTTAACGACAAATACACAACACAAATAATATGGGTTAATTTACCGAAAACTGGAAAACCAGTTTCATGCAATTTTTTAAATTGTTATATAACAACTGTTGTATAACAATTAAGTTTTGTTGGGTAGACTACGCCTTGTTAATTACGCATTTAGCAAAAGTTAAGAATTAAAAGATCTTTAAATGTCAGCTTATTTCATTTTTAACAGCTCATGAATTAGGGTTGCAACCCGCAACCGAAACTAGTAGAGCAGGGATTTTCTGTACCATGCAGAAACAATAAAGTTGCTCTTCCCCACCGAGGAAGCCGGATTTTATTTCAACAAATATGACCACCTCGAGTGCCAAAAGGTTCCACAACAACAACTTCAAGAACCTATACAGAATCTTTTTAAGAGTCTTCACTTATCAGATCACCCTGCCCTAAACCCTAAATAAAATTACTACATTTCAGGACGTGCATCATGATTATCACAAGTAAATTTTCAACTAATTTATCCATCAATTTACTTCCCTTTAAGTCAAAATCTTTTGTCAATTTGAGAATATTTTGGAAAATTTGCAAGCAGTTCTAGTAAATAAAGTAAATTTAACTGAAAATACATGCAAACCAAACTCGGAAGAAAAGACAATTATATTCTAAGTTTCATTTATTTGAGTCTGGAACTTATTTAAAGATCAAAGCTTCTGTTAAACTGATTAATTTGTTAGCTCTTTTATCAATGAGTCGCAAAAATCGCTACTTGAATTTGGAACAAAATAAAAACTTTTAAAAATTGACAACCTTTTTTTTCGATAAAGCTTTAAAATTTTGAATTAATCGGAATTAATTTTAGGGATCTGCAATGGCTTTACAAAATGTTATGCTTTTATAAATTTTATGAAAATTTATTTTCAATTTAGTAAAAAAGATAGTTTTGAAATACTTTTTAGAATTGTTCTTTAAAAATTAATTTGCCTATGGCATTTCAAAAATTTGAAGATAAAATATGTAAAAAAAGATTTAATTTACAAATTAGCAATTATCTAGCACAAATCTGGCACAAATCAAATCAGCTAATTTATATAATCTGTTTGAATCTAATGTCAGTGATGTCTTTTCGTCTTGGGAAAAGCCTTTAAACTTTGGAATCGCTCCGGCGCACCCGCTAATGAAAACGCATTGGCAAAGTTAATTGGACGCACGCTATAACTGGACCTGAAATGGCTGAGATATGTGATCGAGTCGGCGTATTTTATCGTACAGCATAATATACCCGTTTGCTCAAGTCGGATTGAGAGTTGAACAGCGACTGCGACGGCGGAGTCAACGATCCCTGCCTGCGTTTCGAGCACTCAAAATGATATCACAATCAACGCCTATAAATGTATAGAAGAAGCTGCAGCCGACGTACGCGAGCCAACTCGCTCTTTAACTAAGTGAATCCAAGTGGTTCAGTTTCAAAATCACGAATCGACCGGAACCGCAAGATTGAGCAACGCGCGTAGGCGTCTTTTGCTCGGCAGACGCACAGCCCAAATATGAATACAAATTATCTCATTGAATAAAAAAGTCTGTATTAATTTATTATATTTAAAAAAAAGTTTTCTAACGCAACAGTGATAGAAAATTGAAAATAAAAACTGATATTCATAAAATTTGTTAACATATTTTTCATAAAATACACCTCAATTGCAGTCTTAGTTTTTATTCAATTTTATTTTATTTATTATTAATTATTATTGTGAAATTTAGAAAAAATACTCAATATTAAATTATTATCGTTTTCAACGCTCAGTAAAATGGAATGTAATTTATAAATGATTTAATGTTTAATGTGACACCAAATCACTGAATTTAAAAACTTGTCGCTTTAATTCTTGCAGATCTAAAATTGATATCATGAAAACTGCGCTTGCTAATGAAAAAACCTGTTGTTCGTTGCGAAAGGTCGCGTCCTTATGCAAGAGCTGCAGCGCACTTCTCGATTAAATGCATTTTTAAGTGCGGTTTCAATGCAAGGTATGCATTGCAGTTCAATCGAGGCTGTACTACAATAATTTTATCCTAAATGGGCAATTTTCCTTTCCCGTGGTTAGGTGAAGAATAATAAAAGTGATAAAACTCAACCGAATAGCCAAGTTGGATCTCTTCTTCAAATATTTATGGTGTGGCGGACGCGCCGGAATGCATTTTTAACTCTTTATTATTACATATATGCATCGGACTGCGCCACAGAGACGTGTTTTCAAAAGGATAAAGTGGCATGCCTAGATACTAATAAATAGTAATAGTACATATTCTCAACAAATTTTGAGATTCACATCGTAAAACTTAAAAAATGAAGAGAAATTTTTCAATATTTTAATTTTTGTTTACGCATAAATTTATACAAGTTGCTATTTTTCCCATAGTTAAAATATGTTTCAAAATTTTGAGCTTTCTTTTATAAATGTTACTTTGTTATAAAAGTCTGCAAAGTAAAATAAAAAAGGTAATGTTAGTTTTTTTTTTAAATTGGTGAAAGAATTACAAAACTGCTTTAAATATACAAAATTAAATGTTTCCTATGAGACGAGTTCTGCAGTTATGAGATAAACTTGACCCCAGCTTTAAATTTTCGTCTGAAATATATTGAGTCACTGAAAATTTCATGAAAAAGGTATAATAGTTTAGTTTTATATTTCAAAAGGGAAATTAATTAACGAATTGTTATAATTGTAATTTAGAGTAAGATCTGCCCCTGTTTGCTGCATTCCCTTTAAAATTACGCCTTGTGTGTACGTTTTCCCGTCAGGGCGCAGGCAACTTTGTTGCTGCACGGATGTTCAAGAAGGACACGAATGTGAGACGAATGAGAGAAAAATCACCCGCGCCTCTCTCGACGCTCACTTTCCAGTTTTAAAAGAGTGAATCGATTTCATATACCAGGTCCGGTAATTGCGCCTTCGGTCTGCTTCGGTCTATGCCCGAGATAGAAAAGTAGGCGTATATTAAGGTGTTTTACCTTGAAAAAATAAAGAGTCGCGGGAGATCAAATGGAGAGCGACGGAGGAATTGATCTCTCTCCGTATATGAAGTTGTACAGCATAAAACGGTTCAAAAGTAGGGCTATAAAACTCCTACAGAAAGATAAAAAAAATTGAGATTATAGAAAAAAAGAAATTGTACAATAAGCCGATTTACAATTTTCCCAACATTTGTTACTAATTAGTCATTATCGAAATGCGCCGTGTGTTTTTATTCTGACGTCAGTGACGAAATTAACAAACGAGAAGAGCTTGCGGTCAGATCCGTACGTCGCACTGCGCACAAGATGCTGTGGCAATTTATGAGGCGATTTCAGTCGAGCTACGAAAATAATTCATGCTTATTGTCTATAAGCCCTTAAGACCTTTCTTTTTCGCGGGACATATGTTCACAATCAGCACATTAATTGCTTATCTTATCAGGTCCATCTTTTACTTTTTATTTATTGGTAATTTTCTAATGTGATGATGAGATAATGAGGGTGTCAAATTAATGTATATCGTTGCAGTATGGGTGTTAATAAGTTAAGGACATTAAAAAAATTAAGTATTACTTTTACTTTCAAAACTGATTTTAATATTATCACGCTGCATAAACTTACTTGTTTTACACTGAACGCAGCTGAACGCGATACACGATATTCATCAAATAAGTTTAAAAAAATGTCAACAGCCTTTAGAATGTGGTAATTTATGAATATTATTAATTTATCAATAAATAAAATTATTAATTTTGGAAATCCACTCAATTTGGATGCCTTAAAAAAAATAAAAAGCAGATAAGAAATTATATATATTTTTTTAAGTCAAAGATTATATTATTTTATCAATTTATTATAACAAATTTAATTTTTTGGTTTCTTTTTATCTCAAGAGTACCAATTTTGGCCAACTGACGGTTGATTTTTTCATAATTTATTAATTTTTTTAGTTTTTTTTTGTTCCTCTTGTTTGAGCACGTGCTTGGCCATTAAACTCTTTTTCTCATCCGTCTCTTCTCTCTCTCTCTCACGATCTTGGTCGCCGGCTATCAATAAGACGTGTACACCGCGCGCGCGAGCATAAAAATACACACATGCATTTGAGCTCCGCGGTCTCGTCAGATTAGACATATGTGACTTGCAATTTTCGCCTTCCCTTGCAAACAATGGTCTGCGACGCAAATCTCACAAAGCAAATTCAGAGCAGCTTCGGCGGCTGCGAAAGAGAATCGATATAGCAAGAGAGAGAGAGACTGACGAAGCTATAAAGAAGAAAATAAGAAATAAACCCCTCGGGAGCAGTTGTTGCGAAAAATTGATTGGCACCTCGATTGATGGCCTGAGAGCAGAAAAAATGAACTGAAGCGACGGACGCCCCACCTCATTCTTTTGAATAAATGATTATGGCATATATGTTGGAATAATATTATTTTGAGAACAAGAGCAGCAGACAACAAAAATGGTTTTTTGCATAATATCCCATTGCGCTTAAAAATTGGAAGTGGTTTTGAGATATCTGAAAATTGTTTCAAATTTGATGCAATAGCATTATACTCTTGTACTATATATTTTAGTTAGTAAAAAGTAATTGGAATAATTGTAAAAAATAATAACCAATACATGTCCGAAGAAATAATCAGCTGTGGCGTTTATTCGATTGAATTATTTATAAAAAAAATTGACTGAATTTCCGAAATCTTAAGATCATTTTTGGATTTATTCAATTTAAGGTTTTTACCAAGAGGGAAAGATAAACTTGCAGGTAGCTGCGGTTCAAAGCAGTTTTTATTTTAAATATTTTCATTCCCTATTAATGAGTCTCGTAAATGAACTTTGGGGACAATAACTTAAATAATACTTTTTATCATTATATTTTAAGAAAAGTTGTATATTATGCACTCAAAAATAATTTTGTGAGCAGAAAGGTGAGAAGAATTCTTATTTCTTTCCTTTCATCTTAAAGATCTGGACTATTCCTTGCTACATGTAAATCTTCAAGACTGGTTTTAGAACTGTTCAAACCACTCACAATTTACAAATTGTAAAATTCTTAAAGTGAGCGTGGCTCGTATGATGGATGGTTCGTTTAGAAAGTGGAGATCATTTTAATTTTTAAAAGAGCCTTTATAACTTCTGAATACACAATATATACGAAACGCTTTCATTTCACGTTCAATGCTCTGTGCAAAGGAAAATCAAACTTAGCAAATCCAGGTAAGCTTTGAACAAACACTGGAAAGACTTTGCGCAAACAATTCTCGCCGCCGCCAAAGTTGGAAAACAAAGCCATATTTTTTAAATTAATCTGTCCTATTTCACATATCTTAAAAAATAATGTGCTCCTGCTCTTATCACAAATTAAATAAAAATATTCACCTTTTCCACATTAAACTGCTCACGTTCCGCGTTAATAATAATTGTTAAAACGTGTGCATGCCTGTCTCTTTGTAAAGGGAAGGAGAGAAAAAACCGAAGGTGCATAAAAGCAGTCGAAGGTCCTGCTGCACATTTATATAATATATATACGTGCGGTCCGGGTGTGCTTGAGAAGGTTGTTTACGCGCCGAGTGCGCATCTCTGCTCTCAGGTAATCAGTTCCGCAAGGTCAATGAGGGGGTGACAGACCGTATTCATTGCTCAACAATAGACGGGGCTTCTTTTTCCCCACGAAAATGCATACCTGTGAGTCATAAACAAGTTTTCCAGCAGAGAGATGCACCGCGCCGACTGCACGTACGAAACGTCTTGTTCTTGTTCGCCGCCGCCGAATCAAAGAAAGCAGAGTCGGTGCCAGAATAAAAGAGGCTGCACTTCCGGCGGAAGGTGATTTGCCACAAGTCGGAAAGGGTCGGAAGTCGGATCGAATTACACCAAAATGTAATATTAATATACGTTTGCAACGCAGGTCACTCGCTGGCCGATCTGCTCCTGAACGAGAGCAGAGGCAGAATGAGTGCCGCGTGTTCGTGTTTTGTATTATTATCATGTGTGCCCCTCCTAGGCCGCGGCCGGCCGGCCGGCGAGCGCGGCGCATCCGACGCGATTTTCGTTCTTCCATTCTCTCCGCTCTCTTTAGCACAGATTTTGGTCACTCTCTTGATTTAATTTTATTGGAACTAAAATTTTTATGAATTATTGTTATTGTTGTTTATTTGAACAAATTGTTACATCACATTGTTTACATATTGTTTGGAAGGAAGCATTTTTTTTTTTTATTAATTAAATTAATTTTTTTGACAAATACATCAAGCGTTTTCAGCGAGATGCGCAGGCTGATTTAATATGCATAAGATCTGGAAAAGTTACAAAATCAGCCTGAAAATATTGCATCATACCTCGATATGTATTTAATTACATTTTACTGTGGCGATAAGTCATTCGCGAGATGAATTAATTCTTTATCCCATTTGTCGTTAGAATGATTTTTACAGGCGTTAGGCCCTGAATTAAAATTTTATTTTATAATATAAAATTTATTATGAGCAGCACCCGCAGCCAAACATTTAGAGCAGATCGATTTAATTGTTTTTCTGTGCCTCAAAACCAGCAGAATTATATCAATGCTATCAATGGACTAGTAATAAGTAATAATTTATTATCCCGACCTTTCATGTAATTTTTTTTAATATTAATTCTACTAGAATAATTATTGCCTGTTTTATTTATTAAATAAGAACTCTTAATTTTTGCAGTAGGTTTAAAAAAATTATTATTGGTTGTGATTTCCAAGCAAAGTGTGACGATGGATTTAATAAAAACGTGAGCTTATTTTAGTTTTATGTCTATTCAAAGAAATGAAGCAGGAAATATTACAGATATTATATATGGTGAAGACAGAAAAGACTGGACTGGTTTGGCCGCAGCAGGTGAATTCGGTGGCTCTGGACTTTTGGAAATGATCAGAAGCAAGCGTATATCAAGAAATTCCGCAAGAACTGAAACTCCTCTATTCTAATTCACAAATTGACTAGAGTAGATTAAATAATCATAATAATAATTAAAAATTCGTTTTTTTTTAGTTGCAAATTTAACAACAAACAAATTTAAGTTTTATAACATATAGTTCTTTTGTTTAAATTTTTCGAAAATATGTAAAAAAAGAATAATCCTGTTTAGATAGAGAGAGTTACATTATTGTTTTTATTTAATTTTCTTTCATTGCTTATTCTGTTGATCGAGATAAAATGCATGGTTTACTAAATAGGAATAATTTAATTTCAACGTGCTTTGAGTTTCCTTTGAACCTTGTTCAAATTGGAATTTATGGTATTTATCGTATTTATATTTAAAAAATTCTATAAAATATGTCCACAAAAAAAGTGAAAAAAGTTGAAAGTGAAAGTAAATATTTTGTTTAGCGAAATTTTTCTGAAAATATTTAGGGGCTATTCGATGCCAAAAGTTAGAACCCAGTAGAATAATCGCATTAGCGAACTTACCATGGAATATTAATGATATTAATATCACTAACTAATTCATGACTGTGTTTTCTTTCATATGGCCACGTGTTAAGTTTGCTGATATTTTAAATTAAACTTGGCGCGCTTTCATGATACGCGGATTAATTGGCGCGCATGCCCTGTCACTCCCATCCAACATCTCAACTCGCGCTTTTGACTTTGATTTCTCCAAAAAACAACACAAGAAGGCCGCATTGTCGGCTCTCTGCGAACTTTAATTAGGAGAATTTCCTCTAAAATCGGATCAAACGCGACTCCAGCATTGCAAATTCAATCGGATTCGTTGTCTGAGGTAAATTTTACTCCATTTTCATTTCATATTTATCGAGCTGCTCCACATAACTTGCCTTGAGCTGTCGGAGAAACGGCGACCTCGAGCAACAATCGTAAAGTGAGACGGACGATAATAATTTTGACTTCCTGGAATTTCAGGTAGAATGGAACCGAAGACGACGGTGAACTTGAACGGGAAGCCTGTTATCATTACCGGCTTTCTGAAGAAGTTTGAGCACAAACCGGGCCAAAAGGTGATCATCATCGATCGGGCAACGGGCATGAAGCGAATGCTGGAAAATGGAGCTGCAAAGAAGGACGGCGAACCGTCGGAAAAGAAGGACAAAACAGACTGCGACGAGGCCGAAAACTCCGGGGCCAAATCTGACACACCAGCAGACCAGACCAGCGCCGAGATAAACATTCTTTTCCTTCACAGTATGAACCCACTTCTGGATAAGATGGAAGTGCAGGATGCACTTGCGAGGTGCGAATGGAATGCTGTGAAAGCTGGCAGAATTCTCAAATCGATGAACGAGGAGCGGAAGGAAAAGAGGGAGCAGGAGAGAAAGCAAAATGAAAAGGAGGAACTGGAAGTTTTGGACGAGCCGCAGTCTCCGGAGTCTCCCGAGCCAAAGAAATACAGGAGAATTAGCACAACCCCTCAGGTTAAAACGAAAGAGGAGTATCGGAGGAATGAGGAGCTGTTTGCTAAAATGTGCACCAAATTTCCACTGAGAGACCGAATGTTCATTCAGCAGTGCTTAGTCCAGGCCAATTGGCTTGAAGAATTGGCGGCCACGCTGATCAGAGCCGGTCCGAAAAACGCCCGTCCCGTGCCTCTGTCCGACACCGAGAAGGAGCTTGTCCGGAAACAGCAAGAGATTGATGCCGAGGAGAAGAAAAGGCGAGAGGCGGAGATTGCCCTGAAAAAGCAGCAGCAGCAGGCGTCGGTCAAAATGAAGCCGTTGACCCCGTCCGAGATCAACAAAGCCATCAACGCCTCGTTCAAAAATATCACCTCTCAGAAATGCTCGCCCGAAGAAGAGGACGACGAGACTGAGCCTGACTACAGAGGCGACTTCAAGAAACGCACCCTGGACATGCTCAAGACAATCACCTTGGCAGAATTGGCCACTCTGCCTGGTTTTTCTAAGAAGAAGGCCGAAACGGTCATTCGAACAAAGCCTTACGAGATGTGGGGCGACATCAGAGGCAAGCTGGAGCGTCCGGTGGCCAACTCGTTAATCAAGTGTGCGGAAGAAATGTTTCGCGTTCGGGACGATGTGACCGAATTGATGCAGCAGTGCACCAGACTGTCCAAGCAGATGGCTGGAAAGGTGCGGCAAATCGTTTCGTCGAACGCCTCTGATCTGGCGGAGCAACCAAATACTCTAGGAGGGACTGATCTCAAGCTGGCGCCGTACCAACTGGTTGGATTAAACTGGCTCATTTTACTGCACAAACATGGAATAAATGGAATACTTGCAGATGAAATGGGTCTAGGAAAAACTATTCAGGTACTTATTAAATTTTTTCTATTCCAAGTTGTTAAAATAAATATTATTATTTCACGATTCGTTATTTATTTAATACAGATTAAGATTTAATATTAAAATTTCTTCTAAAATATCTTGTTAAATATGAATTAATTTTGTGAACTTTTTTATTCAGGTGATTGCATTCCTTGCCTACCTCAAAGAGCAAGAGTTGAAAAAAGGCGCCCATGCTATAGTCGTCCCAGCGTCCACCTTCGAAAACTGGTCCAACGAGCTGGCTCGCTGGTGCCCCAATTTGAACGTGATCAATTACTCAGGAAGCCAAGAAGAGCGGAAGCATTTTCGTCTCTGGTGGAAAAATGACAAGAACAAAGAGGAGGTTGACACCTACGACATAATCCTCACCACCTACAACCAGATCGGCAGCAACAAGCTGGACAGGGCCTTTTACCGCAACATCAACTTGCACTATATAATTTATGATGAAGCACACATGCTGAAAAACATGGCCACCCAGAGATATGCTGCATTAATGCAGATTCAGGCTGAGAGGAGGATTCTGCTGACGGGAACGCCTCTGCAGAACAATTTGATAGAACTGATGTCGTTGCTCATATTTGTGATGCCCCAAATGCTTGGAGAAAGGCAGGAGGAACTCACGACGCTATTTAAAATGGCGAACAGGTTGGTCATTAATTCAAACAGACAATTCCATAAATTAACTTTTTTTACGTTTTTTCCAAAATTAATTTTCTTACTTTAATTTCAGACCCGATGGCTGTAACGAATTTGAAAAGCAAAAAATACAACAAGCCAAGAAGATAATGGAGCCCTTTGTCTTGCGCCGTCTGAAGAAGGATGTTCTGAAAGACCTGCCTTCGAAGACAAACCACGTGGTCAACATTGACCTTACTTCCCATCAGAAAGACCTCTACAAAAACCTTGTGATGGAATTCTTTTCTAATGCCACCAAAGATGACACCCCACCTCCATCGGAAGTTCAATCTGAGAATGGAGACGACCTTGAGCAGCAAGAAGTTGAAGAGCCCGAACCTGATATTGCAAACACACAAGAGAGCAGCACCCTGGGTGGCAGCATGAGTGTGATGATGCTGATGAGAAGAGCGGCCAACCACCCTGCACTCCTACGGCACCACTACGATGACCGTCTTGTAAAGAAAATGGCCAAAAAGCTGTTAAAAGACAAAACCTACAAGGAAAACCGAGAGGAATCCATTCGTCTGGACTTGATGGAAATGTCCGACCACCAAATTCACCAATTGTGCCGCAACCACCCCTGTATTGAAAAAGACGTCCTGTCCGAGCAACAAATTCTAGAGTCGGGTAAATTCAACGAGTTGGACAAACTTCTCCCTGAACTGCAGAAAGGTGGCCATCGAGTGCTCATGTTCAGCCAGTTTACGCAAATGATGGACATACTAGAAGATTACTTAAACATTCGTGGCCTCAGGTACTTTCGACTCGACGGACAAACGCCGGTTGCTGAACGTCAGGGGATGGTGGACGAGTTCAACAGCGATGAGTCGATTTTCATCTTCATGCTTTCGACCAGGGCTGGTGGTTTAGGAATAAATTTGACAGCTGCAGACACCGTCATTATCCACGACATAGATCTCAACCCTTACAACGACAAGCAGGCGGAGGACAGATGCCATCGAGTTGGACAAACCAGGCCGGTCACCATTTATAAAATGGTGGCCAAGAACACCATCGAAGATGCAATGTACATGGTAGCGCAGAACAAACTTACTCTTGAACAAGAGATTTCTGGTGGATCTTCTGGAGGAAAGCAGAATGAAAAGAAACTGTACCACCTACTCAAGGAAGCACTCATGGCTTCGGGCGAGACGTCGTAGCAGCATTGAAAATGTGATTTGTGGGCTCTCTCTCCGGTAAAAGATTTTATTTCGTACCCATTGAAAATTGTTTCCTTTACTGAATATAAAATGATGTGCACTAATGATTAATGTGATAGGTATATTGTGCTGCGGAAAGAGCATCCAGATTATAAATGAGTACTCTTTTATGTAATAACCCAATGTCATAATTCCATAAATTATAATTCACTTAATAATATAATTTGTCCAGTGAGTTTCCAAAATAAATGGTCGAATATCAATTTTTTGAAAAAATTAATGAAATTTTATTATTCTTTTGCATTGACTTTTTATGCACAAAAATAATAAACTTCTGCGGAGTTTTCACATCATTTCACATGCTGCAGATAAAAAAGTGCAATTAAAAAAAAACACTTCATAATACAGCCTTATTGGCCAATACAATTTAAGTAATATTTTTTCTTTTTATTAAAAAAGCAGCGTTTTAATTTATAATAAAACATAATTTATGTTATGCAGTATTATTGATAAATTTCTTTTTAAGAAATAAATTGAAAATTAATTTATTTTCCTTCTTCGATTTGGCTTTGAATTTTGACAGCCAAGATCATGGGGATAGGGGATAGACCACAGACAAACAGTCGGTGAGGTAGACTGACCCGCACGTTATTACGATGTATAGTGCCTAGTGCGCATGCGTTAGCGAAAATACAAAAACAAAACAAACGAGATTTAAAGCAGCACGCCACAGCACGCAGTCAGACGCAGTGAAATAAATTTAAAATTTTAACAAACTCAACAACAACTGGTGTTGAGGTGATTGATCAAAGCAGAATCAAATCATGTTCCGTGTCGTGTGTTCATTTCGTTAATTTTATAGTTACACGGATTCTAACTGTCGAAGCAGTAAGCAGTGGTCATAAGAAGAGGCAACTCCGTGCCGGCAACACAAAACTTTGCTTGAAATTTCCGAAATTTCTTCCCTCAGGACCATCAGATTCAAAGTAAATTTTTTAAATATTATACATGATTGAAAAATATGGCAAAGAAGAGCTCTTCCCCAAATATGAGGGAATTTGAGGGCACGGCAAAAGATTTTTTTGAATCGCAGGGCTTCACACTCAATACACTAAAGGTATGTATGTGTTTTTATTATAAAATGATTTTCTTGGTTAAAATTTTAAAGTATTTATTTTAATCTTGTTATTCTTTAAGTTTCTCAATATCAATGAAGGCAAAACTCAAAATGCTAAAAAGCCTGGCAGTAGCCAGCCTGGCCGGCCAAGTCGTGCCCCTCAACAACCTGGAGCTGGAGTAGCAGCACCCAAATCTGGTGATGGTGATGGACAACAATACATGCCTGTGTCTAGAATGCCATGGATCCCTGCCAAAGTTGGCAAAATAAAGATGCAGGATTCATTTTTCTTCAAAGAAATGATGATTGCCAGGAAGGACAAAGGCACACTTGGCTTGCAGCTGCATTGGCTGTTGAACCAGACATTCCCTTACTATTTGCCCAAAAGGTCATTTTAAAAATAAACCATTTTTATAACTTAAAATCTTTTATATTGAAACAGGTATCACCAGATGGACTGCAAAGCTTTGCAACAATGCTCGCCAAATGGTCGATACTGGGCAAACGCTTCGTACTACATGCATTGCACTCAAGCTTACGGTGGAATGTACATGCTTGCTATTGATGATGTGCTTCGATCTGAAGATCCATTTTTCAAAAAAGGCGAGGAAGTTACTGTGCGCCCGTTCATGATCCCTGAATGGAAGAAGAAAACATTTGAAGTAAGAATTTTGTAATGCGGCAGGTTCAAATTTTTAATTTTTAATTTAGTAATTTTAATTTTTCATGGAAATGAACTAAAATTATCTCTTACAATTTTTTAGGGAAGGCTGGATCTGTGCGAGTCGTCTGATGAAATCCTCTTTGACCCTTGGCTGATTCTGCAACTGCCCTACAGCAGCAGGCTCTTGCAACAGTGGTATGTTGCTTTCCTGGCTGAAGTGTTACGTTTCCAGAGGGAAGTTGCCGATTTTCACTTCATGACAGTGCCAAAAGAACTGGAGCCAGTTGCGTTCAAGCTTGGGCAGCTAAATAATGAGTTGACCAGACATGCTGTTTCTGTGTGCAGAAAACTAAGCATGGTCATTAATCAGTGTGAGCCAACTGGACAAATTGCCTTCTTTCTCCAAGGCAGCCTTGGCAAAGTAAAAAGCTACTTTTCTGTAACCCTGGCAATGTTGAGGTTTATCACTAGTGACGAATGCAAAAAGCTGATGAAAGCTTTAAAGCAGATGGCCTGGAATGGCAGAAGCTCCACTGAAAATCGGTACGAAACTTTTAAAGAAAACCTTCGGCATGGTGACCTGTATCACTTCATGAGTCTTGGAGATGTTCCTCATCCATTTGCTTACAAATACTGGAAAAAGAGCTCTTTGGGAATCCCAAAATTTGAAGACCTGGATGCTGATGTATCTATAGAAATGGAAAAGGAACATATTGAGCTGCAGTATGAAGTGGAAATCTGGAAGAGCATCAGAGCCATCAACCCAAATGACGTGCTTAAGTTTGTGGAGGAGAAGGTCATCAAGGCTGGAAAGTTGACGGGCGCAAGTCAAGAGGCAATGATTAGGGAGCTGAGGAATAAATCTGTACCTGATGATGATTATAAACTGATGGGACACTGCTACTTGATGTACCACCACTTTCTTGGTATTTTGTTTTACTCATTCCTCTTCCAAGTACATAAATTTTTATTTTTGCAGCAACAAGCAGCAAGGAGGAAGGTTTGCGAAACGCCGATTTTGGTGTGATCTACCAGCTAAACACTTTGTTTGGGGATTTGCACCTGGCTGTAGCTCAGGCTGCCCTAGTTGAGATTACAGAGCTTGTCATCAACTCCAAAGGGAAAATCAAAGTCTTCAAAATTTTTGAACCAGACAACAGTGTCCCTACCCTGTCAATAAAGCAGATGTTACGCACATTGGAAAACGTTAGTCAGGACAAAAGCTGGGAGTTTGATAAGTTGCTCAAAGGCCTGCAAAATGAGTGTGCCAGGCTCAAAGCTAAGCCTGGTGATTACCCAAATCTGGAATATGGAAATGATAGAATTGTGCAAATCTTGGAGGTATTTTAAAATTGCTGCTTTAGTTTTGGTAAAGTTAAAATATATTTGATTCCCAGGCCAGAATCAAGAAAATTTTGTTGGAGATGATTGAAGGTCCTATGGGACAATTCGCCGGCCCTATTCGTCTTTATGGAGAGATGTCAGCTGTCCAGTACATTCTGCCTTGCTTTGTGGCTTCGTTCCTCGACATGGACGCTGATCCTTCAGTTTCTGTGGCATCTAAGAGACAGTACCTTGACTTCGTTCATCAAATGATCAAGACCTATGAGACGTGCAAATACTATGAGTGCCACAAAAAACATAACCACTTTGTCAACCGAACAACCAGACTTCTTGATACTTATGGCCAATTCACTGTCATTTCCCGAGTTAATGTGGACCTCGATAAAGCAATGTCGGGAGTTCTCAACTTGATGCCACGAAGAATCAATTATCTCCTTAAAGAAAAGTTCCTTTTCGTTCTGCTTTCCACAGTCATGCGGCAATGTGACCATGATACAGAGTACGACATCAAGTTCTCCTCATTCTCTTGGCCCTTGCAGTTTTACCATTTGATGTGCAGGTAATTTGAGTAATTTTAATTTTTTTTTTTTTTTTTTTTAAGTTTTAATACAAAAATGACACAATAAAATATAATGTGTCATTTTCCCTCATTCTCATGAAGTGAGTGTCACCTTGGTGCTTATCTGTTTATTTATATAATCTTTTATTATTAATCAGTACTGCGGAATAATACGTATTATTTGTATAACTGAAATTAATTTGAATTATTTCAATCACTTATCTTTTAAAAAAGCAAACAATTTTAAATAATAACTTTTTGCTAAGTTTATTCACAGAGTATTTTCACTTTTCAAAATATTGGTGGATATTCGTCTTAGTATGTAAATATCGTAAATATCAGCCATTATGGTTATATGCAGTTGTATGAAAAGAAATGTATGTTTCTTCAATGCCGTATAGCCCGTCACATGAATCGTAACAAACATGTATTCCTTTTTGTGTTTTAGGATGCTTTCTGCTGTGGAAGCTGTCGATCCAGAAGCCTATAACTCTGTTGACCTGTCCATTGGTCACTGCTACAAAGCCTTCTTGTTTGCATCAATGGTTGAAGACTTGGGAGTTACACATCCAGTAGTCGAAATGATCGATCCCATGTTGAAAGAAGCTGGCTACCGGTGGAACAGCAAGTTTCGTGGAGAACCAGTGGTGTTGCGAGCTTTTGAGAACACAACCATGGAGCAGCTGCTCGGAATCATCTTGTACACATATTTGAGAAATCTAGACTTGATTGCTACACCCATAAAACCTAAGCAGTTTGAATTTGTTCAGCGCTTCACTCCAGACCCTGTTCAGGTTGCCTTCTTTAACGTGATGGAGGGGAAGTTGTGGGAGCTCAAGCTGATGGTGTCCAAATGGCTGAGTGCCAAAAATGGAGAGCTAAATCTTTCCATGATCACTTTCAAGGAGGCCAAGGCTCGAGAGAACTGCTATAAAAACGTGTTGAGCACCCTGACTCCGGACGGAAAGGTGCAAATGAAGAAGCCAGGGCAGATCAACTTCTGTCCAATTCAGCACTGTCGTTGGTGTGGACAGGCTGAGGGTGTGAAGAATTTCATTCTGTGTGATATGTGCTTGGATACCCCGGAGTACCCAGACAAAAATTTCTTCTGCTCGATGGATTGCTCGAATGCCATGCAAGAGCAGCACAAAGATGAGCATGAAGAGTTTCTCCTGAAAAGGCTTACCTTGAGCTTTTGAATTTCTTACCACATTTAAAGTTAATTTTCATATTAAAGCTATTCAAATGCTCAGCATAATGAAATTAAAAGTATTATCGAACTGTATACAAAACAAACAGACTGAAATTTGTATTTTATTATTTCTTCATCACAATCAACATAAGTACAATATTAATATTTTTTAATAATTGTTTTATTTTTAGTAGTTCATAAAATTAACGGAATGAAATGCTTTCTTTGGAAATAAGGTAATTTCAGTTTCAGGGCTTCCGAATATTTGCATAAAATAATACGACCAATATTTATTAGTTAAAATCAAGAAGCATAAAATGTTATTACTTACTATTTTATACTTCTTGGTTAAAATTACAAAAATACAGTTGTTGCAAGATAGGAAGAAAAAATTATTTTATATTTTTATAATTATTCAGAATTATTTTAGACACAAAAAGAGAAAATTGCTTAAGTGTGGAACAATAGCTCTTTCTCTCTTATGTCATGTAATTAATTAATATCGAGATCGCCAAAACACTTTTGCGGACAACTAAAGAGTGCATAGTGCATCCTAGATCGCCACAATGAGGATTTCGCGCTCAAATCCTTTGTGCTTTGACGGCAAGGCTCTGGACGATACTAGCGCCACTGGTTCAGTGAACTTCCGTTAGTAAACAAAATCCACCTGTGCCGAAAAACGTTCCACCTAAAGTCCCCATTTTATTGGTCAACTTGCGGTCTGATTCAGGAAAATAAAACTGATTTTCTATGCAGCTTCAATAGGTGAGACAGATTTCCTTGAATTGAGGGATAAAAGACCAAAAAAATAAAGCTTTATCGCCATTTTTAGCAAAAGGAGTTGTGTGTGTCTCGCAGGTTAAACCCTTTTCATGGGTGTGTTGTTAAAAAATTCCTATGTATTTTTCTCGATTTAACATTGTTTAGAATATGTTTTGATTCAAAATTACTGATTAGGCTGAAAACAATGGACAGAGTGCACAATCCTCCCACATCCAACCCTTCAATGGAGCCGAATCTGAGGCTGAAGTGCTTGACTCAGCTCGGTGACAGTATAGAAATAGATGCTACCATTCCAGCAAGAAGGTATAAAATTTTGTCTTCAATGAGCTTTTTGTATTTAATTAATATAATTTTACCTTATTTAGGTACTTCCGATCAGGACTGGAAATGATTAGAATGGCAAACTGCTACAGCGAGGAAGGCAACTTCGAAAGCGCTTTCATTATTTATATGAAATTCATTGTGTTAGTAGTAACTTTCCTTATTAAAATGATTTGTGGCATTATTTCTTTTGGATTTGTTTTCAGGCTCTTCCTTGAAAAGATTAGGAATCACCCTGACTTGAGTTCTGTCAGCGCAGTCGACAGGGAAGTTAATAAGCAAAAGTTGAAAGAAGTTTTGCCCGTAGCTGAAAAAATCAAGTCTAAGCTACTCACAAGGTTTACGGAAGAGCATGAACAATACAAAGTAATAACAGTAGTTAAAAGTTAAATTACTAATAAATAGAAAAATGGAAATTTTAGAGAGAGGCTGAACAAAGGAGGTTTTTGGAAGAAAAGGCAAGAAGGGAGGAGATTGCCAGGCAAGAAAAGGAACTGGCAGACAAGCTGTCAGCGCTGGAGTTAAAAGGCGCCACCAACTACCACAAACAACCACCTTACACAGCTAAACAAGATTCTGACTTCATTGTTCCGATTTCTCCCAGCGACATTTCTTACCCCAAAGATCCTGATTTGCTGGATGAAGAAGAGCAATATTCGACTGAAGATTATGATAAGATCTCGCCTGTGACTCAAAAATATCCAGTCCCAGACAGATCCCTGAAGCCTTCAAAGCTTGAAATCCCAACTAGGTAAAGTGTACTTAATAATAATATTGATCAATTTGAGAATAATTCTAATTTATTTTAGCTCCATATTGAAGCCAAACATAGACAGGTCAACAAAACCTCTGTCTCTCCTTAGTCCCTCTCTACACAATCAGCTAGGACTTCGAAAAGTCATCATCCCTTCGAAGCTACTATCACAGTTCATGAGTCTGGCACAGAAAAACACCGACCAGAACATCGAGACCTGTGGAATTCTTGCTGGAAGCTTGGTTTGTATAAAATAAATACTTTTTTCTTTTTATGATTAGCTATCTAAATACTTTCTCTCTGTTTCCTTTTAGAACAAAAACCAACTCCAGATAACACACCTTTTGGTTCCAAAGCAAAACGGCACTCCTGATTCTTGCACGACTATGAGTGAAGAGGAGATCTTTGATTTCCAAGACCAACATGACCTTATAACTTTTGGATGGATCCATGTAATACAAATTTTCTCTTAATGTTTTTTATGCTCAAATTCATTATTTTTTAGACTCACCCGAGTCAAACTTCGTTCTTGTCAAGCGTGGATTTGCACACGCACTGCTCTTACCAAAGAATGATGCCGGAAGCAATTGCTATTGTTTGTGCCCCCAGATATAAAGAGTAAGGAGTTATGACTTTTTTTAATATATCATTCATATTTCCTTCTTCCAGAACTGGGATTTACATGTTGACAACTAGTTACGGACTAGATTTCATTGCAAATTGCAGAAGCACTGGATTCCACCCGCATCCTTCGGAACCTCCCCTATTCACTGTAAAATTAATCATATTTTTAATGATGAATTGATCTAAATGATATGTTTTTATCTTCAGACTGCTGAGCACGCCATGTTTGATGAACTTGCACCCATCAACGTAGTTGATCTAAGGCGATGATTTGATTGAGTGAATCGTGAGGTTTGACCAAAATGTACTACTTGTTCATTGCTACCTAAAATAAGATGAGAAGTGAGAAAGTGTGCAAGCAATGCCAATTTATGATAAGGCATATAACACATTGTGTACATTAATGAAACGATATTAAAGGCCTTCTTGCTTGTGATGCTTTAAAAGTGAGCAAATTAGTTGCTTTGCAGTTAAAAGTATTTATCCAATCCTCAGTGTGCCCAGCACGACTTTATGACTGTTGGAACTTATTTGAAGTAAAAATAAAACAATCCGACTGCTATCGCAGTGAATGATTTTGAGTCACTAGCATTAATAATCCACCTTGGACGCCATGCGCAAAAACAGTATCTTATCTAATCAACCTGTTCAAGTTGGGAAACTTGCAGTCTTCATCAACGGCAATTAAGTTACAGAGTGGTCTTGAAAAGTGGTGTAATTTGCTTGTATTTGCTTTATTGTTCGGTTTAAGATCCAGTTCTAATTTTACAAATATTTGCCCTCTTTTGATTATCACAAGTGGAGTGGCAGTTTGTATTAAGACAGCACTTTGCTGCAGGGTAGATAACTCTATTTACTCTTCCATCTCTATCTGTGCTGAGCAATTGTGGTCAATCAAAAGAAGTAGTCACCTTTTGAACACAATAATGAGGACAATTTTGATCTCGTTCACACTGTGCTCTGCGATATTTATTCACCTTCTGCAGCCAGGTAACAATAATTTACTCTGTAAAAGCTACTTTAACTAATTGTTTAGTTAAATTATAATTTGGAATTTTTAACTCGTTGATTTCCTGCTAAACAGGAAAACAATAATTAAATTGATATGGTATGATGTTTTTATCAGTTTTTTTTTCAAAATTAAATTGATCTTTTTCTTCAATGGGCTGGGAGCAGGGAAGATCCGTGTTTTGCTGGTAATTTTCTATTTTTAATTTTTAACCGCAAAATAACCAACAGGGAAATTGACCATAGTCTGTCCTAGTCAAAATGGTGCGATGTGCTGGGAGGTTATGTGCATGACCTCCTGTAGCACTTGCATATTAAATTAATATTTCTATTAACTATAATTTTTTTTTTTATTGAAGTTAGTAATGCATTTTTGTTAAGGACGATGCGCCCAGATACCCTCATCAGAATCGACTTTTTCTCCAACTCCATCAGTCCTTCCATCCTCATCTTCACATGGAGAAAATCAAACTAATGTCCCGCCTAGTCCGACTCCAACTGCAGTGACCCCTTCCTCCATTAGACCACCAGAAAATGCAACTGTATCATCTGCCTTGCCGTCTCCCACAGCCAAAATTGAGATGGTCGGATTTGACAATGAAGAGGCAAGCGAAAGTCCTCGCATTACTATGACAGATCCAACAATAGAAACGACTGCTGCGAATAACTTGTATGACGCAAAAATAACAATCAACTTTCTTGCTTACAATGGCAATATCAAATTACAGCACTTCTGATGCAGTGACAGAGTCAACAAAGGAGCAACTCATTCCCGACGAAGACCTGACCCTGAGCTTCATTTCAACATCGTCACACATCAACACAGCCACGGCCTTCTTCCCTGAAGCAAAATCTGCAGTAATCATAACTGGTTCTTTCCTAATTGTAGCAATTGTGGCTTACGGAGGGCTGATAATTTGGAAAAAAGTTTTGGAGTAAGTTTTATAATTCTATTGTTTAATTTCAAGTGAAATATTCTAACAATTTTCAATACAGGAGGAGATACGGAAACCGTGAGTTGCTGGTTAACGAGGAATTTTACGATGTGAACGGACTGAAATACTTTGAGGTTGGTTAACTTTTTCTGAGTAACAATTTATTTTTTTAACAGCATTTGATACATTAAACAATAATGTTTCTACTCCTGTCTTGTTACAGTTGTGATGGAAAAGTCATCGTTACCTCGACTTAATCACTAATGCACCAAAAATTTTGTAAATCTTTAACTTATACGAACCAATCAAATAAACTTGAAACTGTGAAACAAAATCCTTCACCTCTTTAACAAAGAAATACTACTACTGCGGGGGAAAGTATGAAAAGTGAGCAATTTACTACAGCACTGGAAAAATATTGCTTCTATTTGGCAAAACTGCCTGAAAAAAATTGCAATGGCCAATGATGCATTTTTAAATTTAATAAGAGAGGCGCACTTTTGTACAACGGAAGTGGGGGGAAAATGCTGTGCTCTGCTGACTTGCTAAATGTTGCACAACCAACTCTTTCTCTGCGGCTCTAAAGGTTAGAAAAGGTGTCTCAAACGCCGCAAGGAAGTTACTACTTATGCTTCACAATGAGAGGACCAACGTTGTCTCCAAGTTCCTTATTCATTGCCCCGTGGCTACCATCACAGTAGGGGAACTGCAAAAAATATTTTTTTATTAAATGCCAATTAATTTTTTTTCAGTTAAAAGAAGCATGAATGTATTATTAAATTAGATATGCTTTTCTTATTTCCAGGATAGATTTCAAAAAATCACTTTATACCATGTATTTAAAGAAAAATATTTTTCTACTTCTCAAGGAGTAAGCAACAGGCGTGACATTATGTAACGCCGTGAACTTGAGCCTTTTTTGCAAACGTCATAATATTGTTATTACCTTCTTGCTTCTCCAGCACCGGCAAAAGGCGGCCTTCTCATTAATATCCTCAATATCGACACTGTCCACCACTTTTGCGGAGTCTTTCTTAATGCCTGGGTTTACTTTACCCTAATGCGAATAAAAAATAATAAAAATTGATTTGAATAAATTCCAATGTTTATCATTTTTGAACTAACCTGACAGCGACCCTTTGGGCAAAAAGCTCTGTAGGACATGTAGCCGAGACCACCGACGGCAGCACCGAAAGGAACGAGTCGGAGCCAATCTTTGACTGCAATAAAATTTATAAGAGCATGATTAGAGGCAAATCAACCAAGCCTGGTACTTGGCAAAAAAACGTGAAAGGCCAACATTTGGTACACAAATTTGGCTGAGATTTAGCCTACAGTCTGGTAAATTTAGCGTTAATAGATAGTTTATGGTCTAAACTCACATCCCAGGCGGAACCATCCTCCGATTGATTCTGGAATCGGCAAATTCGACAAATAATTCGGCAAGCTAACTTTTACAAGGTGTGAGATGGGCTCCATTTTTGATGAGTACTGCTGCCAACCTAATAAAATTCACGTACGCTGTGTTTATTTTACTTGAGGCAATGTTTACTATTTTATTTCCAGAAATTTAGTTTTAAGAACAAATTTAAAAAACTTTAAATTTTTAAACAAAATTATAGAAGGAAATCATAAGTTAATTTTTTTTAATCAGCTACTAATTTAATGATGCTTCATGATTCTGTTGGCAGCATTGGAGTTAAAGGTTAACCATCGAGCCAGTTGGTGTTCGGACTCTCGTCGATCGTAATCCCGCGAGGATTTCTGCCGAATTTCGGCCCAATTTGGCGGTGTGCGTGCAAACTTGGCCGGCCGAACCACGTTCAACGTTCGGCACGTTCGCGGACTGGGCGCCACTCGCGCGCCGACCATTCAAGTCAAGGTGACTCGATGTGAGTGAGCAAAAATGGACGAGGGTGTGCGGATTGTTTCGCTCCGCCGTAGTGATTCTTTTGGATTAGGATTTTCCATCCTCGGCGGTGCCGGCTCGGAACTGCCCCCGATCATCTACGACATCATTGAGGATTCACCAGCGGCCGAAAGTGGACAGGTGAAAGAAAGAAATTTCCAAATTTTGGTCTGTTTTGAACGGGACCTCGGTCTTGTTAGAGAGAAGGAAAGAAAGAAAAACAGAAAGGCCTTGATAAAAATGCGAATAAACAACAAGGCTGCGTCTGCCGCCCTTTCATTCGGCGCGTTCTCTCTTTTGCACTTGGACAGTTCGCACCGAATTAGTCACGTTTTTTGCCGAGAGAGAAAGAAAGAAAAAAAAAAGGATGCTGCATCTTCCGTTCTCCGCCGCGTTTCGGGGGCTGCCTCTCTCCGCAGCAAAAGTGACAGCTAATGAAAATAGAGCGCGAACACTGCACTTATTTTTAGGTCTGTCGTTATAGGAAATTTTGATGATTGCTTATTCCAATTTAATCTCGTACACGTTTAATTTTGATTGAATTTTAGATGGGAAACGGACCTGCTTTCAGTTTAGAAATTTTATGCAAATTTGAAGGGTTTAATGCCTGAAACGAATTTCTCTTTAAAATGGAAAGCCTTTTGGTGATCGGAATTGCAAATCGACTTCTCATGCCACCATTCACACCGCAAAAGTAATTCTTCGAAGGCACAGGCGACTTTTGTATCTTCAAAAATATAACAGCAAAAATTTATAATTCAGTGCTGTTTTTTACAATTTCACATCAATAAAATTTCAAAAGAATTGTAATTATGTATGTAAAAAAATATATTGTTCTCTGAAGCTATCATTTGCAAATTAATTAAATTTGGAAACCAAAAGAATCATTAATCTCATTTTTTTTTATCGACTGAGAAGAATAAAAAATAATAAACTTATCAGAAGAAGACTTTCAAAATTCCCTTGCTCTTTAGTACAAATTTATTGTGAATATTTTCGCGTTTTTGCATAAGTCTTTTTATATTTATATTTTTGTCTGTTTTTTTTTTACTCTGTCTGACGTTGCACCAGCCGATTGTATAAAATTAGCCGTGTTGCTCAACGGAAAAAATTGTGCCGAAGAAGACAGGAAATGAGATGCGGAGGCGGTGGAGGATCCCTCTCGCGTGCTTGTCGGCGGCGGCACATAATATTTAATAAAGCAAGCGGCGTTCCCACTTTAAAATGCACGAAACTAAATAGAGGCGCGCACTTTTACAGCTCTTACTTAACTAGCCAAAGCCATCAACATTGATAACGCCGCCAAAACGCAATTTAGTGACGTGGGGAGCGGTGGATTCCTGCACGTAACTTTTGTTTGCTCTCACAAAATTCCAATAATTCATTAGCATTTTTCTGTATTGAAGTTGATTGTTCGTTCAACACTAGATTTGACATTTTCTTTCAAAATCTTTATTTAGCAGGGAAAAAATTCCGCTAAGACGAAACGAACACAGACGGGGGAATAAGTAATTTAATATTGTTATTATGGTTATTATTATTATTTTTAATTATTTTTCAGATTTTCAACCAATATATTCATTTTTTTATTGGAAAGCATGATTTTAATTGGTTTAGTGATTTTTAAAAGCTTATGATTTAATTGTTTCTGATTGAAAAATTCCTTGTTTGAGGTCAAGAAATATATATATTTAATTATAATTATTAGTATCGATTAAAACTCCCGAACTTAAATCATTTAAATTGGCTTTAAGATCGCACGTCTTGTACAACACGCGATTAGCCAAAATGGTCTGCAGCAGTCGAAGGGATGCTAATCAAAATTCCACGGACGCAGGCGGCTTAATTAGCACGTTCGCCGACTGCCTAGTTACTCTCGATGCACGCGGCAAATAATTCCCAGCATCGACCGCCGCATGCCCAAATGGAGACGGATGTGATGTGCGTGCACGGTGTTAAAACAGATTCACGCATGCAGAAAAGATAGGATAGAGAGCTCGGCAGGGTAGAATCACCGACGAGGGTAGGGCAAAAACGATAGCTTTGTTCGCTAATTTTGATTAATGGAATAAATGTTGAAATACAAAGAGCAAATAAACCAAATTTGGTCTTAAAATTAAAGTTGAATCGTGCAAGTCAGATTTACTGATATTTACAGTAATCAATTAGCACCAAGTGGAATGTACAAATTTTCAAATGGGGTCATTTTTGACGTGCGAGTTGCCTATATCGGAAAGCTGCAGGCGCGGGTGGTGCGTTGCATGGGTGAGCGTGTTTTGGTTCACCCTGTTTTGATGCTTCTATTTTTACGTTAATTACTCACCGCGGGGGAGGGAAATTAAAATCGAAATAACACAATTTTAATTAATTAAAAAAAATATTTAATCAAATATAAATAATCATGGGCAATATGGGTGCCAAATTTGAAATTCATTCTGGAAGGGTTAAAAGCTCACAATTTTCATTTCTGGTCAATTTTGAAGCGATAGAGGTTGATTCAAGGGATCAACAGAGCGACTTATTTGATGCACATTGACCTAGTTATGGCGCTTATCTCTTCATTGGATCGGTTTGGTGTCAAATGTTCAAAAATTCTTCCTTTCGAATATTTTCATAATTAAATTCTTATCTTTAGAGATTTGAACGTAATTAAAAAAAAAACTAGTCCTCTTAAATTTGAAATTTGCTTTTACACATTTTTGCTTTTTACATCAGAAGATAGAAAATTGCATAATCGTTTCAATATTCTTGTTAATCACAGAATAAAGAAAAAACTTGATTATATACTTTTATGGTCTTTGATTTTTTTTTACTATAAAAGGAAAGGAAGTGCTTCAAACTTTATTCAAATTGTAATTATTTCTGCATCGTAAAACTTTTTTTTAATGAATAACTAATTGTTGCTTAATTCCTGTTAATTATAATAACAAGTAAGTGCTGTTGAATAAACCTTTCTTTTTCCCCACGCGCAGTGTTGCTAATTTTCCCGGTGGAGTTTGTTGTTTTTGTTTTGCGTCGTCGGCGCGCCGCACACGCCCATCCGAAGCGTGTCTCCGGAGCACCCTTAATCGGGCAAGCAAACAGCGGCGGCGGAGGGCGAGCGGGGGCGGCATCATCGATTCCCGCCCGCCCGCCAAACTCCACTTTTGGGCAAATTTTCCCAACGACGTGTGCATAATACGCGCGGCAAAAAGTAAGCAAATGGCCAGCGAGACTTTAAATAAGTCTCGTGTTTGTCATTATTGCGACAGCGTCCTTTTTTCGCTACATTTGTGGCGCCGCTCGGGTGCGAGTCTTAATTTCATTTCTGCCCTCTAAAGGCTTTATGTTTTTGGGAGGCGCCGCCACTCTTAAAAGACGACTCAAAATTTATGTGGGTCTTTGCTTCTTAGAGTAATTTTTTTATTCTGATCGTACGTCTGTGGCTAAATTTTAAAGATTTTGCAAACCAATTCTTCAATATATAATTTTTATTTTATCTAACAGCAATTTTAATTTATAGGTGAATTTTCTAAAAACTTGTACAAAATTTTTTAACAAATTTAGGAGTCAAAACTGATTTTTTTTTATTTATTCTAATTTTAATAGTATTTTTGTAGCAATTGAAATGCAGTATTGATGATTTCTAATTATTTTTGCTGTCACATTCTGACGATTGCACTTCTTAAAAGCGTCTAGCCAGCGCTTCCATTGTTAGTCTCACAGTCTGGCAGGCGCCAAACAAGGCTCAGTCTGGTCTTATATATTTATTGTTGAACCACTGCACCCTGCGAGAGCCATTTCTGCGCCATCATTCTCACTTTTATCCTCACCCCAAGAGATGATGAGTTACGAAGGCCAGCCCGAGCGACCCCAGCAGGCAGCACGTGTCTTTTTTTCATCATCTTTGGGTATAAATTGACAAACACTAGAGGAGGCACGACCCTAGGGAGTCTCTCTTGAGTGGATATTTAGCAAAGTGCGCGGAAATAAGACTGCGGAAGCCTCGCTACTTTCTTTGCTGCCAACGCTGTTTGCAAAATTTGACACTTCGATTTGAACGGAAATCAGTTTTAGAAATGCAAAGCCATTAAAAATATTTAATTTGGTCAAAAGTTTGCTACTTTTGGAATAATAATTGTTTTTTATTTCAAAGAAGATGGCAAAATGAAATTTTTATAATCTTTATTGTCATACTTAGTGGCGGTCAGTACTTTCTTTTTAACACCGGACAATAACAACAAAAATGCGCCGCTGGAAAAGCGTTGAATGGCGTGTTCTATTTTCGTGCGGCAAAAGGTCAGCGGACGGCATGGTGCATGGCACGCGGTATCTGGTCTTTGGCGTGACATTTATGCCAATAAAAACGCGAGTTTGGCCTTCCTGTTTATGTGCGGATTAGGACGGTGGTGCACTCTTGGCTAATGACATCACCAGCGCCAGATGGAGCCAGAAAAAAGCGACCCAAAAATAATTAAATTTATGTTGGCCGACGACGCGCTTTTTTACGCTCCACATTGCCCGTAACGCGCCAAATTTTCCCATTAAACTGTCAACCTGGATAGCGAGCTACAATTTCACAAAGGAAAAGATTCTTTCTAACTAAAAATAGGTTGAAAAATAACCTCATCTTGATCACCTAATGGACTTATTATGGAAAATTATTATTGTTTTTGTTTTTTTTATATATAACTCTTTTTACTTGATCTATATTTTCGCTCATGTTGGAGCGAGCTAAATGCTTCAGAAATTCATAGCCAGGACACGTGGGCAAAGTGAAGGATTTATTTGCTAACTCGGAAAATTGGTGCCCCACGCCTCAATCGCCCGAAGCTACACCATTCTTTGCTCTGCACGGGGGCCCTTTAAGTCGTGAATAATTAAATTGGCGGAGAGCGCGAGCGAAAGGAAGAGACCTTCTGTCTATTCATGTTTGGGCAAGAGGGCTGCAATTGATACACCCGTGCTAACCTAGTGATACCGAGGCGCGGCTGAAATATTCATTCAACGCGGCTCCGTTGCTCCGCTTTTGTGTCGGTTTGAGATTTTTCACTTCGGAACATAAAAAACCTATCTGCGTATCTGGTTACTTATTCAGCTGGCAGTACATGAAAATGGTTTATTTATTTACGAGACCAATTCCTCGTCTTCCAGTTTCATAAAATCCAGATAAAATCAAACTCCATAATGATCACTTGTTCTAATTTTAGAGGGACGTGAGCAAGCGATCGAGGGGCTAATTTTTCTTTGCTTGCCAAGTCCGGCATGGTCTAGTGGCTAGGATACTCGGCTCTCACCCGAGAGGCCCGGGTTCAATTCCCGGTGCCGGAAACAACCTTTTATCCAATTGAACGCCAAATAAAAATTACTTCAAATTTTCTCACATTTGAGCCCATATTAATCAAATTAATTTTATTTTATATTTCTTTTTTCTTTAATCAATAATAATAATGAGGGAATTAAAAAAAATCAATTTCGTTCGGTTTAAAAAAAGTAATCCTCTAAAATTCTAATAATATATCCCTTTTGCTCACTTTAAAAAAAATGTATCACGCGAGTTTCTGTTTAAAAAGTGGCATGATTTATATCCTTAAATGAATCAAGGCATGAAAACTCATGTTTCGAGCGTGGAAAGCAAAGTGGCAAAGTTTCAGGAACTTTAATTCGATGTCGTCGTACACGCGCCCTCTCAACGTTATAAGATTTTGACATGCGACCGTGCCTGATAATTTGTCCTCACCGCCACTGATGTAAACACAAGACGATTTTGACATGCCACCGAAGCTGTTGAGCGCTTGTAAATGCAGAGATAAAATACTTGGAGGAAAGTTTAGGATCTCATCATTCAGCCGTCAAGATCAGAGGCGTGCATTCTTGTAATTATCACAAGTTTAAATTGGAACGATCATGATTGCGCTTTTAAATTTTTTCATTGAAGTGAAAACAGTAAATTGCTTAAATTAATAGGTTATTAAAATTGCCTGGATAAAATAAAATTGAATTTTTTCATTTAAAAAAAATAAATATATATTAAATTAGATTTTTTAGATTCTATAAATTCAAATTTAATTTTAACCAAAACAATTATTTCTAATCAATCATTTATTATCAATCATAAATTATTTAAGTTTATTTTGTTTTTCATGAATATAGCCAAAGCAATCAAAACTCAAATTTATTTGCAAATGCAGCGATGATAGCATCAATTGAAGCGAAATATTCTAATTTACTTTTAGTTTATGTTGAAACAATATTTATTTCGGTGATTTGAATTTAAAATCATTTTACCACAAAATATTTATTTTTTTTTTACGTTTATTGTTGGTATTTTTGTGAGAAATTAGGTGTACCTCTTTAAACGAAGTACCAATGAATGGATGGTTCGCACGTTTCTTTACTTAATCGTCTGACCGACTTTCCCACTCTGGTGAAAAATGCCCACTTTCGTCGCTTTCGGGCGCCTCTTCAATAATGGCCGTGCACGGACGCAATTCGCGTAAATTGAATTCGGCCGACATTTATTTTGGGACGTGATAGCAGTGGCGGAGGCGCCCGCCCGCCGCTCGGGCAATAAAAATAATAAGCCGGCAGACAATTCGGGAGCGAGCAAGAAAAATGATCTATTATTAATTTGTTTCGGTGTCGCCCGTGGTGAGAATGGAAGCGACGCGTGCTGCGATGCCCATTGTCATTGTCGCGACCTCCACGCCGCCGCCAATCATGCAAGTGCGAGGCAACTTGATACCGACAGGACCAGTTTCGCCAAATGGGAAAAATGCGAGATGTGCAGATTTGAATTTCAAATTTTGCGGACAAAGAGCAGCGGAGCCGCTTAAAGCTTGCAAAGTGCTGCTTTTTTCTGGAGAGCAGAGATTTAGCCGAGAGAAGAATGTTTTGTTGACATAATTTAAGCATTTCGCCTTTCTTCGTGGCCTAAAAATTCTTCTTCGGACCCCAAAAATTCATTTTTTTTTTTTTAATTAATTCTCTTTATGAATAATGGAAATAAAATACTGACAATGAGCAGAAAACTCTAACTAACAAATAAAAGCATAAAATACACATTTTGCAAGTTAATTAAATAACTTTTCAAGTTGAAAAACAGTAATTTTGAGATTAATCGTTCTTAATTTTAGAATCCAACCTCATTTTTAATCCATTGTTTCACAATTTTCAAAATTTGCTTTGATTTCTTAAACGAAACTGAACACACTTCTTTCTGTTTTTGTTTAGTTACGTTTATCTCTATTATTTTCTGTGAGCTCGGCGGTACGCGTGGCGTCTGCCTTTAACTAAATAATAAACTAGGTCGTTAGAGAAAAATTTTATACGAAAAAATAAGCCCGTGGAAGTTTTTGGAGAAATAAATTTTTGCAGATCACGCAGCCGTAAACAAAAGAAAATTGCATGATAAAATATGAATGATGGGTTTTTACGAGCGCTCTGTCCCGGCAGTGCTTTTTGACAAAACGTGGACCAAGAAAATCTTATCCTTTGTGCTAAAGTGCAAATTCGTGCTCCTTTTGAGAAATTCTGGATATTTTTTAAATTGCATAAAAAATTCAGTTCAATGACTTAATAACCTTTTTGAAAATCATGTTTTATCAGACGCTTTAAATTTGTTACCAATTTGTGTTTTCAACTGAGTGTGGTGTAAAAATCCACTTAACTTTGATTATACAATACATTTTGAAATAAAAAAAAGCTTTTTTACATTCATATCAGAATTTCTGTACGTCAACCCTTGATTGGGGTTGCGTGCAGTCGCAAAGCAAAAAGCTCCCAGAGTATGAAATTGCACATGTCAATCAGCGAAAAGGCACGCCTTTTTGTATTGACTGGCACATCAAACTTTTACTGGGTCGGCGCGTTTGTACCTGTGCGGCAGCGCTCCTTTTTTCTGCTCTTTCCACTAATGGCACTGCGCCATATTTTGTAAACACACGCTGCGTCCAGTGGAAAGAATTATCTCGACTGATTTGCATTTGTCGGTTTGTTGCAGCTCGAGGCCGGTGACATTATACTAGAAGTAAATAGAAGAGATGTTCACACCTGTACAACTAAAGAAGGTAATTTTAAGGAGTTTGACCTAAAATCTGATACAATATTACTAAAATTTAATTGTTTTGTTCCCAGTTCTGAGATGTTTAAGACTGTCTGGTGATGAAGTGACGTTAAAACTTAAGAGAGGTAAAATTGAGAAACTTTTTTTATTGATCTAATATTGAGATTTGTTTCTTTTTTAGATCCTCTTGTCAAGGCTGGTGTTTTAAAATACTTAGAATCTCCCGGTTGTAGTATCGATGACCTGCAGACCCTTCTAGATAAAGAGCAAACTCACAAAGGCAATAACAGTCGGGCAGGCGAGAAAAGACGGAGCTCATCGCCACTCACCTCCAGCAACAACGGCAGCTATGCAAAGTTATACGAAGATGAGGACGAATTTAAGAATAAGGACCACCGTCGGCAACAACAACACCAGCAGGAGAACAAGCCTCCCCAACCACGTTTTGAGGCCTTCATGATGACTGGCGACCTCATCCTGAATCTTTCAAGGCAACAGCAAACAGCTGGCTTCATACCTCCTAAGCAAAAGGCTGTGGATAGTCTAAGGTACAAACAAATTTTACACAACATTTTGTATTAATAAGATGATTTTCTTTAAGGAGCTAAAACTTAATTAATATTTATAATTTTCACTCCTTTTTACTTCGTTTTTGCTCATCATTTTTTTTTCTTATTTAGATACCATAGTTCTGTTCCAACAAGTCCAAACGAAATGGAGCTCGGTGTGAAAACGACCAAGGAGAAACCGGAAGAGGTGGCGTGCGGGAACAGCAAAGGAAACAATGCAAATATGGGAGGGTGTTACTCAAGCACAAGCGGGGGTTTTGTTCGGACATCAAAATCGGAAGACCACCTTCAACTGCAGAAGGACAGTCTGAGCGCTGTTGACATCGACATTGATGAAGACACCACATCTTCTCTAAACAATCTCTTGGACACTCGGCAAGACGCTGAGAGCAGTTGCTCCTCTCTAGCCACCGTAGCTCAGGGCAAAGACAACGACCGCATCGTTTGGACCTACAATGCACCCTTGTCGGACTTGCAGCAGCAGCAACAACTGATGCTTTTGCAACAGCAACAACAGCACCACCACCAGCAAAACTCTTCAGAGTCCAACTCAATCTCACCCAACTCGCCAACGTCCGTTTCGTCTTCGGTCATGTCAAGTGACAACAGCAGTTCAAAGAGAGTCATGCTACTGAACTCAATGGATGGAGAGGTGAATATTGGAGGGGACTACTCAGAGGCCATTTCCAGCCCCGATTTTCAGGTACCTCCTAGAAGTCCATTGCTTTTTAAATTAAGAGTGTTTTCCAACTTCAGACTCTTCATTTTTCTAATTCTATAAACTAAAAATAATATTAATAGACAGAAAAATAAATAATATGCTTCATGGAATTTCCAAGTTTGACCAAACGCCATTAAAGAATTCTTCTTTTTATTAATTGTATTAAAGTAAAATCTATAATTATTTATATTTTCTTATAAAATTTTTTCTAAGTATGTACTAATTCTGATTATTTTTTAATATTAAATTGATAATTTAAATGGTTACAGCAATTAAGTTATAACACATTAGGTCTTATGAGGATAAGTGGTGAATTTTGATAATGAAAAATATGCCTTATCATAAATCTTAAATAGGATATAAGAAAAATTTTAAGCTTTGTTTTGGAAAACACTTAAATTGCTAATTAAGCAAAGGATTTCTTGGGTGTTAATATCCGCTTTTTGCTTGCTAACTCTGCCTGGCCTCGCTTTTGTAATCTATCCATATTGCTCTGATATCACATTTAATGAATAACACTCATGTGAAATCCCCAGGAGGAAGATTCAATGGACATATTGTGCGCCAAAGACTTGATGATGGAGTTGAGCGACCCGAGTGACAGTGACAGTACCATTTTGGTCAGCGAACGGACAGCGCAGAAAAGAGCAAAAGTATCTTTGCAGGCGGCAGCTACTGTGGCCCAGCAGAGGCGAGTCGATCACAACAGAATCATGCTTCAGGTCAAGGGATCTGACCGCCTCAAACCCGACTCTCCTCCGCCCAGTTCGGGTAATGTAACGCCTGACCATGTGGCCTATCAGGAGCTGAGTGAGGATGAGGCTCATGAGGATGAAGACAAATTAGGCAGCACTGCAACCAAGTCTCTCTCGCCTCCTTCGTCCATCACTGAGGATGACAGCGACATCGAATCGCTACACAGCTTCCACTACAGTCCTAAGGCTGTTGACATGCCTTCTGTCTTGCGGCTGGCAAAAAGGCTCTTCGAACTTCAAGGCTTCAAAAAGTCGGATGTTTCGAGGCACCTCAGCAAAAAGTAAGCTTTATTCTACATAATTTTTGTATCCGGTATTTAAAATTGAATGCGGAGAATTGAATTGCAAAATTTATTTAAAAATGCGATCATGAAAATGTTTATTGACATTTTTTAAAATTATTTTTCAGCAACGATTTCAGCAGAGCAGTAGCTGAGGAATATCTCAGGTTTTTCACCTTTGAGGGAGACACGCTGGACGCTGCTTTGCGGAAGTTCTTGAAGCAATTTTGCTTGGCCGGTGAGACACAAGAAAGGGAACGTGTGCTTGTTCATTTCTCCAAGCGCTTCCTTGACTGCAACCCTGGCGCCTTTCGTTCACAAGGTAATTAATTTTACTTCAACACACACACAAAATAGCTCTAGATTTGTTAACTATACTTTATTTAATTCTTTAATCAATAATAGAAATCTAGTTTTAAAAAAAGAATGTTTATTTTTTGACTTATTGGAGTTTCCGTCTTGCAGATTCTGTTCATACGCTTACATGTGCCATTATGTTGCTGAACACGGACCTGCATGCGCAGAATTTGGGTCGGAAGATGACGTGTCTTGAGTTTATTGATAATTTGTCGGAACTAAACGACGGTGATAACTTTCCTAGGGATGTACTTAAGTTGCTCTACCAGGCCATCAAATCTAACCCTCTCGAATGGGCTCTGTAAGGCTCCATTGTTTATTTTATGTTTGTTCACAAATCTAGCAACTGCTTTGGTAATTTAGCGATGAGGAGATTGATGAAATTCAAGCAATGCAAGCTCAAAACAAAATGCAAGAGCCTTCTGGGATAGGACACAACCCGTTCCTCGACATTCCTGATGTCAACACAGCAATCGAATACAAAAAAGGATATGTGATGAGAAAATGCTGTGTGGACCCCAACGGAAAGAAAAGTAATTAGTTTTGCTTTTTTTAATTGATTACTCTTACTAAATATAAATTTTTAATGGTTAACAGCCCCTTTTGGGAAACGAAGCTGGAAAATGTTTTACTGCACCTTGAGAGACATGGTGTTGTATTTGCACAAGGACGAGCATGGCTTCCGCAAGAGCCAGATGTACGACAACTTGCACAACGCAATCAGGATACATCATGCTCTTGCCACCAAAGCAGCAGACTACAACAAAAAGCAACACGTTTTCCGACTACAAACCGCCGACCAAGCTGAGTTCCTTTTCCAGACAAGGTACATAATTTTCCTAAGACTTAAATGAGATAAAAAAAATTCATTTAACATGTACACAAAATTTCAGCGATTCTAAAGAACTTCAATCTTGGATTGACACTATCAACTTTGTGGCTGCCAGTTTCTCGTCACAGCCTTTGGCAAGTGCTGTTGGATCTCAACGAAAATTCCAAAGGCCACTCTTGCCTTGTAGTCACTCCAAGCTCAATTTGGTTAGTCACGATGCAAATTAAATAAAACTTGAATTGCATTTCTATGAATTCCTCAGAGGGAGCAGTTGCGTGATCACGAAGAGCGAGTGGCTCTCCTAGAAAATGAGTTGGATGAACACCGAAGACATGTTCCTGAAAGAGGTGCCAAGTCGCTGAGCATTCAGAACCATAGAGAAAAGGACGCTTTTCTGCAATACGAGGTTTTAATATTCTTTTTCAATAAATTTTGACTCCTGATTGAAATTCTCATTAACAGTTGAAGAGATACAAGACGTATGCCTACTTGCTGCGCTCTAAAATGGCGCAGTATCCCGAACTGGAGCCTTCGTTGGTGGAGACTTCGATAGGCGAGGTAGACGAGCGAGTAGACTGTGACATGGGTGGCTCGATCGTGCCTCCACCCATCCCTGAGAGACCCGTGCCGCGATCCAACCCGACAAATAGGTACAGTTACCGAGCAGCCATCTACAATAGCAGGGGAAACGGTGGTGGTGGCTCATCTCCGTCTGACGATATCGGCTGACGGATGTTGGGTGTATTTTCAGCTTGTGTGCTCTGAGGCAGACTCTTAAGCAAAACAGTCTGTGTCTTCTATTTGTCTATAACTGCCACTCACTCCCTGCTGATTTCCGTAAGCTTGCAAACGGCTCCTCTTTGGTGAGGTGGTTTTGGTGATTGGTCAAAGAATGATTCTTTTTTGGAATATGTGATTTCAGTAGCGCTTCATCTGATTTGTGATGGAATTGCCTTTTGCTTTTATTTTGGAATTTCCAGGTTGTATTTGAAGCTATTGTAAAAGTATGTATTGTCTTTCTTCTGCGAGTTATCCCCTGCCTATCTATCTCTTCTGTATGTGCCTTTTGTGTGTTGTTTTTCCCCATGCATTTTGTACATTTTTATGAGCTTAGTAAGCGAGAACCCAAACTGTTTAAATTATTTCAAGTCTTCCTCACGCTTTCAGAATTAAATATTTATATTCATTTCTGTCCCAATACCAAGGCAATCCTTTCCGAGTGGGAAAATTGATGTGTATCATGTAAAAATGCTAACGTTAAATACTTAATAAATAGCTAGCTAACCCAACAAACACACATGCGAATGGAGGAAGTCACATATGTACCTGTAATTAACTCTGATCATATACATGTGTGAAAGAAAACAGTTTGTCGGTCAAATTATGATGAAAATTTTGTTGACAAGTTGCATTTAGCTGTAATTGACCAATTTATTTGTGAACAGGACTAACCAGGAGAAAGCAAAACAGAAACCTCTCTCGTCCCAAGTGTAGACCCCCTCTCAAGTGGACCCAAAGTGCTGCAACATACACAGACAATTCCTAATTATGCATTTATTACGGATGCAAGTTATGGTGAAGCCTGAATTGATTTGTGTACTTGGGATTCAAGATTTTAAATTCCTTTCAAGCTGTCAAGACTATTTTATGTCTGACAGCAAATTTTTGTTGATGTTTTTAACTGGATTTTTTTGTTTTGTTAACGAAAAAAAATATTATGTACTTTATTAACTGAAATATAATTCTAGTCGGGGGTAATGCAATAACAATAATGTATAAAAATCAATCAATTAATGTGTGGAATTAATAATTTTTGAGGGAAGAAATGCGAGCAGCTTGGTGTATTTGCCCAATTTTTTTTACTCTTGAGAATATCCAATAATTTTCTGATGGTATGCCAAAATTCAACATAATTACAAAAGTAATAAAATTCCTATGCCATGAATTTTCTAATAATTTTTGCATTAATCGGTAATTTTTAGCCGTTGCAAGTGAGCTTGATTGAGGGCTAATATCCAGAAAAAGTGTTCAGAAATTGCTTTGGTCGTTTCAGTACGATTGAGGGACGGAACGATTTGAATGGAAACAATCTTTGTGTTGGTTTCCAACCTTTCTCATAAAATCATAATTCATGCTAGAGATGCATTTATAAACTTCAAAATGAAAAATGTACCATCTGAACTCATTCAGCGCTGTGTAATATTGTTCACCATTATTTGATTTTTTTTATCCTAAAAACATTCAAACGGATTGTTCCTCTCAAAAATAGAATTAAATTTTTCTCTACATACATTCAAAAATATTTCTTGATTTTAATATTTATCTCTACTTTTTTAATCTCCTTTGAGTGAGCATATACTTTAAAGACTTCATATTATGTAAAGCGTGACCTCGCCCCTCTCTTTCTTAAAAGAATCTGTCCGATTTTTAAGCTTTTATATTCATTATCAAGAAGCAAATATTGAACAACCAGATGTGGGGAAAAATCTCTGAAAAAACGCTGCATTTCACAACAGCATTCTGACATTCGTGGCACACTGTAATTATTTATAATTTTTTTGTCTAACTGATGCCAAATTCCATTTCATAATTTTTAAACTATGTTTCAAGTTAGGGCCTAATTTGAAATAAAGATTAAAAGATGCCATTTCATTGAGAAACTGATGCATGCTCTGCTGCATTATATGTGTCAAAAAATAGCGTTGTACATGAACAATGGGAATGTGTGTAAATGAAATCAACAATGGCATTTTAAACATGTTTGAAGTTCTGTGGTGAGTTGAAGAGAAGTGGAAATCGAGTGTGTTACTGATTTTAAGCTGATAAGAATGATGCGAGATCATTAAACTTGCCCTTATATAATAGAATGTACTGATGAACAATTATTTATTCTTAATAAAATGCGATGTTATTCACATGATTAAAATCAATTTATTTATTCTTCTCATCTTCTGTCCTTCATATTGATTTAATTTGTTTTTTGTTATTTATTAAAATTTAATGAAAGATATTTTTTTATTGGTTGATCTTCAAGAAGATTTAAATTTCAATTATTAAGTATGAAAAGGTAAAATTTAAAAATATATTTCAATCTTTTCTTTGTTTTTCTGTTACGATATAAATTTTTTGGTACTCAAATTCTATTCAAATGATGAAAAAAGTCCAGGAGCGTCAAATGGCAAACTTTTAATGAAAGGAATCTTCCCCCGCCAGCAAAAGTTCTGGGGAAGAGAGCAACGTGACAAATTAAGTCGGTTTGTTTAATATCTTTCACCCCCATATTGCTTATTGGGGTAGCTTGAATATGAAAACCTGAGAGCCCTTGATTTGCATATCAAAGATCATTTCATTATTGTGTTTAGAATTCTTGATTACTTGTTCTAGAAGAAAGTTTTTTTAGTAGCTCTCATAAATAAAACATACAAGAATAATAAAAAAGTTAAGATTGATTAAAATGTAGAGGAATTATTTTCGCTGATAAAACTGATTTTATTTTAATATTTGAATTATGCTGTAAAAATTTTTAAAAGAAGCCAAAAAGTGTCAGGTGATGTACCTTTTTTTAAGTTTTATAAATGAACTAACTAATAAGAACACCTTTGGAGTGGAGTCTAATTGTAAGAAAAAAAATGCAATAGCTTTTTATAGTCAAGAGAGGGAGTCGACTCAAGGGATTAAGGTTAATTAAACTTTTCAGAGGGACCTACAGTCTTGTTCCTCTCGGCCAAAACTACAAGCAAGGTCATGGTCAACCGCTGAAATTGCTTCGCGGCTCCTTAATAAGGTCCCTTGCAAGGGCCAAGTTCAAGAGTAATGAGAGCAAATTTCGCACTCTCACGTGCTCTGGGGATTATTTGCACGAGAGAGAAAGGAAGCTTTTTTATTTTTATTATACTGATCTGACTGCATGGTGGAGAGTGTTTTCTCAAGAGAGAGTCATCAGAGCTAATGGCTTGAGTCGATTGAGTGGCTCAAGGATGGTTAATGGACCACGCGGCAATCAGATCGGACCGATGCGGAGATCTACGGGCAAATCTGCGCTGATTGGAAAAAAGCACAAAACATCAGTGTTTTCACAAGCAGAGCTCAGATACTTTTTACGTAATACAAATTATTAATTACAATAAAAATTCAAGTGTTCTATTCATTTTTTAGGTTCAAAATAAATATGGAAAAATAATTTTAGTTTTTTTAGTAAAAAAACTAATCATTTTTACTGATTTTTCTTTCTCCTGAGCGGAAAAAAAATTAATTGCTTATCCTTTTTTTGGACTAAATTAATTTAGGTTTTTCTATCTAAACATTTATAGTGCTGGATGGCCCTCTATACATTTTCTGATTTGTAATTATCCTTTAAAAGTTTTGTACTAGAAATGGTCTTATCTGTTATCCCCATTATTTAATTTTTTTATCTTTATATTTGTTTGTTTAAAATAAAGAAATATAATAAGATTTTTTTAAAGGCGCTGATCCAATATGATTTTTCCGAGAGTAGATTATTAGTACGACTCTTATCATTCAAATCGATTATCTGTTGAAAGTGACATATATTGTCTGTTGATGCAACGATTTGAATAATACAAATTTACAAATAGGCGATTGGCACGCGGAAATCACTCTTTTTCTCTCCCCAGCGAGAGAAGCCAGCGTGTTGCAATATAAAATGTGCGCGCGATAATTTATGCTCACCTAATTGTGTCGCAAGGTCGGTGGAGATATGGCAATTTTGTCATTATCTACCGAGGGATGGTGCTGAGAGAATCGGCCACTTCACGGCGAGACGCGACCGGACAGAGATAGAAAGACCTTCGTCACCCAGTCTGACAATATACGGAAGAGGGCGACCACTGTGACCATACTTGCTGCGACACACTCGAGAAAGTAGGAATTTGTGGATTTGAGTTTTTAATGCTTTTATTTAAATTCAATTTCTGCTCTATTTTTCCCTTTTTTTAACATATTGATCTCAAAAAGAAGATTAATTTTCAAAAACTTTATGCAAGAAGATATTTGAGTTTATATCTTCAATTAAATAAGCTCTACCTTTTGTTAATGTTATTTCTATATAATTATTAAAATGGCACATTAATAAAAAAAAATTGATTTTAATTGCCATTTGTATCTAAACATTGGAAATTATTAAAAAATATTTTTGGAAAATAAAAAAAAATATAAAATAAAATATACTAAAATCACACAAAAGACAAGGTTTAGTAAAAACAAATCTCAATTCTTCATATAGTTTCATTGGCATAGAGTCACTTTTTATGTTATGCATTCACTTTTACTATTCTTTTACACATAAAAAAATATATCCTCCAACATGATATCTTATTTTTATTTCATGAAAACTGCCCAAGTATCCAAATAGCACTCAGCGATTATGTAGCATTCTCATTTTTCCTAACCTACGGTTATAACTCGTGGCAAAATTTACTGCCGTATTTCGCGATGATTTCACATAAAGACTGCACACTCAATTGATATCTAACTTCTGGCAAAGTTGTAAATAACAGCAAACTTCTCACAAGCATTCGTTTTTGTTTGAAATGAGCAAAGTGCTAGAAAGGTGAATTGTCCATAATTTATTGTCTTTGGTGTGGGACAGACACAGCAAAGAGATATGATTTTCTATTTACCGCGAGCCCTCTCTGTATCTCTGGTATTTGTATATTTTTCAAGGTTTTCTGCAAAAAAGCGTGGTGCAGCACGTGTCGTGAATCGTGACTTTGCAGAAAAATTAGATATTATGTACATTTAAAATTAAGAATTCCAGAATGATTAAAATTGGCAACGTTTCCTCAAAAACCAGCCATTTATTTTTCAAGAAATATTTTATATCCATTTAATCCATTGAATTTTATTGAATTATATCGAAGAGTCTATTTCAAGATTTGAGTCCAAACACACTTTTGTAAACTTTTTTGTTTTGTTCATATTTCCTAAGTTGAGATTAAATTAAATTTCACTGACAAAATAGGCAAAATAAAAGAATCAATTTATAGTTTATCATAATTTATAAAATATTGATTTTTTCCATCAGTTATGAGTGGTGACGGAGGGTTATTTGGCGAGGACCTCATCCTTGTCAATGAGCAACAACAGCCCTCGTCGGTGATGAGAGGCGAAAACCTGATCTCTCCCTCGTCTCCACTGCTGATGGACAACCTGGAGCCGTCGACCACCCCGGGCACGGCCGAACTGCCCTCGCAACTGGCCGTCTTCAGTTTGCTCGACTACTCGGTGTTCAGCACTATGCTCGCTATGTCGGCACTGATAGGCATTTACTTTGCATTTTTCGCCAAACAGAAGCAAAACACCACCTCCGAGTACCTGATGGGCGGCAAAAACATGGGCATCTTTCCCGTTTCGATGTCGCTGATTGCCAGGTAGGCTAAAATAATGAATCTGACGTAGTTCATAATTAAAAAATTAAAAAATAAAATATCAATTGAGAATTTTTTAATAAAATATTTACACTAGAGGTGCGGATTTAATGAAGTTATTTTTTATATAAATTCCTACATTTCCGAAATAATTTTAATAATTTATTTACGTTTTATTAATGTCATTTTTGTATTTTGTTTAAAAAAATAAATTACTAAATTAAATTTCAGTTATATTTCTGGGATCACATTGTTGGGCATGCCGGCTGAAATCTATGTGTACGGTACTCAGTATTGGTCCGTCGTGATTGCAATTCTGCTCATGTCGGCCGGCTGCGGCGTTTTCTTCCTGCCCGTCTTCTACAAGCTGCAGCTAAACACATCTTACGAAGTAAGTACATCTATGTATTGTACTATATCCGCATCTGGAGCACAAATTGAGCTGATTGGCCACTTTGGTCGACAGCATGGTGCCTGGTGCCCGCTGTTGGAAATTGTTACGCCAATCAATGACGTACATCGATTTATTCATTGGTTTAAAAAGTTGCTAAATTAAGGAAATTCCCATTTTACGTTTCCTCTAGCAAAAAAGTAAATTAAGTTCCAGACGACTTGGCGAAGTTATGCAACCTGCTCGGCATATCAGGCGAGAGGATTGCATAGCTTGAAATCTGCAGGCGCTCCAATTAATTGCAAATTAAACTATTTTTAATTATAAGTAGCAGACGTTAGAGTTAGATATTTATATCCTTAAACAATTTAATTTGTTCAAAATGGTAAACTTGCGAATATATCATTTTGCTTTTTTGCTCTGGGATTTTTTCCATTAAAATTTAAGCATTATAGTCACCTTTTCTGAGGCTTTTTCACTTAATGATTTTAAATTCTCAGTACCTGCAACTTCGGTTTGACAGGCGAGTGCGACTGCTGGGCTCGTTTCTCTACATTATAAGCACGGTTGGTAATTTCCTGCTTTTGACGTACCAAGAAAGTAATTCACCCTTTGTTGATATTATTTGTCTCTTGACAGCTTTTGTACATTCCCATTGTGATCTACATACCTGCGCTCGCATTCAGCCAAGGTAAACAACAAAATCTGTCCCTCTCAAAGCCCAAATTAAAGCACCTGGTGCTCGTTCTTTCAGTCACCGGAGTGAATTTGCATTTGGTGACGCCTCTAGTGTGCCTCGTCTGTATTTTCTACACCAGTTTGGTACGGTCTGATTGTTTTGTAGCCAAATGTGGAGACTGAGCATTCATTGTTTCGCAGGGTGGAATGAAGGCTGTTGTTTGGACGGACGCCTTGCAGACAATTTTGATGTTCGGCGGCGCCATTGTGGTCGTCGTTGTGGGCACAATAGCCGTTGGAGGATTTGAAGTTGTCTGGCAGCGAAGTGAAATGAGCGAGAGGATTGAGTTTTTCAAGTAATTTCTTTGTTTAACTTGGTTTAAAAAAAAAAACGTTTCTGATTAGTAAAATTAAGAGGCGTGCTTAGTGTTAAAAAGCAAATTGCAATATCAGTTAAGCTACGATTGGCGATAAAAAAATTATATAAATACAATGATATAAATTGAAGAAGAAAAATCAACAAATTATTCAAGTTAATCAGAAATAAGTTGCGTTGTTATTCTTAAAATACATATTATGCTAGTTTTCAATTTTTTAATTATTATTTTTATATTTAAATTTTTTTTTTTTTAATTTCAAACTAGGGCAGGCCAGAATTTTCTCCATCATAATGAAATCGTGTGCACAAATTTTTTATCTGATTGACTTAATTTTACTGTAGCATGGACATGAATCCAACAGTTCGTCACACATTTTGGAACATCGCTTTTGGCAGCTTTTTCAGCTGGATTACGCATATTTCAGTCAACCAGGGCATGGTTCAGCGTTTTTTGGCCATGCCATCTATTAATAAGGCGAGAACGTGAGTAAAAAATCTAACTTTTACAAATAGAAATTGTGCGTTTTTTTTAAATAAATTAATTTTCATTATGTATTTACATCGTTTTAAAATGTTTATTTAAAAAAAAAAAATTCTCGCCTTTAAAAAATTGTTAAATTCTTTTTTTCAGAATGCTTGTTATATTTTGCATTGGAGTGATAGTCATCGTCTCCATAAGCTGCTACACAGGACTGCTCATTTATGCAACTTATCACGACTGTGATAGAGTAACGACAAAGGTATTTTTATTCCTAATGAGTTAAAATCAATCAATCAATTTACTTAACTTTTTGTCGCGGACTGGCTCAAAATGCATTTTTATTTAAGAATTTATCATTAATTTTTTTCCTTATTAAAAATTTCACTTTGCACTCCGACAGATCATTCACGCAAGTGACCAATTACTGCCCTACTTCGTGATGGACGTCACCGGCTTCATTCCCGGTCTTCCAGGGTTATTTATGGCCGGCGTGTTTAGCGCCGCTTTGAGGTAATTTTGCAAAAACAAGTTATTAACTTCTCAGCAGAGACCCGTAAATTAATATATCAGCTCCATGTCGACCGGTCTGAATTCGATGGCGGGTGTAATTTTCGAGGACTACGTCAAGCCTCGTCTGAGCGGCAAAGTTTCCGAGGGGCGCGCCAGCTTCATGATGAAAGTGATTTGCGCCCTTATAGGCGTTTTCTGCGTGGCCATGGTGTTCCTTGTCGAGAAACTGGGCGGAGTTCTCCAGGTTTCCTTTTGACACACTCGAGTAACTTTTAATAACTTCTTTGATCGCAGGTGTCGGGTAGCCTCGGCGGAGTCACCAACGGCCCTATGCTGGGAATTTTCACCCTCGGAATGTTTTTCCCCTGGGCCAATTCAATTGTGAGGGATTTCTTTTTTTTTAATAAAATAAATACTCAACAGGAATTATGCTTGATGAAAGAAATTTTATTAAAAAAAAATGTTTTTCACTTGACTTATATTTCAGGGAACTTTTGTTGGTGGAGTCGCTGGCCTCCTCGTCATGAGTTGGATTTCGTTTGGCACTCAGGCTGCCATCGCCGCCCAACTGATCACCTTCCCCAAAAAGCCAGTGTCCGTCGATGGGTGCACCCATCTGCTCCCAGACGATATGAGCAGTGTTGTTGAGGACCCTTTGCTACCGGTTGAAGTCCAGTAAGTTTAACTTAAAAAATGAAAAACAATATGCATCATAAATTATGAATCATAAATATACTAATAACATAAAATTTAGTATCTCTCTTTAAATTAAATCCATTGGCCAATATAAATTCATTGTGGTTTTTTTAACTGCATATATGATTTTTATTATTTCATTTTTTATTTTTAGAAATTTTAATGCACTATTTATAATTTTTCTTTCTAATGAATTCCAAATTTTGTTCATATTGTCCCCTATGGAAAAGCTATAGCGAAGTTTCTGCTCTTCATTTACGTTTTGGCATTTGACCTTTTGCAGAGAAGAGCCCATGTCAATTTACCACCTGTCGTACACCCTCTACTCGCTGACGGGCTTGGTGGTTGTGCTGACGGTCGGCCTCCTCGTCAGCTACATGACCGGCTTTCAAGACCCAGATGAGCTTGACCTTGATCTTCTGACCCCGCCAATTCAGCGCTTCTTTAGAAAGAAGAAAGGCGCTCACCTGCCGGTTGCTAGGGAAGATTTGACTAGCAAAAGTGAAAAGCACAGAAATGGGGACGTGGAAGATCCAAAGCTGTCGGAGGCGTTGATGAGTAAAAAGGAGCAGGATGAAGATAAAATCACAACTGACGAACAACCGTGTGGTTAAAATTCTGTGTTTTTTGTTCCTTTTGAAAACGAAAACTATTCATTTTTAATTATATTATAATTCATTGTTAATTGTTATTTTTTGTTAGGAAAAATTGAATATGTCACTGATTTAATACAAACGATTGAAACTTGCTGCTGCGAGAAGAAATTTAATAAAAAAAAAACTGATGGAAAACTTTAAAATTTCATGTACATATTATCAATTTTAATAAAAAAAGGAAATAAATATAATATAGAATTAAAAACTGTAGGAATTTTTTTCATAATCTTTCCACGCTCATCTTTGCCTTCTATTATTCAATTACTATAAGAATTATTAAATATTTATCTGATTAAGCATTTTAACAAGTAAAATAAAAAAATTAACTACTTTTGTAAATTTTTCAAATATCGGTTTTATTTGAAAAAACCGGTTAAATAAATAATACCGGTTATTTTTAAATAACCGGTATGAAAATAAAAGCCAAAACAAAAACAAACCCACGTTTGCATAAGCACGCTTTAATAATAGAGTTTATGATAAATATCGGCTCGAAATGAGCGATGACGACGAGCCTCAGCTTTCGGCGGCCACTTTTGCAGCCCTGCAAGAATTCTACAACGAAGAAAAAGAGCGACAGGATAAAGTGGCCAAGATTTTGGAGTCGGTCAATGACAACAAGCAGGACATCCCGCAGTTTCAAGAAGACTGGGTTTGAGCCCTGAACATGCACTTTTTGATGATGAATTTTCATTTAAAATAATTTCAGCAACTAAGCCAATTCTGGTACGACGACGAGACTGCGGACAGACTGGCCAAGGAGGTCCTGAAAGCTGCCGGTCCAGAGGGAAAAATAGCTCTAGTGTCCTGTCCCACTCTTTACACAAGATTGAAAAAATCCAACGCAAATGGTACAAAAAATTAATTCATTTGTTTTAATCAAAATTAATATTATTTATTTTGAATTAGTTACTCTTTTTGAGTACGACGAGAGGTTTGCAGCTTATGAAACGGACTTCTGCTTTTATGACTATCGGAATCCCTTGAAAGTCCCGTCCGAGATGACGAGTTCGTTTGACATTGTCGTGGCCGACCCACCCTTCCTCTCAGAAGAATGTCTGACCAAGACGGCCGTTACTATTCGTTATCTGGCCAAAGACAAGATTCTTCTCTGCACAGGTTTTTCTTTGTTTTAAAATAACAATTTAAGGAAATAAAATAAAATTTTAGGAGCGGTAATGTCCGACCTGGCCCAGCGTTTGCTCCAAGTGAGACAGTTGGACTTTCTGCCTGGCCACAGAAACAATTTAGGAAATGAATTCCGGTGTTTTGCCAATTTCGAGTGCGGATTGTGATGAAAAAATAATAAATTTTTTAACTGACGGTTACTTACCTAGTTTTTCTATCACAAGTGGAGCAGCTCCTTAAGATAGATTCGATATGCTGACTTTGGTAAATTCGTAGACGCCAAAGAAGACTGCACCACCTATCGAGATCCACATCACTCGAGGAACCAAACCAGCAAATAATCTGAAATTATTTAAGTTGGAAGATTATCGATTTTGTGCAGAAAAATTACTTAACATAATCCTCGTAAACTTTGACTAAATCTCTATAATATATTAAGTTGCTAAAAACCTTCATTTTGATATAAAATGAAATTCAATTTATCTCAGTTGTATGGTACAATAATTTTTAAAAAGGTTAAATTCAAATATTTTAAGTTTAGTCATATGAAATGGATTAATTTACCCCTGAATCCCTTTTTCTGAATGAACTTGTTTGAGCACGCCAAAAATGGAGCCTGTGGGTTGTGAGTCTGCCAACATTATCCTAGTTTTAGCCACATCCAATGGCGTCGTCAAACCTGCTGATATGCCTCCTGAAATTTTAAATTTTTATTTTTTTAAAGCAGTTAAAATTATGCCATACCAGCAACAGCTCCACACAGAGAGGTGAGGGCAGGATCGACCTGGTCAACACCCTTCATTCTGGCAAGTTTGCTCTTCATCGCTTCCCAGAGCGAAAACTGAATAATGGAAAAGGGAACTTCCCTCGAGATGGTGCTTCCGAAGCCGCGGTACAAGCCTCGGAAACCTTCCTTGCGGACGGCTTGCTTTGCGACCGTCAGGGCTGAAAGGTGTCGGGCTGTGGTTTGGCGTCTCTGCTTTACAACCTCCACAGGAACTCGAGCAATGCAGGCAGCCTGAAATTTAATTTGTCATTTCAGAATTCAAATTTATATAAAACAAAAAGACAAACTAGTTCTCCGATACTGGCAGCACTCATGTGGACTAGAAATGCGTACTGAGGCGAAACTAAAGGAAGGCCAAGCCTTTTAATTGTGTCATACGTGCAGAAAAACACTGCAGCTGCAAATAAATTTTCGATCTCAGTTTAAAATTTCCAGAGTAAATAGATTTTTACCATTGGGAGCGGAGCCCAGAGCTGCCGGTCCGACGCCAGAATAAATTCCTCGGAAGCCGCCGGATTTCCAAAAGCCGGCCTGACTCTGAAGTCGCGTCTTGAGGGTGTCCAGTGGAAAAAGGGCAATGTCCACCGCCGTCCCGGCAGCACCACCGGACTAAAAAGGTGAGAAGAAAATTAACTCCTGCAATTTATCTTTGTGAAAACAATTAATTTCACCAGTAAAGAAACGATAAAAGTTGGGTCTTGCGACGACATTTGTGCGAAAATATCTTCAAATTTGATTTGAAAAGTTTATATGGTCATGGTAAAGTCATATTTTACGAAATTTCGACGAAAAATGTAGAAATTAGAGAGATTTGCTTTGTGTTTTGGTTGACGGTGTCTCGTGGTGGGCGTGGCAAATCGGCGAGATTGATGGAAAAAACGCGCGAAAATGAGCAAAACTTCATTTGTTTTTTCAGCGTTTATTTTCTGTCAAAATATTTAATATTTTATATTACCTTTCACTATCTTAATTTTGTAATTTAGTAAAATATACAATTTTATTTAAAGTTGTAACTTTGTTTTCTTTTTTATTTATCTTGATAAACAGAACTAATTTTTGAAAAACTTTAAAAAACACAATGTTTTTAATTGGATAATTTTCAGTTTACATCTTAATTTTTAATAACAAAATACTTTTAAAACTTAAGACTTATCTGAGACTTCAGAATTCAGAATTGTAATTATGTTTTAAATAAAAAAACTTACATTTATTGCTCTGAAAATATTGGAACATAATATATATCAATTTTAATTTTTTGTTAAAAAAAAGACATGAATAAAAAAAATATATAATTATCTTTGCCATCATCAGGAAAACAATGATAGTGCACAACTCAGCAAAACCCATTTGAATCAACGCTCACTCTCAAAGTGCAGCACAGCATGATACATTTTTTTTTAATTATTTCTCCTCAGCTGTGCTCGTCAGCAGCACTCGATCAATGCGGGCGATAATATCCTGCAGGCGCAAGTGGTCCACAATGAGTTGCGTTGTTTGCTGAGGGAGCCCGAGTTTCCGACCGGCAGCGTCGGCTTCGTCACCTTGTGCCAGTGAAGTCAATTCAGCAGCACCTTCCCTGCTGAAAAATTATAGTTCCCCAGATAGTTCTTCAGAGACTTGGTTCCCGGGTACTATTTTAGTAGCCATTTTGCACTTAGTTCCCTTGACGCTTAGTTCCCCATTTCTGTTCCCCGAATAGTTCCCTCTCTCTGTTCCCTATATAGTTCCCTCTCTCTGTTCCCTATATAGTTCCCTCTCTCTGTTCCTTGAATGGTTCCCCCTCTCTGTTCCCTTCTGACAGAGAATGAAATAGTGCCTCTGATAGTTCCCGCAATAAGTTACAAAATTTGGTTAAAAATTAAAAGAAATAAAAAATTTCATTTCTTAAAATACATGATATTGACTGTAAAATACAACCAAAATATTGGGATGGTGAAAATTTGCACAAACTTTTTAAAAGGGCATTTGTACACAATGGAACTACAGAATAAGTTTGTAAAAGAAAAATATAAAATTAATAGCACAGTCTCCACACTGCTTCTGTTTTGTTAATTAGGAGGCACAATCACTAAACTTTTGTTGCTTTCTTTGTTGCTCTCTGTCGGATTTTGCTGTTGCTGTTGCTGAGATGATGTTGAAGCACCTTCATCTTCGTCAGAGGAAAATTTGCCCAGGAGTTTGTTGAGTGCTCTCTTCAGGGCAGCTCGGTCTTCGCACTTTTTCGTTGTCCAGTCAGTGTCCATGTTCTTTGGCTTAATTGGATTATTAGCCATGTCCTTGTCCATAAAACCTTGCGCCTTGACCTTTTCTGCATATTTCAAGTGACGTAGTCTTGCATCTTTAACAGAATCTGAAAAAGTTTTAATACACGTATTAATTGTTTGTTAAATGAAACAAATATTAGCAAAATTTACCCAAAAGCGAATCAGTAATGACAGTGTGAAGTCCTGGTTTTGGGGGCTTCCCCGAGCGTCCTTTAGATTGGCCCATAACAGAGCAGTATGTTAAGGCCTCGGTTGTCACAGCTAATCTCATAGTTCCTCCAATTAAAGCACCTGGGGTGTGGCACTGTCGCAATAATCTGCGATAATCACTTCTGATTACGCCAACCAAAGAGCTAAGCATCTTCATTTCCTTAAAAAGAAAATTTTACTATCGAATTCAATGAAAAGAATTATATTTTTACCTCTTTAGAGTTGTATATCTCATGGCCAATAGGATACTTGAGCTGGCGTTCCAAATTATTATGTAATCTTTTGTAGACGTCAGAGAAATTATGGATTTTAGCAACCGGAATAGCCTTTTTTCTAGATTTTATTTGGAATTTTAGTTAAATCTTTTTTCATAATCTTATTATTTTTCGATTACTTACAACTTTCCTTTCTGAATTCTAGGTTCTGGTGTGGAATTTTTATCCAAGCCGTCCAAATTGTCATTGTTGTCATCTTTTTTAGAAGCCTCCTCTTCAGTGTCATGAGACTAAAAAAGATCACATATAAGGAAAAATTATGTAGATTAATAGTTCAGACTATAAATTACGGTCATTTCTTCATGAATGCCAACGTCAACATCGAAGTCATCATCACCATTTATAAATGTGCTTTGACCATTTGGGCTGGAAAACACCAATGAGTCGTCTTCTTCAATTTCTGCTTCTGGGGAAAGGGCAAGTTCGGGGGTTTTGATCTGAAAAGGAATTTGCTAAAATTGTTTTTAAATTCCATTAAATAACAATACCCGATGTTTGCCTTCAATTGTTGAACGTATAAGATCTTCACAATATTCCTCATTTTTTTTAGAACTTTTGAAGTCCTTGAGATCAGAAATCAATTGCTGAAGGGTTAAAAGAGCAGCTTCCAATGCTAAAAAATTAAAAATTAGTGTGAAAAGGTGAAAATTAAGGGGGGGGATACCTTTTTTCCCTTCAAGATCCTTCAAGAAAGATAGTTTTTCGTCCTCAAGGGAAGATATTTTTAGTTGTAGGGAGACATTTTCCTCGGCAATCTTTTTGCTTTCGGCAGTCAGTCTTTCGTACTTCTGCTCCAATTTTTGAAATCTTTCCAAAGCTTCGTCTCGGGTTTTTTTCATCGACGAATAGGCATCAGCAGAAACAGATAACTTAATATTCGCATCAAAATATTCTTCACTTGATTCGTCTTCAACCAAGTGGGAAAATTTTTGGTTAAGCTTTTCAGCAATTGCGGACGACTTTTCCTCATTTTCATGAACCTTCAGTTTTAGTGCCTACAAATAATAATTTTTTTACACAAAATAAAAACAGCTAAATTTTTAACTTCATCAAATATAATTTTCTGTTTGGCCCTCATCTTTATAAAATAAATCATTCATAAAATAAAAAGGATTCAATTATTTGAAAAAAAGAGGGAAAATTTGTTACGTATAAATATGAATATGATTATAAAACAAAAATTCTGAATTAATAATTACCTCGCGTTTTTCCTTGCTGTGATCATTTTTCAAACGTTTAGCGGCTAATAGTTTTTTCTTGTCCTTGCATTCAGTGGATTCCACCACCTTAATAGATGGCTTCGGTTTGCGGCCAGCCTTTGTTTTGTTTTCTTCAGTTAAAGGCTGAAAGACCTCTTTATCATTTATCTCACTTAACAGCTCGTCCAACTCCTTATCCAGAACGTCAGGTTCCACTGGAAAAAATTATTTAAATATATGTAAAAGCAGATTTATTTCCACATATAATAAGATATTAATTACAGAAAAGAAAAAACTTTTTTTAAATTTGAAATGAATCGAGTTAAAAGTAGAATTTTCTGTAAATATGAATAGGTTTGAGCAAGTCAGTTATTTAAGGCTATATATGATGATCAATTGTTGGCCGCCCCATTTAAAAGCAAAACATGAGATTGAGATGCTCGAACATGGTCCCGACTCCCGTCCCAAAATAACCGATCATGGCGCCCAAAAACCCAACATTATGATAATCTGGGAGAATAACAATAATTATCTCAAATTCTTTCTTGTTTGAAGAAATATCTGCAATCTAAATAACAATACTTGCAGCTTACTAGATTTTTAAAGGTATCCCATGCAGCAATAAACAAATTAAGCGACAAAATAATCAAGCATGGCGCAAAATGCATTTGATTACCAGGGAATGCAATTTAATCTTTTGAAGAATTTTCGATAAAAAAAAACTTACGGTGCACTTTAATCACCTCCGCGTCGTATTCCTTTTTCTTCAACCGAATTTTTACGGATTTTCCTACGTAGGACGAGGCCTTTTCATATTCCAGTTCCCGGAAAAAATCGAGTTGGTATGCTCGATAAACATAATCAGCCTTGTCAATATCAAAGCAGACCCAGATTCCGTAATCGTTTGTTTTTTCGATCGTGTCCTCTTCTTGGATATCTTGAGCGGCACGTCGTTTTCTCCTAATGGTCGTCATTTTTAAACAAAACAGCACAGAAAAATAAAATGATCGTTGAAAACACAAAAACGTGGCGTCTTAAAACAGCAATGCCAGCATGGGAAGCCAAAACAGTAAACAATGCTGCACTCGCCACCCACTACAGAGAGCACCACCGGCTACTCTCGGTGCTGCCACCTTCACGACCCCAGTTGGGGCTCTCTAGCCCCATACCTGCCCCATACTCCCTGTTACATCACAAATTAATATTTTAATATCGAATTCGCGTGCACCGCGGTATTGGGTTATATTAGGAATTTATAGAAAAGGTCAAGCAAAATAATCTTCTTAAAAAATTGAAAACAATTAGGAAATTAAATTATTCATCTATTTCATTTCACAATAATATATCACGCGAGAGTGACAAAAGGAACATTAGAATAGAGGTGCCGTTTTGTGTCGTCTTCTTGTTACACAAATGATGAGATAATTTTTTTTTTATTTTTAGAAGAAACTAAAAAAATCATCCCATTTAAACTTCCATGTAATGGAAGTTTTAAAGTGCTAAAATCTGTTGTATTGAAAAAATGAAAAAAAAAAAATTAATGAAAAGAAAACCGAAAAACTTTTTATAGAAATCAGATTTTTTTAAATAAAAAAAATTATTCCTCTGTAGTAAAATAACCTATGACAAAAAATTGGTCGCAAAATTATTGAAAAAAAAAATTAATGATTAATGGTAATCGAAGCTTCATGTATTTTCAATAATTATTTTTTATTGATTTCAAATTTAAAAAAAACTATTTTCTTTTATTAAAGTAAGTTTCAATTATTCTTTGAAATTCTATATTTATTTTAATAAAAATTTAATTTATCATTTTTAATTTTTCTAATTTAAATTACCTCGGAGCCAAACAAACATTTGACGTACTGTAGACAAATAAACGATATACATATCAATAATTGATCCTGAAAATTTATAATTATTGAAATTAATTTTTTTATTATATCATAGTGAAACTGAATTGAATCATTCTTCTATTATGCTTTTTTCAATTAATATTTATTTTTTTTTACCAGGTAAATGCTTTTTGCAGCCGCCAATCCGCTTGAAATAATATCATGTGACTGGTCACGTGATAAGCTCAACCAATAAAATACTAAAAGTACCAACCTTCTGGAAAATTAACATATCCACAAAAACAAAGATTTCCTAACATTATAACGAAGAAAAAGTTATCAGAAGTTATATAATAAAATTAATTTTAATTTTAGTATCTTAATCAAGATTTCACCAGAAATGATATTAAAAAAAAAATAATATTTCAATTTTAGGTATTGGCAATACTGCGAGGCCTATTGCTTTGCTTATTGTTTACATGTTTACATGACGCGGCGTCCCAGCGTCGGTCGATTCGTGAATTGATTGATATTGATGGGTCGATCGCGTGATTTTGTGCTATTTTGACAAATTTAGCATAATCTCAATCATCATGAATAATCTTGCGAGTTGTTCAACGCAAAGAGGCAGACCTCGCCGTAGAAGAGGCGGGCCTGGTTCATACAACAAGGGGTTTTTCGACAGATCAATTAGGGTTCGTAAAAATATTTTTCGTCTTGGAGCAAATGAATATTTAAATTTATCTCCTTTCTTTTTTTATTTTTACAGATCGATAAGCGGACTGCTAAACGTCACGCTCTTTGTGGAATATCCGACGAGAGCGAGAGCAGTGTAGACGAGCGGATATTGTCTGATGAAGGTATGTTTTATTAACCCCTCTTGTCTTGACCTTGATAATGCTCGCAGTGAAAGAAATTTTTAATTAAATAAGACCGGCTTTTAGTAAGTAATGAGTCCCATATCAAAGACTAAAAAATAAATCAAATAGCAAGTTTTTTAATTTAAACATTTCTTTTCGCAGACGGAATTTCTCAAGAAACGGTCATGTCCATGGATACCTCATTAACTTTGGACCCCGCCGCTGCACCGGAAGTCACGTTGGACACAGTCAACAATACTCCGGGCAGTCAACAAATCGAAGATTCAGAAAACAGTGATATGGAGGAATGGTACACTCCATCATGCAGTGAGTCATCTGCAGAAGACAGTGACAATGATGATTTTCAAAATTATCATTTTGGCAAGTTTTTAATGAAAGATCTAGCCACATTTTTGATTGATGGCAGCCAGCACACGTTAGGATCTGCATTAATCAAAATCTGTAAAATATTTAAAGACAACTATTGTTCAAAAAAATTGTTAGGGGATCTAATAGAATTCATTAGCGAAATTCTGCCACCTGATTCAATATTCCCCAAATCAAAGCATTTGTTTATGAAAATGATGGAAGATATTTCTCCCAACAATGAAAAACCGAAAGTGAAGTACTACTGTGGCAGCTGCCTATTAGATTACGGTGGTAATGATAAAAATGAATGTCCATCCTGTAAAGAAAAGCGATCAGCAATTTATCTCGAAAATCAAATTGATATTACAATAAGAAATATGTTTGAAAAGAAGGGCCTTTCAAAATTGATAGATGATTATAGCCAATTTCGCAAAGATAAACCTCCAAATGTTATAAGAGATATAGTTGATTCTGAATCCTATTTAAAAGTAAATAGAAGTTCTGAATACGACCTTTGCCTTATTCAGAACACCGATGGATTCCCAGTAGCTGGAAGTTCTAAGACCCAAATCTGGCCAAATTTCCTAATTATTTCAGATATCAACCCAAATTTACGATCAAAATTCATAATAATGCACAGTATTTGGTACGCCCCTGTTAAGCCTGACATGTCAGTATTTTTAGAAGAATTTGTAAATATCATGGAAAAATTTGGAAAAGATGGGATCGAATGGACCCACCCTATAACTAAAGAGAAAATAATTAGCAGAATTTCTGTTATAGCGTCAAGTGTAGATGCTCAAGCAAGAGGGCCAATGCAAAATTTGAATATGTACAATGGAGCTCATGGCTGCAGTTTTTGTGAAATTCCTGGAGAACGTATTGAAGTTGGCATTGGGCAAGCCAGAATTTATCCATTCAGGACTCAGTCATACCCTGCTAGGTCTTCCATTTCCATGTTAAGAAATGCAAACGAACTTATGAAAATCAAAGATTCAGAAAAACATTTGCCTAATGACGAAAAAACAAACCATAGGAAAGGTGTTAAGGGATATTCTTGCATGGGTTTGTTAGAAAATTTTGATTTGTCGAAAAGTTTTTCGCCAGACTATTTACATTCATGTCTATTGGGAGTTGTTAAACGCCATATTTACACCATTACTGATTCTAAAAATAGAAACAACGATTTTTACATCGGAAATTTTGTGGAAGTGATAGACAAAAAAATTAAGTCACTGTGTCCTCCTAATTTTGTTAAGAGATTACCGAGAAGCCTTGAGCTTAAGAAATATTGGAAAGCTAGTGAGCTTCGAAATTGGCTCCTCTTCTTTTCGTTGCCGTGTTTGCAACTTTTTTGGCCTGATCGATATTTAAATCATCATTCATTATTAGTTTTTGCAATTCATACTCTACTCAAAAATGAAATAACCACTGACGAAATTTGTGATGCTAAAAGGGCTCTTAAAGAATATTGTAGAGATTATGCCTCCATGTACAGAACTTGCGACCAGACATTTAATTTGCATGTTCTACTTCATTACGCAGATAAGGTTAAATACCTTGGTCCGCTCTGGAGCCACTCAACTTTTATATTTGAGTCGGCAAACTTCCGGTTAGGACAAGTAATTCATGGAACTGGTACAAAAGTAGCCATTGAAATTTCAAACACTATGCGGATACACAACTTTTTAAATATATTGACTTACTTGGCAAATGTTGACAACAGCTCAAGCAAACACTTAGAAATTGATTCATTGGGTTCAGCACTTTCTCTTAATACAATTAGCTCCTGCATTGTCGAATATGCAAGAACAATTACACTTTTTGACGATAATCTGCCCTATGAATTGAATTTTTATCTTCGAGCTAAGAGGGGAAATGCCATATTTACATCTGAAATGTACTTGAGGGCTGAAAGAACTTGCTCTTTCTTTGTTTTATATGATAATAATGGACAAAAAATTCCTGCTAAAATATTATGCTTTGCAAAATCAAGGGATCGTGTCATATTTATTGGGCATAAAATAGATTTTCAGCTGCCTAGATTTGGAAACAGCGAGGAAAACCTTGCAATAAAACATATTGTGCCGTACACAGATTCGGGTGTCCTAATTTGGAGCTATGTAAGCAGAATCTATTGTCATTTGATTAAAGTTGAGGAATTTCTGTGTGTACCACCAAATGTCTGTGAAATTAATTTATAGCCAGATAAATTACTGAGCAAAGATTAAATTTTTCCAATTTAAAATTATGTTGTGATGAAGTGCAACAGATGCCTGTCTTGTGATAAATCATTAATTAATTACCCATTTTACATATTTTTAATTGTTTCAAAATAATTTTTTAGGTCCAAAAATCAGTCTATTTGATTCCATGTTGGCCTGCTATTTTAAATTCAATACATTAAAAATTACGTTTTATTGCGTTTTATCATATATTACCATAACCTAAGTGGTATTTTATAATTATATTTTCTGATGTTGAATACTCAATAAATCTTTAAATTACAAATATTTCAAATTGTATTAATTTTGCAACTATATAATTCTTCCGCATTTGCATAATAAGACCTAATAAACCCTTCGCTGGAAATTTTAGATAATAAAACCAATTAAATTTAATTAACGTTCCTTAAAGGAGAGGCGCCTGAATTACACGAGCTTTTGCCCGAAATTTTCTATTTTCATTAGTCTTTATTTTAGTGTGTTAATATTCAAAACAGATTTTTAAATTTACAATCCTTAATTTTTTTAATGCAATTAATATCGTTAACATAATATCAATTTTATTTAAAGGTTTGTACTTAAAATTTAAAAAAAGCATACAAAATTGATATGCCTGTATTCAAAAGATTTTTTTTAATTCACGTATGGTCAAAATTTTAAAATAAATATAAAATCTTTTTTATCTATATTTCATACATGCGGCATCAGTTCTCAAATTTTTTTATTCTAAGTCCAAGAGGGAACTAAATATCAACAGCAGGAACTAAATATCAACAGCGGGAACTAATTATCAACAGCGGGAACTAAATCTTGACTTACGGGAACAGAAATGGTTACTTTAATAGTTCTCGAGAGACCCGGGAACTATATTCCTCTTTGAGAGAACTATTCCTTAGTTCCGGGAACCAAAATATAGTTCTCGGAACTATTTTGATTCCCGAGCTTTTCAGCAGGGTTTAGACAAATATTGAGTCATCGCAAATAATTTCAACAAAAAATTATAATTACTCGGAATCCAAAGGTTGATAGGATTGTGTCCGAAATGGCCCACAGCTAGCAGGTGCACGCTTGGGTGGAAGGCCAGAGCGGTTGCAGGAGGACAGTCCGGACTCGACAGGCAGGTGATCACTTTGCCAGTGTCCGCTTGCCAAACCACAACCGAGCCATCCTCGCTTCCGGCCATCAAAAGGGAGCCACACGGACTGAGACACAAGTCAGTTTGGATCCTAAATTTTAAATTTCAAGATTAAAGTTGAAAAAAAAATGCTTGATAGATTATTTATTGAATTAATGATATTTGTAGTGAATAAAAAAAACATTATTTTGATTCTTTAAAAAAAATACAAGGATTTATTGTTAAAAGTAAAAAAATTACTTCACACTAACTTGTTAATGAAATTTTTAATTAAAGCGCAGATTACATAAATATATTTATAAAAATTTCTCATTACATTTTAATGGAAAAGCCTGCACGAGTCTTGATTTAATTACTTTTTAGTTCAAATTGCAGTACTTTTTTAAACGTCAGCATGGTAATTTTCAATTAACTTTATGTTCGGTGTTCTAGTTGAAATCGTTTTTAAGAGTAAAAAAGCAGTGAGTGCATAAGAGGATTTACTTTGCAAACCTTTTTCGACCACCCTTAAAACTCAAATCTGCTTTTTATATCCTCTTCAATTAATGTTGAAGATTTTAGTTTTTTCTTTTTAATCTCTTACTTGTGCGAAAGGGCTCCTAAATAATTCTGCAGAACAACCCCGGTGAGAACGTCCAGCATGCGAACGACGCTATCGCGCGCAGATATAAAAATCCGCTTCCCACTGGGGTGAACTTGCAGGGCGCTGATCGAAACCCCTTTCAAATCTGGCAGCAAGAACTCTCTTTGCACCAGCCAGTCGTGCTGACGCGTGGATTTGTCGGTGGATTTCGCCCAGGAGAGGATGAGACCCTCACTGTCGGCCGAGTACAGGATTGCACTTCCGTCGAAACACATCGCGGTCACAAAACCCTGGTGACCATCCAACTCCTGCCACAGCTTGAAAAACAAAATTGCCAAATTTTTAATATGCAAAAAATCTTGTTCGTATAGACCCTAAATTTTGGTATTGATAAGATGACAGATTACGTTTTGTTAAATAAAAATCAAATAAGAAATAATTTAAAATTTGTGATAAATTTCAAAGCGTAAAATGGATTTTTATAAATGTTGTCGAAGCATAAAATAAAAATTATTAATTCCCTATTGCGATTTTTGAGACATCCAAACCTGATCCAAAGAATAGTAGAAGTTAAGTTTGATTAAAAAAAAATAACATTATTATCATATTTTTTTTCAATTCACTGATGCGCAACTTTCCTATATTAAAATTAATAAACAAAAGCCACTCTCTTATTGCGTCTTATTGATTTCAGAGTGGAAGTAGTCCAGCTCCGCGAGGCACCGATTTTTTTACAAAGAGATGAATCAATGCAACAGAAAAAGCAAAGAGCTTCATTGCAGATGGGAAACTTTCTTCAATGACTGTATATTGCAAACCTTCCACATTAAATATGTGGACGAGTAAATAATCTAGTCCTAGTATCTTCACTTTTTTCCAACTTTTCATATTTTTCTCAATAATTCTGAAAGCTATATATATTGCGATTGACTTTGCTTCCTAGTTTCATAATAAAAAAGGTATAAAAGAGGCAGTAATTTAATTTTTTATTACGTCATACTCTCCCTCGTCGTCGTCCTCTTCCGAACACCACACGCGCAACGTTTTATCTTTGCTGCCGGTAATGATCGCATTCTTCTCGCCAGGTACGAACTTGGCACAGTAGACGAAGGAGGGATGCGGCAGCATCTGATAAAAAGCACGACGCGTATTTAAAACTTTTCCCAAAAAATCTCTGATAATCCTCGGAAAGTCTCTCTTTTAAAACACACCTACCTACCTTGGAGATGGTTTCGCTCACCGTGTCCCACACAATGGCGAGGCAGTCTGCCGAGGATGTGACGAGCCATTTTTCATCCAGCCAGGACACGCAGTAAATCAACCCTTCGTGGCCTTGGAGAACGCACTTGAGACCAAAGTCGGCGGCCTTTGCTCGGAATAAATTAATTGAAATTCCGCTCCACGTTCACCATTTCCACCAACTTTTTCTCAACGACTTACTTGGAAAATGTGGATGTTCTGATTCGCTGCCGCCGCCAATAACGAGCCCGACTCGGAAAACGCGGCACTTAGACAGTTGTACGTTGGTGCTGAGAGTGGTTTGGAAAATTTGTCGGTTACTTTGCACAAATGGCCTTCCTTCCGAAGGAGAATCGGTTCGAAGCTCTAAAAAAAAATGCGAAATTTCCCTGAATTTTTACATGATAGAAAGAAATACAGCGAAAGGTTTTTAATTTTGAATTAAACTTTGAAGTTTGAATTTTAGGTAGAAAGCAGTTCAATGCATAGCATTTTAAAACATTAAAACCAGGAATGGAGGCAATCTTGATAATTTAATTTATTTTATTATTAAAACCAATTAAAACCTAAATAAAATGAAATGTACTTTTTTAAATTGGTTAAAATAATATATAAATATGAAAAATAAGACATTTTTTTAAATATTTTTAATAATTAAAAAAAGGTTATTTTTTTCATTACAATTGCTTTATAGTAATTTTTTTAATTAAGAATACTAAAAAAATCTCGTAAAATGTACTTTATTATTATTTTTTTTTATAAAACTAATATAAAAACCAAGACGCGGCAAGGTAAGGGGCTTGCTATTTTTAGGGATTCGATTCCTGGAAGCCTATCCTTAATTGAGTTTCAAGAGGCTTAAGTTAATTAAAAATAAAAGAGCAGTTTTTTAGCTTCTGACTCATTTCCTATTATAGCATAGCAAGTTTAAGGTTTCGTCTTTTGCTCAAAGGGGCTCATTTTTAGAAAAGTTTCTTGTCGCTACTGTAGAAGTCACGATCAAATTTCTCAAGTATCCCACGCTTTTTCCCACCACTCGTATGACAAGAAAAGATAAAAATACGTTGTTCTTTGAAAATAACAAGGTAACAACCAAATAAATCAACCTTTGTCTTGAAGAACTCCTTCACATTATGCAACGGAATAAAAATAAGAAAGTTCAAAAAATTATGCTGATGTTCAACAAAATTAGTAAAACCGTGCCTAGATCAAGGAATAACTCCAGAATTGCTATTACTAGAAAGGAAAATTGGCCAATAGAAAAATTAGCTTTTCTCTATTCTAAAATAAAATTCTACGCAGATTCCTTGAAGAGTGGCTCTTAAATATAAAAGTCATCGATCAGGACAGAAATGGGCAATAAATAAAGGAGAGACGAACCTTGCTATGAGAGGCGAGGGTGGTGCGAGAATTGCTTTGAGCGTCCCTGCTTGGTCCATCATCGGCCGCCACATCACAGTTGCTGGCCGTTTTGCTCGATTTCCGGCTGCTGTTGTAATTCCTGCGGCTGTTGCCGACGGCGGCCGACCCTCCGACAGTGACAAAGACGGAGCACCTCGTCTTCTTCCACGGCCCCTTGCTCCACCAGCCGTGCACCGTCTTTATTTCAAGAGAAAAGTTACGTAATTAATTGTGGCAAAACAAAACTGCAAACGATGAAGAAACCTACTAAAAAAGATTGCAAAACTCACTTTAAAGGGTTGCGAGGGTGAGAATTTGGGCAGACCGGATGCCTCGTAAATCTGCAGGCGCAATTTGGCGTCGGTGTTGTATTGGCCCGTCGACGAGGAGCGCAGCTTCAGAAAGGCCCAGCCGATGCAGCGTTCCTGGATATCTGCAAATAATGAGGCACACGTTGTTATGTAGAGCGGGAAAATGCCAGAACCTTAGTGATGTTAATTTCCCAAATCGATAGCCCCTACAGCCCAATTACTTGAATAAGAACAATGTACATTGTTCAGTTTTACAAGAACGGATTCATTTTATAAAAGTACATTTAGACTTTTCAACAACTTGCAAAAGAAAGACAGAAACTTTCAATCGACGTTTTTATCTTTTGTGAGTTCAAAATCTTCCCCGTTACGCAGCAAAATAAGGAATTGGATTGATCAATTAAAAATAAATTGGACGAATTTGTTCTTTTAAGTTTTTTAAGTTTAATTCAATTATCTTGAAATTACGATTTACTTCAAATACGTTTTTTTTCTCAATAAATAATTACCATCAATAGCGAAAAACTTTCGTTAAATTTATCACCAAAATTTTTTTAAAGTTTTCAATGGTTTAAAAGTTAATTATTTAATATAATATATGATGTCTTTGGAAAATTCTCTAGGATACTCAATTGATTTTTAATAAAAAAGAGATCACTTGATTGCCTCGATTTCCACTCTCACAACTCTTAATCAAAAATATATTTTACAATACGTTCAACAAGTAGAGTAAGAAATTCCAAAATCAATTCGCTTATCTGGAGCGAAGCTTTTGATTAGATCCACTTCTTGCTTACCAAGTCGAGCGTAGCACGACGAGTAGTTGTTCAGCTTTGGCACGAGCAGTTCGAAGAAAAGCACCACGTTGTTTTCCAAAGCCAGTTGCAAGGGTGCCTCAAAATTTAATTCCTGTTCCACCAGCGCGAGTTTACCGCGGAACTTGGAGACAAGCCCCGTCGACGCTGAGGGCACCGACTGATCCTGGGTCGTTTTGAGTGCGGATCCAGTTTCTGTGTCGAAAACGTGCACCCGCAGAAAAATCCCGGCCGCCGGCATCGTGGCGAGGGGAATTTCGCAGAGGTGAATCCTCACGCTCAGCATCGTGTTTTGGCTTTCCTCAATGGGAGCTTTAACAAATAATTAATAAACATTTCCGGGTGATGAGAAAATTAATTAAAGCTAAAATAAAATTTTTTCTCAATCATAAATATTTCAGATAAAGATAATACAATCAGTTTCTTAAATATATGACAAGCTCCCTTTACAAAAATTTTTTAGGATACAATTTTCATGTAAAGGAAAATTTTAGAATCAATAGCAACGATAAGAATAAAAATTGTAAAGACTTGAAAATTTGATCTATTAAAATAAGAGTAGGCAACCTGTTGTACAGAAATGTAAGTTATTTTGCAGAACTTTGCAAAATAAAGGTGTATAAATTTCTGCCTTTGTAGCTCTCAACTCGTTTATTAAGAATTTTTGGAATAGTTTTTGCGTTCTGATTTAAACAGCTTTGACGATTTCCAACCAAAAATTTAAGCCTGTTAGTCCAACAAAATATCCAAAATTCCTTTTCTTAAACAAAATTATTGAAAAATAAAAATAAATGTAAGCAATGCGATGTGAAAATAGGACAAACAAACAACATTATAATGATAGTAATTTAATACTAACTTCTTGTTGAAAATCTACAATTAATACCAGCCTTGGGGTGTTAAAAGGATATGATCAGAGATATAAAATTTATTTAATAGTAAAAAATATAAGTATTAGAAAATTTCAAAATTAAAAAAAAATAATAATAATAATTGGGCTGAGTTCAAAGCAATGCAATTTCATTGATTTGAAATTCATTAAATTTTCTGCAGTTGATTGTGATTGTTCGTCAAAGAGCTTAACTAATTTCTAAGCCCATTCAAGGAAACGGTATCAATGAAGTGACTAGGCCTGTCCTTTGAATGCGACTCAGTTGAGCGCATAATTGCAAAAGGAAGCTGCTCGGCGCTCGTGTCGATTACACGCGGGTGAGAAGAGATAAGAAAGGGCGACGTTGTGCGAGAAACGTTTCCCCGCACGTTTTCCTCTACTTACATTTCGCTCCAGCTTCTCGCGAAGAAGCGCGAAGAGGCGTCATTTCAATCGGCACATTCATCTCCTGCAGCTGATTGTGAGCTCTTGTAAGCTTGCGCCTTCTTCTTTTGGTCTGCGGCGCCGTCGGGCTTGCCGAATTTAATGAAACGGGCGACGAGGAAACAGAAGTGGAGCCTAATGAGTGTGCGCTTTTTGTGGGCGACCTCGGTGCGCTTCCCTCTTTGCTGGACTAATTTGAAATGGGAAAAAAAGAAAAGGTTATACCTTCAAATTAAGGAATAAGGCGTTATATTAACTTTAAATTTAAAAAAAAAATTATGGATTTTCTATGCTTATTAAATTGGTAAATTAATTTTTTAACTTTATCCCCACAAAATTTATTACGAGAGTGGTAAAAACGTTTACATTAATTGAGAAGTTTGCAGAGCTGTTTTGCTACTAAAATCACAACAAGGAAACTTGTGAAACTACAACTTTCAGTAATTTATATAAACTTTGAAGTGAATTGAAGTGAGTTCACTATAATTAATTAATTAATTCTATAAATACCTTCAGGCTTTTGCAGCTCCGAGCGGGACTATCAACGGCGGAAGTTTCGACAACATTCAAAACAGTCGCATCCAGACGACCCTGCTCTTCATTGTCCCATGGGCTCGATTTTCCATTCAAGTGGCACTCTTCGTTTGCCGTTTTATTGTTGTCTGGTTCAGACGGTGGTGGCGAAGAAGTTGTCGCGCGGCGTCGAGTGGGTTTAATTGGCGCCAGGACAACAATGCTGTTGCGAGCGGGTCGCAGCTTTCCGCTCGACCTTTACAAAAGAAAAAGGGGTGTTTTTGTACAGATCGATCATTATTTTTGTTCTTTTAACTTCTAATTACATCGCAACAGGCGCTCCCGGAACGCGACCCTCGTCTTCCAGCTCAGCACCCAAATTGATGACGCCATCTTTGAACGTCTCACCAACGAGGTCAGCAGAATTCTCTTCATCATTCGCTGAGGACGTTTTCTAATAAAATAAACAAGAAAATCATATTATTAACAAAATCTAACATTCATGCTTCTAAATTCAAATTTAATCCACTTTGATCAAATGCTGCTAAAAATATAATCAATTTGCAATTTGGGAATTCAAGGAAAATGAATTTGAAATTCTGCTTATTCAGGTGTTCAATTTAAAGGTATTTTAAAATGAAAAATAATCAACAAAAATATATTGTTCAGGTTCTGCTCAAAGCAAAATTTCTACAGCTTATTATATTGCTTGAATGCACATATTAAATTTTCTTTAATGAAAAATGATAATATATCCTCAAAATTAAAATTGTAACAATGTTTCATCAACAAAATCCGGGGCGATCGGGAATTTTAATAAGGAAAAATTTGATTTTCCTCAAAGGACGCATTCAGTGGATTCTATATAACACGCTTGATAAAATTTAATAGCATTAAAATGGCATCTTCTTTTCAATTTGCTTTATGTGCCACAATGTATAGAATTTTTCAATTTCTAGAAAAATTAGCAAATTTCTTTTATCTCCAAATTACTTTATGAAATCGTTATCAGCAAGTAATTAATTATATGTTAAAATAAATTTATATCTTTAAAATAATATAATAATTATGCTTAATGCTTGGTTTGTTGGTTGATTAAAGAATTTTTACTATTAAATGATTATTTTTGTAAAAATTATAAATATTATGTTTAGAAATTCATTTATGAATCGTTTATTTACTAAAGGATTTATATTAATTTATAAATTATATTTCCGATAAAAAACCCTTAATAATATAAAAGTTCAGATTCTTGAATATGTTAACCATGGCAAATTCTTGTCATAGATTGGGAGCTCAGATGATGAAAAATTAAATATGATCTTTATAAAAAATATGAAACTTTAAATAATCTTATTCTTATAATAATGCTGCAGCTCTGGAACAATATAAATGATATGTTTAATAAAAAAGTAAATTTTTTTGCTATTTTAATTAATAAGATAACCCATTTATGGCATTTATGCAAATAATGCTTATCCCTCCAAATCCCGCGCCGAGAGATAATTAGAATAAACATCCTCTTTCACTTCTGAATCCTCGAGATGGATTTTACGCCTTTGTACAAAACATTTGCCGCAGTCTTTTCTTTATCTCTCGTCTTTCGCGCTCCCTTAATGACAAGTAAACGAGTCTGCACCGCATCAAGAGAACTTTTCATTGCGGTTTTTCCTTACTGTACCAGCAGTTTCAGCTTTTTCTTTCCGCCTCTCTTCTTTTTCTTCTTCCTCGCACTGACAGCCTCCTCGAGCAAATCCTCAAAACTTTTGTTCGGTTGCGAAACAATTTTTTCCGCCGGCTGCCTCTTCGGGCTAAGCGCGACTCGATCATCTTCCATGGTGGTAAAAAGTAAACACACTCGCCGTGGAATTCGCCGATTCAAATTTGACGGCGGGCGTGACGTCACGAAAAGCCACCCTTGCGTGACGACCCTCTGCTGTTGGAACGACCAACTATCCCCTTACCTTTTATTATTATGTGGCGCGCGCAGGGATTATAGAGGGCACGTACATACGGCGGCGCTAATTGCGGGCGTCATTACTTTCGCAGCTTTTGATATAATTCTGTTTTATACAGGCGCGTACCCGTAATGACGGGATGATTTGAATTGCGGTGGCGACCGGTGCTTCCAAAATTTAATTCTGTGTTCATACCGCACGCCCGTCTGCCCGAGGCAGGTGGATGTGGAAATTTGTCAAATCCTCTCAATTATATAATTGCTGTTTTGAGGGTTTGGGCACTCTCGCGTGTGGTCTCTCTTAATTGTAATGTACTGTATTCAAAACACGTTCCACATTAAATCAGCAGCTAACCGCAGCTTCAAAATCAACTCTTTATTTTCAGTGCAATTAAGCGTTACTAATTTAAAGATATTAAAACTAAAATACTCAGAAATTAACTTAAATTTTCAAAAGTAAGCTCATATTTTATAAATAAAATTTGAAGTTTTGGAAAAAAAACTATTTTCAACACAAATCGATCATCTTGAAATTCTTTAAATTTTATTATTATTTCTTAAAGTTCACCTCGAACCACCTGATATTATTATAAATATCCTATTTAAAAAAGTTTAAAACAAAAAAACAATGTTATAACTCATAATTTTGATGTAAAAAAAAAATATTCGCTTACATATTTGGATCTTTTCACCTTAAATCACCTATTTCTTTATTTTTTATATTTCCGTTGAAAAAATGATCTTATCTGCTTTGCAACTAAAGGGCATCAGTTTCGCCCAGTTTCGCCTTTAAAAATCTCCTATTTTGCCCAGTACCTGCTTCAAATAAAAGTTTCCCTATAAAATAATCAAAAGCATTGTTTTAGGCATTAATAAAATAATAATTATTAGATAATCACATATTTAAAGAAGAGTTGAAGATTTTCTACCCGCACTGCTTATTCCTGTAATAAAAAGTTTCAAACTTCGTAATTCAGTTGGCGCCTCTTAACGTGTCTGGACGGAATTCCTCCACTCCTGCGTGTTCAGGTGGGATTACCTTCTGAGATTTAACCTTGGTGTGCAGCCGTGCCACTCGGCAGGTATTTTCCTAATCGCGATTGGAGGCGGATAAAGAGAGCGTCGGTTGCATTGGCCACCGAGCCACCACCTGACCAATCACGGCTCAGGTCTCAGCGTCTCAGGTCGCGGTGCACAAGGAAGGGAAAGTCAACCTTTTCTCGAGAGTCTCTCCGGATCCGACGTCGCGTCGCGAGTGCGTGTGTTTTTCTTCTTCTTTCTCGGTGTGCTGAGTCACACTTGAAATTGCCAATTTTCCGCGATGCTCCGGTCGGCAGCCGAATTCTTTCGGCGCGGCCGCTTCATTATTTGGTGAAAACCGCCCGCAGGCCTCCGAGTTTAAAATATACACCAAAGGAATGTGGTGAAGAGTGTGTGTGAGGTGAACGATTCCTCGACGTTTGCCAAAGTGATTTACATACATCCGCAATGGTGCGTCTTATTAGCAGCTCAATTATCGGCCGCCTTGCTTTTTGGGTCGTCCTGCTCACTTCCTCGACGACAGGTGAGTTTAGCGCTCTATTAGTATTGCGCGATTTTTGCACTCTGCTGCCCGCAGATGTGCCACTTATTTCGATTATTACACGGAATTTCGTAGGAAATGAGGTCGACGGGGCGAAAAAATCCAAAATCATATCTAACGTCATTTTTCAAATCTGCCCTAACAAGCATGTGTGTGAAAACGGTGCGCAGCAAATTTTGTTGACACAATTTGTAACAAAGATTAATGAACTCGTGGGAGTTCCCTGCTCTTGGCCTCGCGGGCAGTTTTTTATTTTCATTTTACACCATACAGGTTTTTTTCGCTCAATGTGTTTTTTTTTTCTTTTCAAAAATAATAAAGTTTTATTTCTGGAAGTTGGGGAAAAAAATGCTCAAGACATATTTCATCGCGCTTTACGACACCATAAGACAGCAGTCATGCGATGCGCAATAAAATTACTTGCTCAAAGCTTCCTCAAAATTACATTTTGCCAAATACGGCGAGTGAGCCCATAAAAATAGTATTAAAGTATTGCTATTGCAAGAAAAGCTCTAGTAAATTGAACTTCCACAGCACTCTTAACAATTTTATTTCCCTTTTTCTTAATGTGATTAAAAAAAAAGGCTGTTTTTAAAATGTAAAATTTTGTCCAATGCAAAATAATTGAAAATCTTATTTTAAAATTTAGGAATTGATTATTATTTTTTATATATCATATTTTGATCTTGAAGACAGTTATTTTAATTAACGTTTTCTTTATTTTTTTTAGTTTCAAGGCATTTTATTTAGGTTATTTTTCTGTAGTTTAATATTTTATTGTTCATCAAACCTCCATTTTTTCGGTCAACACGATTTTTATTGGTTCATTATACATTTAGAGATAAGCTGTCATTTAATTTCATTTTGCCGACTTTATTTGAGTAGTAATATGAAATTGTTTGATGGAATTTTAATTCATTTTTGACCAGCAGATTTTAAGAAGAAGAAAAGGAAATTTTTGGAAAATTCTTGTAAAAAGCAATGCTTCTTAATTTAATTAATTTAGATTAGAGATAATAGAGATTATTTAATGATAGAAAATAAATTGATAACAAGTAACTCTTTCATACATAGAATTGTTTCCTGATAAGAGAGACTAAAAAGAAAATCCTCTGCTCCTCTAAAGTAAATTAATCGTCCCATCCAACTCCAAAAAATTAAGTGAAAACTTAACGTTTTGCTGTCGGTAAATTTAAGTTATTTATTAAAATAATAATAATTCAACAAGCGGCCCTCTTTTTTAATAAATGAAAAAAAATTTGATTTATTAAGTCTAAAAATTATAATGACGAAACAAATCTCTTTGAGTCATTCTGAAGTTAATTTTCTTCAAGAAGGCGGAACAAAAGAAATCTCGGCGTAAGGACGATTTCAAATAAAGCCGAGAAAAGAGGTTACCTGCTGCCATCGCGCACAACACAATACAGAGGCACCCAGCGCCTTTTCTCCTTTCTCTCTTTCTCCTTCCATTCGCTCCGTCACAGTTATCGAGCGCAACTGACGAGAGAGCCCAATTTACTGGCTGCTCTCCACTGAAATAAATGTGGATTATCGCAGTGAGCAACCATGGCGAACCCTAATAATAATTCACATTACTCTCTTTCCGGCACAGAGGGTCACTGAAAAAATAAGTACACAAATTTGGTGTACACCGGCGGCTTTTTCATTATTTTCCGGCAAACAATGAGCAATTTCACCCGTTCTCTCTCTTTGTGGTTTCGGGCGCGCTTATTGTGAGTGTAGACTTTTTTGCCTTGGTCCTGCGGCTTTTCCCAATTATTTCCGTCCTGTTTGCTAATTTGCCTGGTGAAATGCACAAAGCTGAAAATATTCTGCAAGCTCACATATTCTTTTTATAAAATTTGGCGAATTTGACAGCTCTTCAAAACAGCGTATTAGTATTTTGTAATATATTCAATCAGAACTTATTAAATTATTTATCATTATTTTTATTTATTTATTTTTTAAACTAAGAAACAGACTAACCATTTAAAGCCACCAAAAATTCTAGCGTGGACTGCCTGAGAATTCATAATGCAATTAATTACTCAATCTGTATTTAGCAAGCTCATTTTTTTATTCAGTAGGCTGTGTATTTGCTCATAAATAGGTTGGTACTAGATTTTATTTTAGTGTTTTGCAATTTTGCCATTTTTTTATATTAATTTTCATACTTATGAAATAGGTTCGCAAACTGTGACCAAAACTGGTATTGAGCCGTTTGTTTTTGAATAAACATTGAAACAGCAATTTTCAACGAGGAAAAAGGCCCGTTTGACTTCACTTCCAATATTGATTCCAATCAACAATGTCAAAATTTTCCTCCTTGGGATAATAAGCTGCTTTTTTTGCAAAAGGATACGGTCGTGCGGGCTAAGGGTGGCTTTTCAACGCGTCAAAGGGGCAACAACTGAGCCCCAGGGCTCGTTCGTTGCCTACACATGGTTCGCTCATTAGCTCCGACCACGATAATAACGCTTTGCCCAAAAGAGACAGAGATAGGCGGACCGGGAGCAGCGTTACATAGAATTTAATTGTTTGCAAGACGAGATAATGAGGTGAGCCTCTGCCTTTACGCTAAATCGCATTAAAGAGAAAAGGGAGCGCGTTTTGCGGGGATGAACGTGTCAGGCCGACGCTCCCACAAAAAGTCCGCAGAAGGTCCGGGTTACGTAATTGAATTAAAAAGAAAATTTAATTTTTTGAAGAGAGTAGCATGGTTAAATAATTAAACCTCTGAAATACTGAAGACTTGAAAACAAATTCAATGCCGAAAAATTATTATTTAATGAACTTGTAATTAATGGTGCAGAGGCTACACGAAGCAATGTTGATTAAAAAAATATTTTTCAAAGAACGATTTATCTTAAACTCTATTTGTGTACACAATTTATTCAGCCTATTTAAATTATAGAGATGAAAAATAAAATAATAAATTGAAATTCAATAATTTGATCTAAATTTTGACAAAAGAAAGTAGCACTCATGGGGGCAAATCATAATCATTTCTTGTTTAAAAAATATTCTCATCTTTATTTCCAACGATTACATAACTTACTCGAAAGGAAAATTACTTAAAAATTCAGGCGCATTTCATTGATCCAAAAACATTTGCTTTTTAAAAAAATTTTGTACAAAATACATGGCGTGCTACTGAAGTGAAAATATCACCCTTCTAAATAAAAATTAGCAAATAAATTCCTTCATTCTCAGCCCGAGTAAAAGAAATCGCTCACAATCAAGTTCCCCTGAGAAAAATCCACCTGGAGTAAAAATCGAACCCACTATCTCTGGGGTGTAAAACTTTTGTACAAAAACTCTGGATTTTATTACATAGCCTTTAATTCTGCGAGACTAAATGAGACAAAATGTAAATAAGCCACTCTATCTCCACCTGCAATCTATATTTTCCGCCGGGAATACGTATTGTAATGAAAATCTGTCAGCATCTCCTCAAGAAAGCTGGCACGAGAGCGTCTTTCCTATTATCGTCTTTTCCTTCATAACAAACCTGCCTGCTTTTTGCACATTAAATAAAGAAAAGTCTGTTCCTTCAGGAAAATAAGCATACGAGATTCGCTATCTCATTGCTAACGATTATAATGAGTTCTTGCTTGGTATTATTTTATTACATAATGTATCGCGTTGCCGCCTACAACCGGAACTGCTCCGACTTAAAACTTCAACTTTGTGTGCTTCTCCAGCTCTGTACACTCATCAAGAAAGTTTCATTGTTTGCTCTGAAAAACAAAAAGGTTTGATAAGGCAGCGAGTTCTTTGCAAACAACAGGTAAAATTAAATAAAGTTGAGCACAAATGAATAGTTAATATACCAATAGTAATTTGCATAATTTATTGTTTTTTGCTAATAATTATCAATTTTCATTCTAAACATAAAATTATCAGATTTATAATTAGAGCTATTATGTAATTTTTGTATGTATTTATTTCAAAATGTTGAGTAAAATAGTCTGCGTTTTTATCCGACATTATTAAATTTTATTTTATTGTATGAAACTATTATTAATTTTGAAAAACGTAGAAAGTGAATGCCTCCTTCTTACTATTTCGGCGCTACTCTTCAGTCAGAAGTTCGTTAATTTTAGCACCTCATACATTGCCTTGTAGTTGTTTTATCACTAATTGAAAGCTTGAAAGCTTGTTAGTTATGCAAATTTCCTTGCTAATTGCGATCTTCATATACAAAACCGTTGAGCCTTATGACAGCTGTTGAATGAAGATAAAAACAGTTGGAAATTCAAGTTAATGCAAAATCCTTCACCTTTTGAACTCAAATCGGCCACCGCTTTTTCTGCCTTGGGCTCACTGGAATTTACTTAAAAGGACTTTGGCTTAGACGTGTCGTGTTGCAATTTTCCTGAACAAGTGTAAAAAGAGTTTTATTCGAATAAATCTAATAGACGTTTAATTAATTTTAACTATACAAAATTAAAAATTATTCAAATAATTGAAACTCAAATAATTGGATTTTTGGAGATGGTTAATTAATTTTGCTTAATGATAAATAATTTAAATTATATAATTTGGGTTTAATTTAAAAGTTTGAAATAAATTGAAAATTAATAAAGTTCTGGAAATAAATTATATGAAGTGATTTTAGTTTGATAGTGCATTTGTGCCTTTTGTGCGTCAAGTGAATTATTTAGCCCACAGTGGTTGTCCGTCTGCTGCTGGTAACAAACTTCATTCAGCCAATTATAAATATTTAACATTGGGTTGATAGAATTCTGAGCGCAGATGAAACTCAATTAGTCATTTAGTCAATTTATGTGTGCTCGACATGAGCACTGTGTGGATTTCATTAAATTGGTTATTATTGTGTGACATGCAAACCTTCATTTATTTTTCAACAAAGTGGAAAATTATATCAACGTGAATGTTGAAAACTTATTAGACTTCGTCAATATAAAATAAAATATGATATGTACTTTGTAAAAAAAAAATCATTTTGATATTTTGAA